ATACCTTTCTATTTGCTAATGATATTGTAGATTGACCCTCGCTGCGGTTTACTGGTACTTGTGGGCGGTTCTCATTCCTCGCTGGAAGGGGTATGTTCTAGAGGAAAAAACAGAAATTTTGGAAGATGGTGTTAGTGTCACGAAGGTTGTCAGATTAAAAATATAATGGTTCTCTATGGTGTTTGGAAAATAGACTCGGGTGTTCGGGTGTAGGGCTTATTACGGATTCAAAGTTTTATTCCTATTTGTTTTCGGCTGATAGTTGATAACCAGTTGCAGGATGCTTATATAGATTGAACGATATTTAATACCTACCAAATACATAAATAGCCACTCCGGGATAGAGAATTATGAGATTCCAGTTCCAAACTCTCAATTCACCTCCCCGAAGTTAATATCGTTTCAACCATCTGGGTAACCGGTCATTCGCACATCACACTACAGCCAGACAGGTTTCGAGGGGAAATAACCTTGTCGTGGAGTGGAAGGTAGGGAAAAAAAATAGGCGCAAAGCATGAGTCATTATAAATATACATTAAAAATTTGAGAATTAGCTAGCCGTACACCACAACGGGATATATAGAGGTCATTAACATTTAAAATCAAAGGGAACAACCAATGCCACCCCGCTAATCCAGAACGAGCAAACAAACCACCAAGAAAATCCCGTCCCAAACGCCATGCTAAACCAAAGGGAGAAAATAAAGCAAAGTAATGGATATTATCACCCAAGTCTTCGTTTAGACGATATTTCCGGGATTGTAGTACCCCATAGTTTGAGCTTGTACCGGTCATTCACCAAGCGAAATATGTCGATAATATACCTTCGCTCAAGGCTCGACTCTGGCATTACATCGAAGGCAACACGTAGAGGAAACGCCATCCGATTAACGAGGTTGCCTGGAATTTTACGGATGAAATACTCCATGCTCCGGCAAATATTGCATGCAAACTCGTATTGCTCTCTAGGTTGCAAAGAGGCCGATGGTCTCGTATCGGCTGCTGAAAGGATGAGATGGGAAGCATAGTACACACACATTGTATGGGCAATTCGTAGGTCTGGATACACTAGAGTGGTTGGGGTGATTATATCCATTGAAGTGAGGTCGCGGCAGCGGAATACAGGAAATGGGTCGCTGCCTTGGTTTGTTACTTCGGTGGGTTGGCGAGCGGTAGCTGTATCAATCCAATTTTTCTTCCATTGGCGTAGTCGCTGATCAAGGTCGCTGACCCAGGACCAGAGCATCCTTTGAGTAGCTGCTACTTCAGCGTAATTTATATAGCCCGAATTGAGACCTTCCATGAACCGATCAAATTGTGCGAGGTATGAAGGGATGTCCACCACTTGATCTAGGAGATGGTGCATCATGTCCTTGGAAGACGAACCGGCTGAGAAAGGTATAGTTTTCCATTCTTCTCTCGCGAGAAATGTCGGTCTTCGGGTGATTAGGGCTAGAGATACCTATATCCAGTTTAGTTGGTCACTCTATATTAAGGAGGGAAGCCGCAAATACCAATAACCTACCCAGTATGGTCGAAGTTCTGCGAAACAAGAATGATCTATGCCAAACATATGGTTCTGCGGGCCTCGGTACTCCAAAAGTTTCAGGGCTCCGTAGGCGTGATTCACCAGAGATTCACTTGTCGTGCGTCGAAAACTCTGTCGAACACGTGCATATGTTAGAGACATGGATATACGATCATAGGGTAAATATATCAAGGAGGGAAATCCATACTTCGAAACACATGAGAAGGCAAACAGTTAGTAGGATACCCTGGGAGTTGGTCTGGTGCATATTATATATAGCCTCCTGCAATTTCCGAAGCACAGAAACATGGATTTGGGAGCCAGTCCGTTCAATTCGTTGGTCACCGACCTCGTGCCCAAAATAGCTCAGGGCAACCGCCTTAAACGCATCGGACAGAACTGGTGAGAACATTCTTATGCCTGCAGCGGAACGAATGGTTTGCGACGTTCCGATGGTTTCGCCGTCGACTTCCGGGCTGAAATCGTCTAGAAAGCGGTTAAGAAAACCTTCCATCAAGAAATTTTTCTGTGAAACAGGGGTCATAAACGCAGCTGCGTCGCGTCCCCGTTTTCGCGGAGGAGGTTGTACTTTACGAGAATGTCAGCAAAAGAGTCTCAGGGTACATGCAACCGATGGTAGTACCTTGACTAAGGCCTTCAGATTCCCGAAAAGCCTGACCAATGTTACTGGCCTTGTTGCTCTCAGGTGTAGGGAGGGTCCTTAAGCAACTATCCCCACTCTCTGGTTTTCTACGCATTGCAAGGGAGACTGAAGGGATCGACAGGGAGCGCGTGGAGGAGTCATCACTATAGGCGTTATCGGCGGGTTCACATTTTAGCCCGGCTTTGGACTTTTTGAACTGTCTACATTCCTCATCATATACTTGCACTGCAAGCTGTTGGCATCAGCCATGAAAAACAATTGCTGGAAGAGCTTTAACCGCGGGTAGAGGGCAGGGCATGAACAAACCGCCACTTTGAGTATCACTAAAGGTGGATTCTGAGGAGAGTATCTGAAAATCTGCAGGAGAAAAAGGCTGCTTCGGTAGCGGCGGGGAAGGTACGGTTATGCCCTCCAGCAAAGTGCCCTTTCTGATTTGGGCAACTGTATTTGCCACGATATCTGGAGGCGCAGTGGCAATAGTATTAACAATTGCTTCTAAAGTTGCGTACTTTTCATATGGGACCGAATTGGCGAACGGGCTCTTCCGTAACGATGGATTTGGCGTATGACTGCGATCCTTTTCTACTGTATCAAGCTCTGAGCCAGGAACGTGGCCAAGAGCCGCCAGTTGTTGTTTTAACCTCCCAACTTCTTTCCTTAGGCCCGCAACGGCGTCAGCCTGGGTAATGAGGAAACGATCTTCGTTGCTGGCAAGGTATTCGCACTCGGAAGGCAGCCCGCGAACACAACAGGCGTGACATGGTTTTATTCGATCGCACTGTGAATTACTCGGAATTAGCTGGGTTCATAGCTCGAGGTGTGCTCTTGGGGAGAAAGGGGGGAGAGGGGGTCAGCCCACCTTGACCTTGCGAGTCCTGCAAGGAATACAGGACTGCTTGGCTCGGCATTTGCTCCTACCAGCCTCTGAGGATGGAGGCGCAACTTGAGGTTTTGACGCATCTTCCGCGGCCGTTTCTACGGGTGATGCCATCCCTTGCGTAGGGCCTGCTAAAGAATTAAGCCCCAACGGATTCGCTATGATGGTTTTCTCTTCTTTATAACTGTGTTAAATTACTTTTCTGCTTCCTCCTTGTCGGCTGGGTCGTGGTGGGCTGATTCTGGGGAAGAACGTGTAGGAAACCGGCCTGGAGGTAAATCATCCATCCATGACTGCACCGCAGTGGAGTTGACGTTCTACATATAAGCCTGGGTACGTGGTTAGGGGGAGCAAGTTGTTGTTCGGGGTCAAAGCTTAATTCCACATAAATGGACAATCAATGACACTAGCCCTAATATAATTAGTATACAGCGTAGTGCTATAATGATTTAGTCAGTCTTGGCTTTCAGACCATCTTCTCATCTGACCTATGCCGTATATAATATAGTAACTAGATGACTAATAATACATCGAGTCGCTGTAGTGTAGGTTAGTATACTGCTATCTGCGCCACTTTATCACCAGCCGAGCATGTTGGCGCAGCGGAAGCGCGCCGGGCTCATAACCCGGAGGACCTTGGATCGAAACCAAGACATGCTAAAGAAAGATTCCTTTTTCCTTGCTTTAAAAATAAATCTCTTGCTTAGTTACCTCACATAATTCTCTCTCTTCTCTTTTTTTTTTTTTTTTTTTTTTTTTTCTTTTTTTTTGATCTCTGCGCTTTCTGATCCACGAATGATATGTGATGGTAGCTACATGTTACTCTAGGAAAGAAAAAGAAGGCGGAACTCAACGCAGAATATCAAGACATCAGACTGACTAGGAAAGAATGACGTGCAAATGAAACCTCTGCACTCTCGCGGAACCAACATGTATGTTATCTCAGCGGGCTCAGACCCTCTGGCTCGGTTTGAACAGGTTGCAGCATTATTATTAACTAGTTAATCCAGCATGACACTAACCTACTTTTGATACAAGTCATGTGCTCAGAGCAATCCTCACCAGAGAATCTGAGAAGAAATGATTTCATCTTCAATGAAGATTTCTGAGATTTACAAGGATTTTTCAGATTCTTCAACTTTGACTTTCTATTACTATATATTCACATATCTTTGAGATTTGAAAATCACCTTAGCTTATAGCTAAAGAGAAGAAGAATAGAAATATTTCTTTAATATTTTAAAAAAATCTATATTTAAGATAGATATATACTCTTGAAAATGATCATATTTTTTGATCTCAGAATTTCTAAGAGCTTTTTTTTGTATGAGAAATTGAATTAAAATTCCTGTGTTTAAAAACACACTGATCAACTTTGAGATGATACTTCTATTCTAAGAACTTGAGATATGAATATAAAAATCAGATACATCACAAGAACATTGTTATTCTAAGGTTTCAAGATGATACAGAAATGATGAATCTATGAAATTGAGTTGAAATTCTCTTTCATACTCAGAGTACTGAGTAAATCCTTCTCATGTTGCTAATAATCAGAAACTGTTTCTTCTCAGACACTTCACAAGATATCATCACTCACATGACCTGATTTTACTATTTGGGTTAGCTTATTGCTTATTTGAGGTTAGCTCATGACATAATCATCAATCCAGTGTTAAAACAGCAATGAATATCTGGAGAAGCGTCTGAGCTTGCTGAGATAACATGTATGCTGCATGCTCGAGAAACCGAAAATCAACCCTCAAACCCCACCAAAAAAAAAAAAAAAAAAAAAAAAAAAAAAAAAAAAAAAAAATCAAAGTCAAAGGAACAATGCTAGCCCTATCCTATCCATCGGTGCCAACCACTCACTCATCTTCCAAAAACCTATTTGCCTCCTAACATTCACACCCCAATCCTAACAAGAATACTTACTGCACTTTTTTCTCCTCCACGCCCGTGCTCAACTCCGCCTCAATAATACCTTCCCCGACAACGCTCACCTCCCAGGTACCCCGCTGACGGCCCCAGAACACATCCCCCACCGACGAATCGTGCTGACTCATCCGCCGCGCATCCTCTTCTAGTGATTCCCGCGTGACTGTCGACTTCTCCTGTCCATTGTCATGCTGAGAACTATGCGCATGGCGTTCCGTATCCACACCCGCCACCCCACTATCCTGCTTCTCCCGCGCCGGCGTTGCGTCGAAATACTGCTTACGCACTAGATACCGCTCCACACGCTCCTGGCGCGTGGCCGGTGTCTCGATCTTGGATATCGCTACCTGCACCACCAGCCGTATGATAAGGTATATATGCTCCGCGAAGAATATGACAAGCAGTAACACCCACCCGGTAATCTGTGAGGAGCTGCCATCCGGCCCAAGCCCGTCGTTGGAGAACATGTACACCAACGCCGCATTCGTGATACTGCCCAGCCACGCGAGGAACTCGATCGACTGCACCCAGGAGCCGATGCTGTCGGACCGGAAGGGGACGGGCCGGCGGCATTCTATGCAGATCTTGACCAGGTCAGAGCGTAGCTCGACCCAGTTGTTTACCAAGAAGGAGAGTGGGACAAGCGGCCAAATGACGGAGAAGAGGGAGAGGTAGCCGAATTGGACACACATTTCGCGCAAGTCAGCGGCGACATCGTATTCAGTGAGTGAGGCCTCATCGCGGACGCGGGTGAGGAATTCAGATTCGCTGGGGACGTCTTCTAAGATCGCTGCAGCGGGCGTAGCGGAAGCTGCTTCAGGCGTGGACGAGCCACTGCTTTTCGTCGATTTGGCTTTTTCTTGAGTGTATTCTTGGTACTTGCGCATGAGCTTCCGTTTGGCATATGGGAGGACGATCTCGAGGCCCTGGTTGACGACCTGCGCGGTGACGGTGAAGTAAATTACTTGCTTGCGGAGTCGGGATGGGTTGATCTGAAAGGCCGATGCGGACTTCTGCAGCTCGTCCATCTCCGATGATGTTGTAAATGGGCTGACAGTCAGGTGGAATACGTCGAGATATGGGACTATCACTCGGCCGCATGGCACGTAGACGAAGGCTGTGAGGAAGATTGGGAGGTAGGATGTGATGAAATTCAGAACGAAGATTTTGTGGGTTAGCGCCACGTCGTAACTGTCCTGCGTCTCGTAGTTCTCGTAGTCGGTGAGACGCTTCGCGATGTTGGTTAAAACGGCGGAGATAGTGGGAACAAATAAAGAGAGCAAGATTGTGGGGATGAAGACGAGATATGACTTGAAGGGCCCAGCATAAATTTCGGAAATGAAGATCTCAATCGCAAAACAAGTAGCTATTAGAGTACCCAATGCAAGAACTGCGACAATTGCAAAGGGTGCCTGGAGAAGCTGTCTGCCTAGACGCGTGGTTGACGGGAATAGCAGCAATTCCTCTCCAGTCGCAGGATCAACGGATTTCGAAAGATACTGGAACTCCCTTCTCTTGGTACGGATTTCGGAAACATTTTTCACTTGCCAGCGAATCCGCAGGTCTCTTTCCTGTCGCTTCCACATTTCGGCAAACAGGACGCATGACAGACAGTTCACGATCGCATAGACGATGGAGAAATTGCCCAGAAGAACCCAGCACGCAACACCAAAGGCGGCGGGAAAGACGAGGAATGAAAAATACGACTGCAAGAAAGCGAAGTAGAAGCCGATCTTTTCACCGTGGTGGTTCCGGATTTGGTCGAGGTCATCCGCCGTAAGGAATGTTTTACTGGTCCAGGCTTTTATCCACGTCTTGTTGAGGAGCTTGTCGTGCAATGGGAAGACTGAGTCTACATGGTTCCACTCGCCGTATTTGGGAGTGATTCCTGCACCGCCTTCGTTGCTGGGAGCAGTGATCATATTGTGCACCATGAGGAGCCGTTCTGCGTCGGTCTCAGGGGTATATGAGCCCTTCGCATTGGGATTTGGTTGCGAATTGCGCACACCATGCAGCCAATCCCGTACCCTATGTATGTGTGGGCAGGTTAATTTGAAAAAGCGCACAATGAGTTCATAAATCAGACCGGAACGGAGCGTACCTGGATCGATATAAAGCTTCACCCAAGGATTTCTCTTGGGCCTTTACAAATATCAGAAGGCTCTGGTCTGTTCCGGGACGCACCTCCGTCTGCAGCCCGACATCTGATAGAACTCGGATGAGCTTCTTGAACTGCTCCTTAGCTTCATTTTTGTCTACGCCCGTCAGCTATGGGGTTTATCTTGTACTAGTAAAGACTGGAAATATTTCACACGAACCAACTTTGGAGAAGCGGTAGAGCACGACATAATCCACCTCGAAGTTCTCCGTCAGCGTGTTTTGGTGAGGAATGCCAGCACCCATGGTGGGCTACTACCAGGGGCTAGTGTACGCCGCACAGATATGCGGCTACTGTAGTAATAAGTTCATAACGGGAGGGATGTGTGGTATGTGTGGCGGGAAGTGAGTGTGGACGTTGTCGTCTGGATGTTGATGCTCCCGAGCTCTGCCAACAAATTCCCTGTTTCGAGCCTAGCGTTGTGCCAAGACCAGATCCTCAGCTACATAACTACGTCATCGGCAGCGGGCCGATCGAGCTAGCCCAGTATGGACTGGTTAGGGCTACGCGGGAATGGGCCCTATAATAATTAATAAATGTCTCCCCGGTTAGTTGAAGTGTATCCTGAACACCTGAGAAACGGAATCAAGTAAACTAAGCAGGGGTGGGAATATCAAGCTTTAATCTGTGGTGTAACTTAGCTCCCAAATTCTGCCTATGTTTGCAGAGATCAACATCTCTAGCGAGCAGAGTCATTCGAGGTTAACAGTCAATCTGCAAGACGGCAGTGACGCTGAAAGGGGCCAAATTTTATTTCCATGTTTCCCATTGTACTATACGATGCTAGAGCAATCGACTTAGCGAAGAGCAAGGAGGACAAGACCTCGTTTCCATGCCAATGCGAAAGGGAATCTGCAAACCTCCAGACCTCCCACCCCCTCTCAGGCAATAGACGACAACCGCTAATTCTAAACCCATCCTCAGTCAAACTCAGTCGGCTTTGGCCAACGCAGTTTCCCCTGCAGCTAGATTCTAGCTAATTAACCACTAGGGATCAGTCTTCCGCCGCCAGCTTCGTCAACTCCTCCCCATCCACCATCATCTTCATCCACTCCTGGAATGATGGAGTGGCAATTGGAGCAATGATGCCTGGGATCGGAAAGATTTTCAAACAGAACAGATACCCTGCCGCAAGGGAGTCAGTCTATAAGCGGCGACGCAGCAGACTTTTGTCATAGTTAACCCTTGTTGCTGCCCCTTTTTAATAGACATTGGTCATTGCATGATCGCCGGTTATAGCAGAGATTTCCAGGTTGTAACTCTATTAGTTATGTGCCCGAGTGAAACACTGCCCGGCACTTCATGCCGCACTTTCTCAGCTTTTCTATTAAATGATTCTTCTGCTGCTGTTGGAACATTTCTATACTGTCTAAACTTTCTGACTATGAATTGTCCATAGTCTTTGTTTCTTTTTCCTAACCGTTGCCTTTACTTCTGCTTCTTTTCTTTCTTCTCCCCCCTTGGAGTCAACACCGCTATCATACATAACAAGTAGCCTGCACTGCCCGTACGGGGGGTTCGAGGATATGATGATTACCTGATGATTCGCAATGACTCAGAACTTGCGGAACCGTGTGGATGCGGAGCTTCTCGGCCTCTGTGATATCCTCCTGTCTTCCTGGGGATTTTTTCCTGCCGTCATCAAACTGACATGTCAGCTCTTAACTAGCCACGATGGGCTATAAACAGGAACTTCGATGTCATTATTCCTCAATTCAAAACATTTGCTATTGCATTTAGCATCATTGGCCTTGTGCCATCGATTGTAGCCGCATCATCTTTCTCACTCCCTGCCGGACCTGTGGGTATGGTTTGGGTGCTTTGCAGATATAAACTCGGTGAGAAAGTTGAACATGCGCCAGTTCACAACTCGGTGCTATGATCTTTCAGGGCGAGTGGCTTTATTTTTGTTGTTGGGCTTGCGATTGTAAGTCAACATCTATGCTGCCGTGCGCTACCTATAACATATTTTCCAGTCCGATCTTGCATCGTCTCTTCCCACATCTGGTGGTCTATATTGGTGGACACACTATCTCGAGCCGGAAAAGTTTAGAAAGCCACTCAGCTTCCTTGTTGGATACAGCAATACCATTGGTCTCATTGAGGAGATATGTTCCATTGACTTGTATGAATCCTTATCTCCCATCAGACCCTTCTATGCATTTGGTTCCTACTGACGATGCACAGATGGGTTCGCTCTGATGCTCTTGTCCATTCCTTCCATTGCATATGAATGGTCGGCGTCCTCACCAGCTGTGTATGGAGTTTTTGTGGGATGTGTGATAACCCATGCAATTGTGGCCACATTCGTTCAAATATCATGCACAGAATCCAAACTGGTGTCATCATGGCCAAATTCACACTGGTCATAGCCACCATAATTGCCTTGCCGGTTGGGAAATCCAGAACTGCACAGGGATTGAATTCTGGAAGCTATGTGTTTACTCATGAGGAAAATCTCTCAGCTTGGCCTACTGGTTGGGCCTTGATGCTTGCGGGCTACCCCCAATATGGACAATTGGAGAGATGGATTCATATGCTCATATGAGTGAGAAGGCAAGCAATGCAGCAAAAGCAGTTCCTTGTGGCATTCTGGGATCTATTTCTCAGAAGCATGTTGGATCTTTGAGTTTATCACAGTTTGTGTGATAGTGACTTCAATGAATCAGGAGATTAGAGCCTAGATGGACACTCCTTTGAGTAGCCGATGGCTTAGGTCTGTGCTGCTGTTGATTCATAATGCTCTAGGAAAGACCGCTCTTGGCTTCATGGTGGTTTTGACATCCCTTCAGTATTGGATGGGTTTGAGCTTGGTAAGGCCATGCAATTCAAATCAAATATAGCTAGCTTCTGTAGAATTGATAGCTTGTGGCTGCATCACGGCAAAGTTGGGCCTTCGCCCGAGACCGTGCACTTCCTTTTTCCAACTCTTTTAGAAAGCTTCAGACGCAAAGCAGCTTGCGTTTCCAACCAATACAACAGTCTGGGATGTGCATTCACAGCTATCATCCTCGGCGTTATTTTTTTTGATCAATTCGACGGCTGCTAACGCTCTCTTCCCGCTGGGTTCTTCGCGAAATGCTTTAGCATGGGCCACTCCTATTTTCTACTGCGTTGCCTAGGGCCAACATAAATTTAAGCCAGGTCCTTTTGTTTCGCTCTTGTATCCCGCATTTGAAATTTCAATCTGCATGTTCCTGCTACCAAGGCCATCTCCAACAGGTAAATGGTTCAGACGTTATGGTCTGGGGGAAAATGAACACAAGCGACCAATCTTCAATAAGCATTGCAATTTAGTGCTCAATGGGACTAGGAGAATAGGGCTTCTCTCACATGTTCAAAAAAAAAAAAAAAAAAAAAAAAAAAAAAAAAGCAATTTGATTTGATTTGATATCCTTTTTGGGTCTGTTGGTTGTTCAATGGTAAAAAGCTATAGGAGGAAAAATATGAGTGATGCATTACTTTTGACCTCGCAAAGGATAGTTAAGGACTCATCTGCGTCACTCTAGAATACTAGAAAACACAATCACGGGCTCGATTTGAATGTAATACACTATGGAATGATGATAAGGCAAAATACCATGAACTAGAAACCCCCTTCGGGGTTGGGACTGCCCCTGAATAGCGAATGATTTAACTTACCCTTATGCCGCGTTCGGTTCCGCTTGGGGTAGATCAGGTTTCCACTTAGGATAGCCCCAAGCAATGGTTATAGCTTGCTACTCCAAAGCTGACTCCGGCGACCAAAGGGACTTTTGCTGATGCCAAATATTAATGATATAGTTAAGAATAATAGAAAATATCCGGGTTTTCGTTGGCTTGTGTAGTAGCTCAGCAGATTTTAAAGTGGGAGAGAGAGAGCGAGCCACATCTCCTGCACAGCGCCCATGTATTCGCCACATATTGGCAAGGGGCGGTTACCCGGGCGCTCAACCCATTCAAATGAGAAATTGGTGTGGCTATGAGGACTACGGAGAAGTGGAGAGTCATGACAAGTAGAGTGTACTGGCAAGGATAGAAGATGTGCTTATAGGGTGCGCGATTTCGTGGTGCCTGAATAAGATCACTGTCTCCCATGAACGCGTGTTGTATCGATTTCAAGCAAAAGTTCTCTCACGTTTGACGGGACTTGGCGTTTTAGGATCATCGCGATCCCCGTGCTCTGAAGTGGAATGCAGAGCAAGTCGCCTCGGCTGCCAGTCGTCTTGATTTTTCTTTGGTTTTCGATGACTTATGTTGGCATCTTGATTAAAAGCGTGGTTGGACGGGGGATCGAAATAGTGGCCATGCCCATATGATGGAAGTCCGGAAGAATAGGGGATGTGCGACTGCTGTTGGTGCATTGATGGGGATGGATAGGGCATGTATGGATGCGACGTCGGGGAAGGGGGGTTATTTGACTTGTTGCGAAAGAAGGAAAAGGTTAAATTTGAAACGGCGAAACACGACGTTATCGAGGCGATGAAGAAAAACTGTGAATCCTCGTTTAGCAGAAGTAAAAATATAACCAGTCTAGTTGTAGGAAATATGTTTCATACCATAGTTTTAAAACTTATCGGCTCGATAAAACCGTTGAAAATTTCCGCCAGAGTCTGCGCGGAGACTTTGGCTCTCCCCACTTTGGCAGGGTCACGGTTCATGCATCTCTCCCAGTTCTCACAGATGGCCTCCAAAGCAGGTAATCTCCGTCCATCTTCGCCGCCGCATCGATTTTCCATATAGTTTTTCGCGCAAACAGCCATATCAGCAAGAATATCGGCGGACACCTTTTCGCTCTCCCGGTCGACGTCTGCCTGAATCGCAAGTAGGAACGCGATAATGATGTAGAGCGTTAGTAAGGCGAGGACAAGATTGAACATAAACTGAGCGTAGTATGAAAGAATGCGAGGTATGTGCGGATGTGATTCTAGGAAAGTGAAGAGGCGAGAAAAGAAAGCGAATTCAAGCCCCTGAGGGACGTTTTGCTTGGGTGTCCGGGAATGCGCCGCGTCTTCGCTGTTACTAGGTTCGTTGTTGGCGCTTTCATCACTGGCCCTTTGTCGCTTCCTATCGATTTCACGGTCTCGACGTCGCTTTTTATGGACCCTGGTAACAAGGACGTTCGAGTACTTGGATTTCGGGATCTCACCCCGTCCTGGGCTGGGTGCGAACCGTCCGTAGAAATTAAACAGAGAATTCCTCCTGTCTGCTCTGCCTCCCTTTTCGGGCGTTTCATCATTATCTGCATTCTCTGGAGAAGAAAGGTTTTCCGGACCAGATGAAAAGTCGACGTCCGCCTTATGGCGAGGGGTCATAAATGGAGAGCTGCGGGGCCCTGTGGTGGACGAAGCGGGCGGTTGAGAGAAAAGGAAGGGCTGGGAGGATGGCTCACGCAGGGCCGGAGTTGACGACTTTGCCGGTGAATCGAAAAGGCTATAAGGACCTTTAACAGTCAAGCAACCACAGTTAGTAAACGGAATAATATGCGTAAGTTTGAAGCCATTTCAACATCAGTAAGCTCACGTTTCTTGTCCTTGGTTCGATTCTGATGCTCCAATGCGAGCTGGTAGAATGGAGATTTGGTATCTCCAGTGGTACGGCTCTGCCATTCGAAGTCCATGGGTGTTTCATTTGCTCGTCTGTCCATGCTTATTGACCCTGGAGGCAAAAGATGATTCCTAGAGTTGGAGGATGATTGTCCAGCGAAGGATTTGGCTGGAGGTTGAAGTTTGAAGTTTGTTGATGGCTTGGCCCGACAACCGGGGGATATTTTAGTTGGGACTAGCCGCGACTCTCCCAACGTGGGTACTTGCGGCCCTACCCAATAGTACTCCGTAGGTGGTAACTTATTTAATCATTAACAAAAAACGCTGTAACGTGAGCTCACGTGCCCCCATCAAAAATCCGTAGTGGCGCCTTGCTCAGTGGCTTATCTCAGCAAGCTCAGACGCTTCTCCAGATATTCATTGCTGTTTTAACACTGGATTGATGATTATGTCATGAGCTAACCTCAAATAAGCAATAAGCTAACCCAAATAGTAAAATCAGGTCATGTGAGTGATGATATCTTGTGAAGTGTCTGAGAAGAAACAGTTTCTGATTATTAGCAATACAGAAAGAATTTACTCAGTACTCTGAGTATGAAAGAGAATTCTAACTTAACTTTATAGATTCATCATTTCTGTATCATCTTGAAATCTTAGAATAACAATGTTCTCATGATGTATCTGATTTTTATATTCATATCTCAAGTTCTTAGAATAGAAGTATCATCTCAAAGTTGATCAGTGTGTTTTTGAACACAGGAATTTTAATTCAATTTCTCATATAAAAAAAAACTCTTAGAAATTCTGAGATCAAAAAATATGATCATTTTCAAGAGTATACATCTATCTTAAATATAGATTTTTTTAAAATATTAAAGAAATATTTCTATTCTTCTTCTCTTTAGCTATAAGCTAAGGTGATTTTCAAATCTCAAAGATATGTGAATATATAGTAATAGAAAGTCAAAGTTGAAGAATCTGAAAAATCCTTGTAAATCTCAGAAATCTTCATTGAAGATGGAATCATTTCTTCTCAGATTCTCTGGTGAGGATTGCTCTGAGCACATGACTTGTATCAAAAGTAGGTTAGTGTCATGCCGGATTAACTAGTTAATAATAATGCTGCAACCCGTTCAAACCGAGCCAGAGGGTCTGAGCCCGCTGAGATAACTCAGTGGCATTGTCCTAGCAATTGCTCCTACCACCACCCCTACCGCCTCTACCGCCCCACAGCACCCCCTATCACTTCCACTTCATACCTCTACCCCCATCTTACCACTCACTCTCTTACCACCCCTTTCACCTCTACTCTCTCTATCATCATCACTGCCTCTACCGCCTCACAGCACTCTCTATCACTTTCACTCTCTATCTCTACTCTCATCTTATCATTCTACTTCTCTCTTACCATCTCTATCACCCCTCTCACTTCTATCACCTCTATCATCATCACTGCCTCTATCACCTCTCTCTATCACCTTTTTCACTCTCTAGTCTCTCTATTATCACTGCTATCTCTACTGCTCTGCAGTCTCTTCTATCACTTTCACTATCTCTATTTCTCTCTTACTATCTCTACCACATTTTGATCTCTGTGTTTATAGTATATAGTTACTGCTAAGTACTCTGTAATAAAGTCTCATATGATGTCATGTGCATCTCTTTGAATTCATGAATGAGATTGAATAGCTGACTCTGCAGTCTGTAGTAGTACAGCTCTGATTAATCTGATAATAGTGATAGAGATGATACAGAGTGAAAGAGAGTAGTAGAAGAAGTAGAGGTGATGATGGTGGTGATAGAGAGTGAAAGGGGTGGAAGAGGTGGTAAGAGTGAGTAGAGATAGGGGGTGGAAGTGGTAGAGGGATAGGGGTAGAGAGTGGAAGTGGTAGAGGGGGCTGCGCAAGCAGCAGAGCGAGCGTAAGCGAGCATTTGATGCTTGTAAGTAGTTACGGAGTATATTATTAGTTAACAGAATTTCCCACCAAGATTAGTCACTGTCTAAGCTGCTCTTTTGGTAGCGCCCTCCCTCGCTCCGTCCGTACGGTGTAAATAGATGTTCGGAGCTTCGGAGCCCGGAGGCTCTGATTTGTCAGCTGCCGGATGCTGAGTAAGCCTCCCGCTCCCGATTTGGCGACTTCTTAATAATCCAATGATTCATCCGCTGCTGACTGATCCGTATTCTTCTTCTTCTATACAACTGGCTCGACTCGGCCTTGATGACAGCGACAGCGAGGTTGATATCCGCATATTGGCTTGTTCATCGATCGATAGTAGGATATTGTGCTTCCAGGTGGGCTATTTGCAAACACACGCAGACATACACAGGGACAGGGCCCGCCTACAACCTCCTCCCGTAGCCCCGTTGCTGACTACGCCTCCGCCCGCCGATTAAATAACACCTTACTCATCGCCTCTGCCTCCTCCATTCGCCACCCACCAAGATCCTCCAGAGCAAAAAGTATCTCGAGAGATCTCCTCGACTTGATTATGACCCTGCAGCACGCGCTAGCTCCAGCGCCCCATCCCCAAATGCAAGACCTCAAGAACCAAGTCCAGGTATGAGTCCTCTCCTTTCCCTGTCCACTGGCTGGTGCAATTGTTTTCCGGACATTTTATTAATTAAATTGCCCTCACAGGACCATGCTGATCAGGGTGAGCTTCCGTCTTTCATCTATATAAAAAAGTACTCCATAGCTAACAGCTATGATACCAGTCCTCCACGACCAGCTCCTGGCTGCCCAAGCCCAACACCTCCATCAATCCCACCCTCACCCCCATTCTCACGCCCACCACGCTCCTCCTCCGCCCCGTCCAACCCCCGGCGCATCGGCCGCCTCCCCGCGCGACCAAACAAACACAAGTAACGCCAACGCCGCAAACATCACCATCGACCCCGCCATCGCTGGCCCCTCTGCCATGATCCCTCCGACTGCTGCGCCGCCCACGGCTCAGGGTCAAGCACCCGGGCCCGACATCCCCATGGAAGATCATACGGACGGGCGTAAAACTTATGGCAAACGCGAACTGTCCACCTCCAAACGCGCCGCGCAAAATCGGGCTGCCCAGGTATGTACTTCACACCCATCATCTTACCCTATCCTACCCCTCTGCGCCACTTGCCGACGCGACTTCTAACACGTAACGTAAACAATCCATAGAGAGCTTTCCGCCAGCGCAAGGAAGGCTACATCCGCAAACTCGAAGAACAAGTAAAGGACTACGACCTTCTCGTCGAAAACTACAAGGCCATCCAGGCCGAAAACTATCAGTTGCGCGAATACATCATCTCCCTCCAATCGCGTCTCATCGATTCACAAAACGAAGTCCCCGAGCTACCGGGGAACATTGACCTGTCCCAGCCGCGGAGCGATCCGCCCGCACCTGCCATTAACGCCGCTACTACCTCCGCCGCCGGTGCCGCTGGAAACGTTGCTACCACCACTGCTGGCAGTGCAGGGGCAGGTGGGGGCGACCAGGCGGAGGTTAACGCGTTGAACCGCATTGCCGTGGCTGGGCTTGGAATGCGGAAACACCAGCATGAGGAGGCCGCGTTTTTAGGGAATAATACCAACGACAACACTGCGGGCAATAATGCCAATGTCGGCGGCGCGAATGTGAACGTGAATAATGGGAATATGAATGTAAATCCGGAGGCAGATTCGCCGTCAAAGAGGATGCGGTTTGATGGGTTGCCGGATGTGGGGATGGGCGTTGGCATGGGGGATGGTGTTAAGGGGGATGTCACGTCGTGACCATGGCCGTAACTGTGATGTGGTCGCTGTGGCAGCACGGTAAATTTGGAGATCAGGCGGGATCCATTTCTCTTTTCCCCTTCTCCCGTTTTGTGTATATCACAAATGTGGCATGGTATCCCCAACACAACCCTGCCCACCTGCCCATGCCCATACCCATACCCATCCCGTTTCAAATCTCCTGGCCTAATACTTGTCCTGTAATCCCTCTTTGGCGTTTGGAGGTATATTTGTTTTTCCTTATTCTTTTCCTCACGTCTGGTTTGTCCAATCAAATTTATCCTATCGCGTGTCCCATCTCATCCTTGTCTGGCACACAACATATCCATCCCGGCTCGTTTTCATTGTTCGTTTTCTCCTTTACTTATATTTTGGTACTACCGGCTATCCCCTTCCTGCTAACACCCAGTGGAATCTGGTATATCCGTTCCTGTTCAGCGTTCTCCACCCCTACCTTCTTACCCTCCATATGTAATCGCTTCACCCCGATAATTCTGTTTCCCTGTTCTGGCTGGTTTCCTTCTCCTGTTGCGCAGGTGTTTGTTCCATTTCCTTTCGCCTAGCCTGTCTGTTGTAAGTACTTGTGCACGTATGTATCTATCTATTGGATCTGAGCATCCCGCGTTTGATCTGCTCTCCGGCTCTAACGCCGGCTCGAGCTCTTGAGAGCCATGACTTCTGGAGTGCGTGGGAGGGAGCTTGGCGTCTGCTGCGGCGTTTGGAGGGCATTATGTTATGTTTCTTTTGTCACTAGCTTTATTAGTTTATTTCTTGTCTTCCTTTCTACCTTTTTCTTTTATAAAAAAATATCTCTTGGTATTTCCTAAACGTGAAATTTTGTGATTTGTACCTTAATTTTTGGTGTAGGAGGCATTTCTTGCTTTTCGATCCGATCTAGAGAGACCCAAATGAACTCAGTTTTGCGAGGGGATGCTAGTTAGTAGCGAAAGGAGAGCGCTCTATATATAGCTTGTTGATCGTGGCGCGCGGGGGAGTTGACCAAAACTTTACAAATTTTCACTACTTGATTTTTTACCTCTTTTCGTCGTCTCTTTTGTGACTTGAGTGAGAATGGAATGTCCCGGTTTTCATGAGCAGGACTTATCATGCAAGGAACACGGGCAGCCGTTAATTTATCTATTCAGCCTCCAAGAAATGGACATAGTAGAGGATAGTTAACTAAGGTAAAAGTCGTCAAATCCCATTCTTATAGTTAGCACCCGAATTTTAAATCCCATGCCATCCCGTCCCATACTCCAAATCCCATCCCGATATCAAACCACATTTGCACAAGATGAATTAACATACCTACGCATACCCTGCATTTCCCAAATTGTGTTCCTATCACATCAAGCACCATTAGCAAATTCAACCATATAGAACAACAGCTTAAACAAATGCAAAGATGGAAATGACGAAAGACATACCTTAATATAATCTCCCCCTTTCTCCAACCATTCCTGCCTACTAACCGCCGCACTCTGGAACTCGCTACCACCAGCCCACTCCGCTGCACCCCTCCAAGCATCCAACATCGAATCCCCCGCTTTCCTAACATTCAACACCGACCCCATCTCCACCGGTAACACCGTCCGAAACTCCGCCGCAAACCTCTCCTCAAACCCTTTAAACAGCGAATTACCCCCCGTAATAAACACATCCCTCAACAACTTTGCTCGCTCCTCCCCCGCCGAAAACCGCTGCTGGTTAACAATATCCGCCGCGATTTCCACGAGACCCGCTTGGTCCAGCCCAGCAATCGCCGATGGCTGGAACAGGACTTCGGGCACCCGTATGCGCTCCACGTTTAGATGGAGCTGGTGCGCCTCGCGCGTGCTTTCCGGATCAAACGGCCAGGGACCCCGTAGGAACATGTGGATCAGACTCTTGGTCCAATCCGACTGGGCGTCCAGGGTGTGATTCTCCGTGAAGTGCGGGTCATGCTCCAGGAGCTGCTGTTCGATCGCGCGGAGTTGGTTGGGGATGTCCATTTCGTCGTTGTCGTCATCGTCGGAGGCGGCGCCTGCTGCGTCCGGGCCCGTGGCGACGGTGCGATAGACGCGCCAGTCGTCGTCATTGGCACCGAAGGTGTCGTCGTCTGCACCTCGCCGACGTTTCTTGGTGGGTGTGTCGGAGGCGAGGTTTGCGAGGGTTTTCATGCGCATTTGGCTTGCAAGGGATTTGCGGTTGCCTAGGTCGGCTTTTAGGCGCTCTCTCTCTTTCAGTTTTTGGAGAAGGGTCTATACGGTTAGAAATTAATATGCCGTTTTGGCTCTATACAGGTGGGGTAGGGGACCTCTTCCCCGCCCCTAGGGGTAAGGTACATACCTCGCGAGCTTGCCTCCGCTCCTCAATCCACTCTTCAAAATTATTTTCACGCTTTTCATTATCCAGCCGCTCTTCCTCAGCCACCCGGGCCTTCTCCATCTCCTTCTCCGCCTTGGCACGTTGTCGCGCTTCGATGTTCGATTTCATGAGTCGTTGGTGGCGCTTCTCCTTTAAACCGGCCTCATCTAGCTCTTCGTCGGGAATATCCAATAATGGGAAGGTGGCTTCCTCCTGTTCCTCTGTTTCCTCATTTCCCAGATCCTTATTGCGGGATTTCTTAATGGACTTCTCGAGATCGCGTATTGTGCGCTCCAGATGTGCTTCGTCCTTCATATCTTCCGCATCGAGGATGCGCTTGACTTCTTTCTTTGATTCGGATGCTAGTCCCTGCTGTAGGTCCTTGTAATACTCCAATTCTTGCTCCTTTTTCATTAGTTTTTCCAGCCGCATCTTCGCAGCTTGTTCCTGTAGCCGTCTGCCGCTTTCTTTTTTCCTTTCTGCAATTCTCGCCAGCTCTTCTTCCGTCTTCTCCACGACAACATGTTCTGTAAACGGGTATTGGATGACACGGTCGCGCTCCTCCAAACCTGTCCAATCAAGATATCCCGATACCTCGCGGTCGTAGTCAGTCGAAACATAGCAGTGTTCATGGACCAGTTGTGTCATTTGATGCTCCGTCATGCGGTCAGGGAAGGTAGGGTATTTCAGTTTTAATAACTTCATCATGAACTCGGCTGCTTGTTGGCCGCCCCAATTCAACCGTGAGGAATTCGACAAGAGCGCCTTGGAGTTAACAACGGGGATGACGTGCGTAGAGGAGTGAGAGGATGAGATTACCAGCCCGTCCGTTCCGCGGTTATATCGGTATGAGAAGAGAGAGTCAATGCCGTAGGCGACTGAGGGGGCAGAGTAGCACTCAAAAAGAATTTCATTCATCACTATTTCCCGTTAGACCGTATATGAGAAGTAGATATATATGTAAAGAGTATATGAGGCATACTTCTCCTCGTGTAGCCCAGGTTAGCAATAGGCTCTGTCAGGACAATTGGCCTATCAACACCGCCATTCGCCCCGTCCACCCCCAGCTTCAGGAATATATAATCCAGCACGCCTTCCATGACGTCCCAGTTGCCAACGATATTTGTTCCCGGGTCGAAAGCATTCCGCACCTGGCCGCGCGTGGTCGCATCGACGTAGGCATCATATCCCGCAAAGTGACACGTCCGGTTAACCTTGCGATCGCGGTACTTGGCCATGACGGGCGGGATGATGAACCGAGGGGATTTGTCAAAGGACCAGCCTGCCTTGACGAGGTAGGAGCCTAGGCAGAGAAACACCATGTATATATAAGTAAAGCGGTCAAGCCAGATTGTGCATACGGGAATAAAAAACCAAGATATGCATACCGTTGTCAATCACGATGGCGCTGGAGCTCGCTGTCTCTCGGCTCTGTTCGTAGCCCTCCGGCTGCGGAGGCATGTAGCCCTTGAACGGCGGCTCTTGGATAGGATAAAGCTTGGGAGGCGGTTTTGGGTCATTTTTTTGGGAAATGTTAGCCGCCGCTCGAGGCGCGACGAGGGCGCGGGTAGAAATTATAGTCATGGCGACAGGGAAGAATGAGATTTGCGGAGGATGGAGCTCTCATGCGCAGTTCAAGTTAGCTTTGAGATGGGAGGTGGGGGCGCATTGTTTGAGATAGGATGGTTAGGAATTGAACTGGAGTGGTTTTGAATTAGCAGTGGTTAGATTTAACAGCTGAAGTGGCCGACATGAAGTTGAAAAGTTGAAGGTTTGGAGCTGGGAGGCGGCGTTTTCTTTCTTCTTCGGCCGCACCACAGGAAATATTTATGGAATAAAATGGCGCTCTTTTGAAATACTAACTAACTAAATACATCAATTTTGATATTTCAATGATTTACCTAAATATTCAGTAAATAGAGACATTATAATGGATACTACATTCATTCTACGCCCGAATTTAAATATCCCACGCAGGAAATCACTATGCCTATACACGCAGAACGTGAACAGTGTGAACTAGATGCATTCAGTGTATTCAACTAAATATTTAAACAGAAATGAAAAAAAAAAAAAAAAAAAAAAAAAAAAAAAAAAAAAAAAAAAAAAAAAAAAAAAAAACCCTCTCTCCCAACTCCATGAATCATTACCGCATTTCTAGATGCCCATCAATTCATTCAGAAGTAATACGCCATAAATAGCCAAACCAGAAGAATATGAAAGAAACTCATACTGCCCATCCAACTAAGCAGCCCGCAAGTTCCTTAACTCTTCCGTGGCTGTTCACGCAGAAGACAATTAATTAGCAGAGCGAGGAGTAATCAACCGAGCATAGTTCTAAACATCCTCCAGGGTGCAAAAACGTAAGGGGCAATGCACACACCTTCGAGATGGAAAAGCACATTGGACTGATAATTCTTAAACATCTGCGCAACTAGCTCGACGTTCATGTTTTGCACGTTGACCTCCTACTCAACCACAAGCATTAGTCCCATCCTTTCCCACAGTTAAAGACGGGTATTTTATGAACATACGGACCTGAAGGTTCTTATTCAATACCATGATCGCTTCGTTGAGTTTCTCCTGGAGTTTGGATGTTATTATTAGGATCTATGCGTATACCAATACAGCCAGCCCTGCCTGTGAGGAGACCATGCAATGTATGAAGGTAACATAGAAACATACAACATTGGTGATGATGCGCGAGAGGAGAAGGCTCTGCTGGTGTTCATGGGGGCTCTCCTGAAGAGTAGTTAGTAGATGCGTATATATATAATTAGATACTGGGCAGAAGGGGTTATGTACTGTACCATGGTTGCTGTGGTTTTGTTAGAGGAGGGTGGTCCTCTAGCCAAAAGAGAGAGCGATTAACTAAAATGATATAGCTGTCCCTTATTCTGTAATTTGCTGTCTCGATTCTCTCCTCCCTTTGCTGGTCTGTCTTGAACTGTTGATGGTTTGATTGTTTGATAGAAGCATCTCAAGCCTGTGTTTAGCAGATGTTTGCAACCTTGACAAACATCCAATCTATTTATCAAGCTCTCTCATAACCTCTCTTTCTTTCATCTTTCATCTTCATTCTAATCTTCAATTCTTTCCACGATATAACGCTGTTTTACCACTCTATCCAAGTCCATACTTTTCAATCCTCATCTACAATCATGGCCCCCGTCTCCACCGCCACGGATGACTCCCACCAAAAACTCCTTGACCAGCTCGATATGGGCCGCTTCCCACGCCCTTTCCGCAACCCGCACTGGAAACCCTCCGCTCGCCGCAACAAAAATGTAAAGCAAATCCTCTCTGAAACATCGCGCAAGGAAGCCTCCGTTCTTGCCAGCCAGAACAATTCCGGCGCCTCCACCCCATTCGCCCCCGTGTCTAGCACTCCCGTCACCGCAACCCCTGCAACGGAGAATGGAACCGGTGACGGCACCCCCATGACACCAGCCGCTGGAACAGGTGCAGGCGCGGCCTCGCGACCACCCAACATCGCCCAGGCGGCCCAGAGCCTCTCAACCCTGGTGCTGGAGAAGAACTTCCGCTCTCTAGCCCAAATGGGAAGTGGAATGGCAAATGGGATGGGTCCAGCAGTAACTTACACGAACATCGAATCTGCGCCTTCTTTGCACCCATCTTCGCAGAAGCGATACTGCGATATCACAGGCTTGCCCGCACCATATACGGATCCTAAGACGCGGCTGCGATATCATGATAAAGAGGTGTTTGCGGTTGTGAGGACGTTGGGACAGGGGGTTGCGGAGAGTTATCTGGAGGTTCGCGGGGCGCATGTTGTGTTGAAGTAGAAGGTTTGTTTTTGCTATTCATGAAGATTTTTCGATATTTGAATGACGATGACTCTGCGGTCTATATGTGGATGGGCCCAAAGGTACGTGTTGACTAATATTTTACTTTGCGAGACATGCGAATATCTGATTATTCTAGCTTATATTGATATTGACTTCTATACATATATAGAGAGAGAGAGGGCAATTGAACCCCACAGTCACGAAAAAATCCGAACAGACAAAGAAATGTCAGACCAACAAAGTCAAGCCTCACGCAGCCCACCCCACTCCTTTCGAGACGGGGTTCAATAGTGATGCTCCGGCTTAATCGTGACCTTTATTTTTGATCTCCGCCTGCAATATATCAATGATAGTACATGCAGAAAATCCGACGCGTTACCGCTATCCCATGGGGGATGGCAGTTACAGTGGCATAGGAGCAACTGTGGTCGTAGCGGCTTGGGGATCGGGATGGGATGGGGATGAAGATTGAGGATGTATTGGGCAAGCATGAGGCGGGATAGCGATGAGTCTGCAGGTGCTATACAAACATGGGGCACATGGGTTTAAATCGAGGAAAGTGTACAGAAGCGGACATTCTATTGCCTAGATGCAACGGGTGTTCCAATCACGTATTTTCGCTCAGAACATGATGGGGGTTGTCTGCTAGTTTCTAAACGATAAAACGTGAACATAGTGAATGTTTACCTTAAGGAGTCGGACAGGTCCATTGGCATATGTTCCTTTTCATAATCAATTCTTCCAGACAGTGGCTGTGGTTGTCGTTTAGCCCAGTTGGAGGAAAAAAATAAAATAAAAAGAGACGAGGAAACGAAAATTGAAGTTGGTGGAACATGTTTGGTTTTATTTTGGCGCGGTTAGCTTAGTTTAGGCGGGCGGGTATTCAGCAATCCACCGCCAATCAGTTGCCAGCAAATATTCTAGTTCATTTAGCGGCGCTGCCAGCCGCGCGTCTGGGATCCTCTCCCCAGAAAGCCAAAAGATAAAATAGAAGTAAAGCAAGATTATTTCAAAAATAACCTACAGTTATGTATGCTTTCTACAGACAACCCCCGTGTCCCTCTCCTTTTCAATTGCAGTGATTATTACACACTTCCCGATGCGTTGCCCGCTTATTTCTGCCAATCTCATCCAGATACTTCCCAAAGATCTCTACTACCTACCCAGCTGCCTACCGATCTACGTCTGCGCGGAACGAGATATCCCCTGAACATCCCTAGTCCGATAGGCCTCGAGCCCAATCCTGACAACCTCCATATCCTGCCATACTCGCCCGCGCTTCGTCGTGCCATACATTACCAGCACTAGCTCAAGGGTTTCGAGCGCCGGAAGGAGAGTAGCTGGGAATACACCGTAGCGTAAGAGCACAGTACTCGCGCCCAGCGGGGAAAGAAACAGGACAACCCCCCGCGGGTTGGAGAGAAATAAGAATTATAGACCGTCAAGATGCCGACAATGTGGTTATCAGATATACAGAGTGAGTACACTTGTTGTTAAATCGCTGTATTCCTTGGACATACGTTTGTAAGATTCGGAGGTGCATAATATGATGCTTGTAGAGGGAGCTGCGAATTTAAAAACATGTGCTTGCAATATGCGCCCGCGGATGCTGGGCCCATTGTGTTCCGCAGCAGGGCGGATTTTGTTCTCCACTTTGCAGGTCTGGAAAAATCGCATGCGCTACACATTGCTAACATAATACCTTTTTAACAGAGTTCGGGGTTGTGTTTTGTTCTGGCGGTATGTGAGGCATATCTACAACCTCCCCCGTTGCCCTGCGCTCGCCGTCCCTTGCGATTGGCAATTGGCGGCTGTAGATCCGTTATGGATTTTTCGCATTCGCAGCGAAACACGAAGTGAAAAGCTGGAGGCTAGCGTTTGACCTATTGTCTCTGATCGATTTTATATATGTAGGGGCATTATTCCTCTTTTTGGGCATTATGATGTTTTTTGATCGGTCACTGTATGTCCCCTTTCCCATACGCACGTACCTACAGAATTGAAAACCATCACTAACTATTGACTCTTTCAGCCTGGCAATGGGAAACGTAAGTACCGCTCTCTCTACTGTCCCATTTCCAAAGATTAGGAGAACAAAACATACCTACGTACCTCCAGCAGCACTTCTAACCAACCCCAACAGATCCTCTTCCTAATCGGCCTCCCCCTTATCCTCGGCCCTTCCAAAACCCTCTCCTTCTTTGCCCGCCGCCAAAAGATCACAGGAACCATAACCTTCGCGCTAGGAATCCTTCTAATCCTCTTCCGTTGGCCGCTGATCGGCTTCTGCGTCGAGCTGTACGGTCTCTTCGTGCTATTTGGGGACTTTTTGGTTACCTTGAGTGGGTTTGTGGGGTCTGTCCCGGTGGTGGGACCGTCGTTGAAAAGGGTATTGGTGTTTATCGGGACGGCGGGCGGGAGGAGGGGCGGGGGTGGGGAGTTGCCGGTTTGATTTTGGTTGATTAATATTAATTGATACGTTTTGGGGTGCTGTTATGGGTCATGTTTGATACTGGAAGGAACCGGAGAGGAAACGGGAGGGAGTACGTGATATCCTGTTATATATGTCCCCTGTTTCCTTTCTTCTTAATCTTGCTATTTTTCTTCATACTTTTCTCCGTCTATTTTCATAGTTATTTATATCTGTCTCGTAAATTCTATTGTGAAGCCGGCGGATGGATACGTTATATATCACTATATCTTCAATGTCATCATCACACTGTACATATAAGAAGACACAAGGAACGAGAAAGCCACCTTTGGCCACATGATCAACTACATCTTTGCGGCATTTGTAACATGATAAGGTATAATTCAGTATAAAAAATCGGACGCTCTGCGTAAGAAGAGCCTAGAGGGTATTATTTGTAGAAGCGATTATACGACCAGAGCGTCTGCATTGGATGGTCCAGGGAGCTTCAGAAACAAGCAGGATATTTTCAAGGATCCAGAGAATATTCTGTTCGGTCAATGAGCCCGCTTGGTAGCATCCGCCAAAGGGTTGACCTGTCGACGCGTCGAAGAAGTGGACATTCCGGAATGCTGTGCGATCAATAGGCATATTGTGTTCCCCAGCCGGAAACAGAACTCGCACTGACAGAACAAGAAAAGAAACGGATGTAGATAAATACTAGCATCACTAAACACAAGAGGTCCTACTACGTTCCTTTCGAAGTTTCGGAGTAAGCGCGCGTAGCTTAAGCGGGCGGCAACGGTAGTTAGTTAGCTAGTTTACTAGTTAACTGCCGCAGCGGGCATAGTTAGTGGGCAGACAAATGGACCTCGGCACCATCCGCTAACAACCAACGTACCGTACCGATCCAACAGACGCCGAAATTTCCCTGCTGATAACGGTGAAGAAGCCCATGAGCAAGCAGACATCGGAGGTCAGGTTCGGAATGCCGCATAATCAGCTGCAGGGGTGCTCGAGGCCGCTGTGAACGGAGCCATCTATATTGAAATTCTAATTGCTCCGGCCCTGAGCAGGCACGCATTGCCTTGTGCATCGTGCTGTTCTGCTGTTCTGCTGTGGGAATATGGTTCACATCGGTTTTTGAGACACCACACAGCCAATATCACCAAATCCATTGATTACAGCAATACAGGTATAGCTCCACGGGACAAGTCGTGCAGGCTTGGTATATGTGTAAAAACCTGAAGATCAGCCTTTGAATCGAATCGCCCAGCAAGCCGCGGGCGAGTTAGTATTGGCATACTCAAGCGGTACTCTCAAGTTGCGCCAACGAGGTGCTTATAGCACCGTCATCATCATCATCATCATAACTAGTAGGTTTTAGGTGGGCAAGTGCATGATGCCCAGGGAATCGGCACTGGAGGCGAAAAAAATTGGCAAAAGGCGGTCACGTTCCCCTTTCGCCTTTGCTATGCTGCAACTACGTAACCGTCCGGCGTCGGGAAGTAGTAGTTGAGTATCCCAGAGGCCGTTTCATTGCCTTCACTGAGTCTTTGGGGGTGGGGTCATTTCCAACGATTCGAGCGAGCTCGTCGAGGGTTGGCAGGACAATGTAGACAGCCATGCCATGGGTATGAAATGTGACTTATTCAAGGAAGGGTGGGACAATTAATGGAGGCAGAAATAAGAGCGTGATATGGAGTTGCTGCTGTGCCGCTGGCTATACAGGCAAATCTATCTACCGCCTATTAAATGCGCAGATTAGCGCAATCGTTGCGACTTGTTGGACTTCAAGGGCTTCGCGGGAGAAAAAAAGATTTGAGTTGATGACCTGTGGTATTTAAAGATGCCCCTCTTGGCCTCCTCGTACCATATATAACGTTGTTTTCACCATTTCTGCTAGACTTGTAGCTCTTATTCATAGTAGGCGGGGAGTGCTGAACTACGCGATGCCATTGCCATGGATGTGCTGTAATGTCGGCTGCCACTTCAATACTAGCGAGGCATAGATGCTCAGAAACTAATATTCCTAAGGAACCCAACTAACTACCTAGATCAAGAAATGAATGCTACAAACAGTGTTTTAGCTGATGATAGGTATTAACATTGAAGTTGGGCATAAATGCAGGTTGTCTAAAAATAGAAGGAATTTTGAAATTGATTGAACCAAAATCCATCTTTTAGATATTGAATATATTATATAACTTAGATGAGTTCCTATGTTTAAGGTAGCCTAGATAACAGGGCATAGGTTAACTAACTATAACCAGCCTCATACAATATTCCAGCACATCCAACATGAACAGGGGGGAGGTGTAGGGGGTACAATTTGAAAGAAAGAAAAGAACAAAGAATTGCAAAGGAAAATGCTCAAATCACTTCATTTGACTTGTATCTAGTCATAACAATGGACAACATAATTAGTTAACTAGTTATGTATTGGTTTGTCCATTTGTTTGTTTAATTTGTTTGGTTTGTTTCCATGCCTTCACTTCCTGGGATTGCTCAATTCCACTCTCCCATCGCTTATGGTAAACCGGTCATATGTTATATTAATCCTGCTTAGCGTTCTAAGCGCCCCCCTGACCCTTCCTAGCCTCCTCCTGAGCGACCTCCGACCTGATTAGATAAGTAGCCCAGCTTTTGACATGTTCGTTGACTTGGAAGATGGGGATATCGGGTGGCTGGTGCGCGATGAAGAGAGTGGTCAAGGTTTTGCAGATGACGATTCCTTCTCTGAGCTATTTGTGAGAAAAACAAGGCGAAGGGTCGCACGAGTTAGCATTTGTCCCTTGGTATAATATGGGATACTTGTTAAGACGCCCGTGATAGTCCTAGATAGAACAGAAATGAAAATGAGGTGTGGGAACAACCTTCCGGCCGATGAGGCAATCTGGGCCCGTCTCTGCTCTCACGAAGAAGTATTTCTCTCCAGCGAACGAGAATCCATTCGTTTCCACTTCCTTGGGCTCATCACCGTTGGTATTCTCAAAGGCCTTAAGGATGAAAGGGATCTCATTTGGCAAGGCCTGGTTTTGGTATGTAAATTAGCCTTCTTCTCTATTTGGAATGATTTTAAAAAAGGGATGCTGATTTATTTCCGGTGCTGGCCGTTTCCTCCCCTCCAGTTAAATGGGAGCGTGGGAGAGTTGATATGGAATCTTTGCATACAGTGAACCCCGGAGTGGCGGCACAGGGCGACATGGTCTCTATGCTGTAAATAGCCGCCTTGTCGATTCCCTGGTACTGCTTTAGTCTACAGATGGATATGGGATATTAGCTTTCTTGCAATGGACGATGCTGCCCCGTAAGACGGTGAAGACAAAGGGGTAACGAAAGCCCTCCCGGGGGGTGATTCGATCGACATACCGATCGTAAAAGTCTAATCGAAGCAAACGGAGGTCAGTTTCCAAGGCTATGAAGTGAACATATATGCATCGGCTTCGTGTGGATTCGAGTGCCACCGCAACCAGGGATACGAGGGACTTACCTTGCCAGCTCGCGGGCCCTTCAGCGTATGCCTCCGCCATTTTATCGGAATGATATATGAAAAAAAGACAAAAAATCGATCTATAGAAACCGGCACGGGCTTGCTACAAAAGGGGGTGGGGGGATATGATGGCATGTATTAGCAGGGGTCAAATGAGAGATGGGCCGAGGGAGGATGGGGGGATTGATTGGCTTACCCTTAGAAATAGCTAGTTGGTGAAAAGGGGCTTGACAATCAAGAGAGACTGTAAAAGCTGGGAGAAGTGATGGGAATGAGATAGAAGAGCGTGGGGGAGGAGAACAACAAGATATGGTGGCGGACGAAAACAAACAACAACAACACTCAACTAGACAAAACTTGGAATATAAATCCATCCACTTGTCCTCTTTAAATTTATCCGTCCAAACCCGCAGAAAAGAGACAGCGCGACAGAAGAGGGGCAGCAGGCCGTATTACCTAATCCTGGCAGCCCTAACTTACCCCGCCCATCCCACACACAACGCGCAGACACTCATCAGACACACACCGTGTAGGTTTTTTCTATTCTTATCTACCTACCTACATGGTATCCCACTACTGCTGGCTGGTGCTGACAATTATTCCATAGTTACTCAATGCTGCTTCCTGCCCATTGCCAAGGGGATATAACGATCCAGCTTCTCTCTCGTCTCTTGCTTCGTGGTGGATAAACTAGCTGGACTACAACCTCTATACGGAGCACCTTGTACGGTTTAGACATAACGCGATATACCGGGCCCGCTACTGGAAAACACCACGGGAGATCTCTTTCAGGTTGATTTCGTCACATGGCTGCATGTTTTCCGTCAAGAATACGACCTGCGGGGAAGACAGACGGGGGAAGGGCTGAATGGGCCGTGCTATCAGCCCTTCTTCCCACACCTGAACTGCAATGGCTATACTATACTAGAAATCCTTGACACCATTCCCAGCTATAATATTGCATCTGCACAGATGGTCGGATGATGGGCCCAATAGTCATATCGATAGGATAAAGTGGAAAGAAATAAACACTCTCTATCTCAAGAACTCTGTCGATACACATACATTTGACCTAAGGGCCAGCCAGTGGTAACCGTGCCCCCGGATTTCCCAAAGGGTCGGCGTCTTTCATCAGCTCCTGGCGGTCATCAATGTGATAGTGACGGGGAGTCTCATCATTGCTCCCAAATGCATGCTCATGCCAATGGCCTCCTGCTGCATGGTATTCATGAACCAAAGAGAAGTGCAATCCAAGCGTAGTCGATTCATGACCCTTCTTGTGGTTTCCAGCGAGGAGTTTGTACCATTGACGCCTCCTCCGACTTGAGATGCAAAGGAACCATTGATGGATTTCTATCGCCTTTCGAGGGAATAAGTTGGTATCTTGTCTCTGATCCTGGAAATCATGGTTGCCTGTCATCATGAAACTCTAGTCGGAAGCCCTCCGTGAAGCATTCCGAGGCAACTTATATCGTTGACCCTGTGTTCACGGCTCATCGTGCGGTATCTATTATGAAAAAAGTGAATATATTTTCAGAAAGAGGGACCAACAGGGTATTAGGGGGAGTCCCTTTCATTTAATACTTTATCAGATTCATCCATGAGACCAGTGGGCGGAACAGTGGGCAAAGTCGGTTTCATGGCAATCCAACTCCGCTAGTCAGTCATGATGTTTCATCTGGCTGGTATTGAGACTGTCAGCAAATTTCTTCCAATAACTACGCTAGAAGACACTTGGAAGCCAATAAACAAATTCAACACCTAAACAGCGAATCAAAATTAAACTTGCCTCAAAATAAATCGTTGGCCAAGCGGAGCGGGTAACTTAAGTTACCGCTAACTAACTAATTGGCCGCGATAACCCTGTTCTGTCTTCAAAGTAGGCAAGGTCTGAATACAACCGTCTCAAAACTCCCCCACCCCCAGGGACCTCGAAGGCGCTGAGCCATTGACGAAGCGACGAGATGAGTGAATTGCATCTGAGATCTTAACAAATGGGTGACAGGTGCACTATCTCTCCCCTGCTGAGTCTGGCCATCATCAGCATCCATAGATGTAATATGGCATTTTGGCACGAATAAATATTCGACCAGCGCGCGTGGACAGGGAACCTTGCAGCGCCAGGAAGAAGACCCTTGGGGGCTGGTGTGATCTCATCTCCTTCAGCGCCTAGTTACCATTGCTTACGCTCCGAAGAGTTCGCTTCGAGAATATGTGGCATCTAGGGTATCTATCATCAGTGGGATATGCCGCTATGATAATAATTGCTGACCCTAATGCAATTTCTTATTCTCTCAGCAGTCGAACCGTTCCAAGGTGTGTTTCAGCAGTCTAGATTGCTGCAACACCCCAATCCACCCCATACCCATGTCCACGCAACCTGCGACATGGCCTGAATGGTCGAAGTAACTACTGTAAATGGAGGAGAACACCGACCAGCCTCCTGTCGCAAACTCCACTCCTCCCGCCGTGTACCCTCTCCTCTGAGCCTCCCGTAGTCGTGACACTTACGCTATTTTTGTCCCTCATTTTGGCTTCTATTCTTTCTATTCTTTCTATTGTTTAGATCCTACTTTCCTTCTTTTTTATTCTGTGTTCCATTCCTCCGACTTCCGCTGCCTTCTTCAATTCTCTACATTCATTTTTCACTCGATTATCGCTTTCTGGAAAGCCGTCCATTCATTTCCTTTTATTTTCTTATTTCTATTCTTGACGCTGGGCCCTTTCGGTATTCTTGTCCGCAAGTGTCATTCATTATCCAATAGCCAGGTTTAAACCAACCTTATGAGCAACCATTGAAATAACCATGAAAGCCTTGAACACCAGGCAGCGTGCAAATACAACTGGTGACACCATACCACGGCCAAGATTCAATAACCCAGATGCTTTCCCCCAATCTGGCCTACAGGATAATGGGCAGACCTCTACCAGTAACACTGTCCGTAAACGAAACAATACCGTTAATGCACATGCTGGCTCGCAACGAGCGGGCTGGAATGCCCCTCACACTCCCGCCTTTGATTTCCAGCTGTCAACAGCACCGGAAGCAGCACATTCCTTACAGTCCCAGGAAAATATTTCATCGGACGATAGCACGACGATGATAGGCGTGGCAGTTGGGAGCCCCACTATGCACAGGACCGCCGAGTATGCACGGTCGCATGCAGTATCCCCAGTGGCCATAGATTTCGATTCGATGGGCGTAGCGGGCTCTGCAGAATCAGAAAGTTCGGGAACTAAACCGAGCAAATGGAAGAAAATCAGCGACTTTTTCAAGGCTAAGAATTCACTGCAACAACACCAACAACAAGAACAACAACAACTTGAACATCATTCTGATGATCGACTAGCAACCTCTCATGAATGCCGCACTCCACTAGCGGATTCTCGTTCCGTTCAGAACCGTGAAGCGTCATCTGAAGCTCACACGCCGTGGGATGATCATGAATTTGAACACCGTATGGGTAAACCTTCACGGGAGTTAGCGAAAGATATGTCGAGATCACCTAGGGGGAAGGAACCTAGGAAATTGGTCAAGTATGTGGAGCCACCGAAGCCTAATAAAAGCGCTCCTCACCGTGATAAACCGATAGCGAAGCTTTCGAAACCAGAAGAAGTATTTCAACCCTCGGAGCCAGAGCATGTCTCTCGTTCGTTGCTAAATGTTGAAATCCCTGAGGTTCGCTTGGAAAGATACAGTGTGATGTTTGGAAGTGTCTTGGGCAAGCCGCCTTCTACAACGCTATTAGCTAGACGTAGCAAAACGCTTGATATGCTGAAGACTCACTATGAGGAGGTGAATGCATCATATTTTGGTTTTTCCCAAGCCTTTTTTATTGAACGCTAACCAATGATGCAATAGGATGAATTGGGACACACCGAAATACCATTGACCAGGCGAGCAACCTCTCCAGCTCTGACAAAGTCGCCGGCATTTACCCTTTTTCCTGCAGCACCAACATCCAAGCCGACTAAGGCACTCCATAACACAAACTTCCCCCGCCCGAATGTCTCATTGCAGCTATCCAATGCTACTTCGCAATCGCCTAACAGAGAATTGAACGAGAAGTCCATGCCTGCAAAGGACAGCACACTCCCTCAGACAGGGACATCATCCATGGCGACATCTTCAAGCTCTCGCAGTCAGTGGGTATCGGAAGGGGCATCATATTTGTCAATGGTATCTACATCGTCATCATCATCTGATATTAGTTTATCATCCGAGGAGGATGAAGTTGTGCCATTCACCTACAAAAAGCCCGTACCGATCTCTACTGATGAACCCATGTGGGAGATACTGAACCCCACTGCAAAGGCTGAGCCGCCACCAACCAAATCCAAGAGTCTGCTGCAACCCCAGAGGCTACGAACAATTCGATCGGAGGAATCGTTTGCTGCCATAACGGAGCAGACTTATGCCCCTTCAACGCGAATGACAAATGAAGAGACGCCCGTTTACCCTAAACAGTCAGATCCAAAGTCCGAAGCCAGGGTTGAGGCACCATATACCGAATTCATGACCCCCCCACAACCCCAAAGACTCCATATAACCCGGTCCGAGGAACCCTTTGTTTCAGCTGCACAAGGACCTCACGATTTCCCCCCCAAACATATGGCATCGGAAGAGCTGCAACCCCCGCCCACCAAACCGCATCCAGAATCCAAACCAAAATCTGAGCCAAAACCTAACAAACCGATCCGCCCCCACCCAATAATTGATATTGAACAGTGGCTGCCGCAGTTGCGGCCACCACCTCCTCAGCGAGAACCGCCCACACCACCTCCAGCTCCATCCCCCACCATTGCTCTGCCGCCCGTCCCAGTCCAACCACCACACGCACAAGCCCGGATAAGGCCAAAACCCAAGTCCCGACCACCCCCGAGCACCAAAATCAATCCCAACCGCCAAGCCATGAAAACCATCGAAGTCTCAGTCGCGCGTTCAGTTTCCGTGACAAAACAACCAAAGCAGGTAATCGTGCCGATGAGCGCGATGCGAAGTGATTCGTTGCACCATTCTGATGAGCGATTTGGCGACAAGAGGTCGGCTACGCCTATGCTTATTTCGGCGCCAAGGGGCCACGAGCGGGAGAAGTCGCAGGCAGTTCCGATTGAAGTTGCGGAGCCGGAGTTTATATAGTTATTTATTTTGGGGTATTGGAGTATGATTGGCGGGAATCTTTTTTTTTTTCTTTTTTTTGTTTGTTTGCTTTGGGGGGGGAGGGGGGCCGGGCCGTGATGGATTTCTATTTTTGGACGGTGAAAGCTTGATTATGGATGATTTTTGTTATATATGTTCTGTGTAGCTAGCGGTTTTGCGTTGGACGGGTATCGTGTTTGGGCATCCTAACGGATGTTTTGAAATATAAAAAGAATACAATGATATTATAGTAGTGATCCTGGAAAGGCGATGGTTATATTCTCTAGAGGTATATTCTCTTTTCTATCAAATTTTCCTCGTCTTCATCTTCCCTTACTATCACAATAGCATTTGCATAGCCCATTTCTCTGGTATATATATACATATATACTTTAGCATTGTCAAAACACGCGGCTTAACTAGCCCGAAACCTCACCTCTGACCTCGATCTAATTAGATTCTCATCGTTAACTGCAAACTAACGTGGCGTCAAACTGGGGACAAAGAAGTTGACACTCTTGAGATACCTTGATGCAACATCTCATAAAGAAAGTGTTTGATTCGTTGAATCATTCATGAACTCCTCTTTCTAACACAGCATTGTTTCACGTTTCATATATGCACCAGACTCCCACCCAATTGTTGTCGCCCCTATTTACAAATACTTAACAGACCATACTCCACTCCAACCCAACATACGCATCGCTAATCACGCGAACCTTCACATTCAATTTCTCACCCCCCAACCCATCCCTAATATCCTTCCCTTTGCCCTCCCGCGTGCCCTTGTCTTCACCCTTCTCAACAGCACCACTACTTCCTGAACCAACTTCAACACCCTCGGCGCGACTAGCATCTCTATTCCACCCCTCTGGAAACCTCACCTTGGCTCTCGCCACGACATAATCCCGCCCGTTTGCCCGAGAAGCGCCAGCCGAAGATGCCCAGGAAACCCGCTTGAGAGCGAGGATGTCCTCACGTGCCCCGGCACTCAAATCTGCGTTGGAAGTAACAAGCACAAACCAGCCCTCTGTCTGTGGTTTTGGGAAATGTGGCGCGTAGATGCGGAACGATTGATCGCCATCTTGGGTGGTGGGTTTCCGCTGTGCACCGCGCAAAGGGATGGGAGATTTGCGCGTGAGAAATAATGTCAAACCGGCGGATGAGTGTTCTGACAGGGAGATTGAGACGGTAGGAAGGAGGGATAGGGCTTTTAAGAACTGCGTGGATGTTTGTTGGGAGAGGTTGAGGGTGCGTGGGAGGGTAGTGAGAGTTGATTGGGGGAGGGAGAGCAGGGAGGGCAGAGACGAGGGAAGATGTTTTCCGGATGCTGTTTCGCCAGTTATTGTTGGGTCGACGCCAGGAAGAATGGAGAGAGGGTGGTCATCTGGCCAACGGGCAGATTTTATGCATTGGAGCAATGTCATCATCATGGTGCATGCATTGGGGTAACCCAGTTCGGCAAGCAGGTCAATGCAAGCTTGAATAATACGGATGCCTTGGTCAAGAACAGAGATTTGGTCGCCCACGTAGTCGGTTATCGGCAGATCGATGCGGGACATGAACGCCTGAAGTAAGAGGAAGGCTTTGATGTGTGGGTCCCACATGGGTAGTGAGGAACCCATCGTGGTGATTGGGAGGGGAAGATTCTGCGCCAGCTCAGCGTTGATGAGATCCTCATTGTGACGCACCGGGAGTTCGTCGAATTCTGTGGCGGAACACATCCAACTGAGTGCATCGGCAAAGGTTGGGTTCGGCTTTGCATGAGACATGACGTATCGGATGGTTTTGTGAGAAAGATAGTAATAACTCATTATCTTGCCGTATGGAGTCGGGTCCACATAACCAGTTGCAGAATCCAATAAAACACAGGAGGACTCTGCAAGTTCTTCTAGAGATTTGTCGACCAGATCTATCATGAAATCGGATGCCATTTGCTGCGCCGCCATGGTGTTGTGTTCTTCGGCGGAAATTTCAAGGCCGTAGTAAGAAGGGTTCTTATGCAGACGGCGGAAAAAGAATGTCCAAGTTAGGTAATCCAGAGCATCCTGTTTCGTTGTGATGGTTCCTGCGGAGACTTCTGCTCCCAAATGGTCATGAAGAACTTGATGCAAGGTAGATTCTACAGGGAAGCCAGTGTGGAGGAAGTGCTTGTAGAAAGCCTTTTTGGAATCCTGTGTGAAAATGCGGGCGATACCTGAAGAATCAAACTGGGGACGTCCAGCACGGCCCAGCATTTGAAGAACGTCAGTCAGGTCCATATCTTTATAACCTTCGATTTTCGCGTCGAAAAACTGTGTCCCTTTCACAACTACCAGATGGGCGGGAAGGTTAACACCCCAAGCGAGCGTGCTGGTTGCAACTAGGATTTGGACTTTATTGTTCGCAAAAAGCTCTTCTGATAATTGCCTGTCCGATTCAACGAGACCGGCATGATGGAGACCGATTCCAAAGCTGAGCGCTTCTTTAAGCGCGTCATCTTTGACGCGAGAAAGGTTCAGCTGCAAGTCGTCTTCAGACATGTGAAGGAACCGGCGTGGGTTATCTTCCATGCCGCAGAAGTTAATCAGATCTTTTGCGGTGAGACGTGTTTGTCTCCGAGACGCTACAAAGACAATTACGGGTTTCTCTGGAGAATGGTTCTTTATCGCAAGGAATGTGGGTCGGTTCATCGACTGCATTAGTGGACAGAAGCCACGCTGTTCAGGGAAGCCGTCGATGAATATTTCTAGTGGAACTGGTCGGACAGAGTGACGGAAGTTGAACAGTCCTTCCTTAACACCTAGCCAATTTCCAAGATCGGTAGCATTGGCGCATGCCGTGGACATACCAAGTAGCCGAACGGCGCCCTTGGATTGAGAGGCAATGTAATTCATCCGGGAAACGATAATCTCCAAAATGGGCCCTCTATCACCGCCGAGCAAGTGGATTTCGTCTATAATAACTAGGCTGACTTGACGAACATATCCTCTTGTTTGCCAACTTCGAGAAATTCCGTCCCATTTTTCAGGTGTGGTGATAATGATGTCCGCATCGCGGATTGTTCTCGTGTCTGGTGTGTTGTCGCCCGTGAGTTCAACTAGCTTCAGGCCCATGGGCGCAGTCAACCGACGTCGCCAGTCATGCACTCGCTCTCGAACGAGGGCTTTCATGGGTGCAATGTAGACAACCTTGGAGCCTGGCTTCTCGCGAAAGGCCCACCACATTGCTAGCTCCGCGGCGACAGTTTTACCACTGCCCGTTGGCGAACCGAGGAGAACATTGGCAGGTGTGTGATAAAGGGTATGGAATATCTGCGTCTGCATAGGGTTGAAAAATTGAAACCGCTGCGCATATATCTCCTCGAGAATGGGGTTTTTAAGCGCGGACACCGGAAGGGGTTGCAGATCAAGTAAATCCGTATACACGCTTTCTGTATCCGGTCGGATAAGATGCTGGAATGAGACAGGAGTAACAGTTTCTGCACCAAGCCATCGATCGGAGATAGCGCGAACATATATCTGGCTAGGCAATGGATCAGAAAGAGGGATTGTGAAATTCATCTCATGGTTATCGTTGAGCTTTTTCCTACTCAGAATGAAATATTCGTGATGATAAATCTCAGATGTCTCCGAGTTCTCAACCCAGATCCAGTAAGGCTCGGAAGTCCCGTGGTGTCTATCATTCCAGCGAAACTCAGGATATAGATAAAGACGAATACGGAGAACATCACGGTTCAGTGGAGCGATCTCAGCCTCCACGCTTAACGTTGGAAAGTTATCTAGCAGCTTCGAGATGGTGGTCCCCATGCGATGGTTATGGACAAGTTGTCCGATTTCAGGCGGTTCCATGTCCCTCAACGATTCGATGGATGATGCTGGGAATTTTTCATCCAAGTTTTTCAGGATCGGTTGTGGGAGATCAAATTGGTGAAAGGGATGTTGGAATGGCCATAATTGCTTCTCTATCGATTTGCACGTGGACAATAATACTTGACATTGATATCCCCAACGTCTATTCAGAGCAACCATGAACAAGGCGCGACAAATACGCGCGGAGTTCTGAGCCACATAGGCTGAATCGGACACCAGGGCAAAATCTTCGATCCTAGCTCGAGAAATGTAGGCCTGAAGTAATATATTGGTTTTCGCATGGGCGGTGTCAATCGTTCCTTCAACCTCCGTTTTCAACGCCTCTAAACGGAGCCTTTCAAGCTCTTTGAATTCATTTTCCCGGGACTGGATATTGTCAAACTCCCCACTCATGCTGATCATTTTCATAACATCCGCATCGCTGGCCATCGGCTTCATCATGACGTTGAATATTTCCACACTCGTTTGCAATACATAGTATTGGCTAGCAATTCTACCAACATCCTTTGCGCGAAGCTCCTCAGTTCGCTCGTTAAATATAATCATTTGGCTCTTCTGAAGGGTGCGCGCGGCTTTGATAATCAAATCTCGCCTTCTAAGGACAAGTTGGGGATCGTCTCGAATTTCAGCCCAGTCAATTCCATAGCTGTGTGGATTGCGACGCATGCGTACGAACAGATACGAATATCCAAGCCATTGAACAGCCTCAGAAACAGATGTCACAGTTCCCAGAGAGACCTCGGCGTTCAAATTATCAACCAGTTTACGAGAGAATCTCGACTCTATGGGCTCCTGGGAAGTTACGGCGGACAGGTAATGTTGCAATTTGTTATGCGTTGTGCAGATAAAGCCAATACCTGTGTCTTGGAACTGAGGGCGACCAGCTCGACCGAATATCTGAAGGACATCTAGAATGCCAAGGTCGATGAATTTTCCTTCCTGAGCGCTGTATAGCTGGGTTCCTTTGATGATGACCGCGGCAGCTGGAAGATTGACACCCCAGGCAAGAGTCGCTGTACAGCACAGGACCTTTAGCACGCCCTCAGCAAATAGACGTTCCATGAGGTTGCGATCCGATCTAGCCATTCCCGCGTGGTGGGTTCCAAGGCCTTTGGGGACGAGGTCACGAAGCTCCCGACCACGACTTGTTTTCACATCTCGTAGCGCTTGCGAGTAATTTTTATGTTCTAAGGGGCTAAAGAGGTCTGCACACTGGTTCTCTACTGCCATCTGATACAAAAGCCGTGCAGCATTCAAAGTTTCTTTCCGAGAATGAACGAAGACCATGACTTGATGACCCCTTTCAAGCATATCTCGAACCTTCTCGAAGCAGACAATATCTAAGTTTTCTCTGGACTTTTTGGGGTCACCCTTCACGCCAACAAAATGTTGTTCAAGGGGCACAGGTCGGAACGAAGCATCAAAATAGAATAATCCCGCCATCCGGTTGACTTTGAGGAAATCTGCGACATCGATATAGTTTGGCAGGGTAGCAGATAGTCCTACTATGCGAATCAGCGACTGCGTACTCTCAACTTGTCGCTGGGTCCTCGCAACAAGAGATTCTATCACAGCTCCTCGCTCGTCGTGCAACATATGGACTTCATCAATGATCAATAAGCGGACTTTTTGCACCAACTCCGTATCACCAGTTCCCTTGCGGGTTACCACATCCCACTTTTCCGGGGTTGTAACGATGATTTGAGTCTGCACGATTTCCTTTTTGGACAGTTGCATATCTCCAGTTAGCTCGCGAACCTCGATCCCAAGCCAGGCCAGACGCTTCCCTAACTTCTCCGTTACTTCTGCGGCCAGGGCTTTCATGGGTGCAACGTAGACAATTTTGAATTCATCCGTCATTACGGCAAACTCCGTGGCATCCTGGTTTTCAATAGGGCTGGGAGTGGTGTTTTTGGCAATCACATTCAGAATAGTCAGCATGGCAGCATCTGTTTTACCAGCACCAGTGGGTGCGCAGATAAGCATATTCTCATTTGTCTTGTACGCAACCTGATAGAGCAAACTCTGCATGCGGTTTAGTGACTTGTATCCACTGAATGTGCCCCGGCAGAGACCATCCATTTCTGAAATAGCAACCAACTTCTGCCCAACACCAAGTGTTCCAACTTTGGCAGCAGGAATGGCGTACTCTGTATATCTTTGTTCCTCAATGTGTCTACTACCAATGGGAAGACCGTACTTTCTCCCATTGACTGAGAGGGTATTCCCAGCCTGATGCGACTTGTATACATGTGGATAGATAGGCCCCTCACGATCCTGTTTCGGTGCTAATCTTGCGTGTTTATGCTCGTAGTCCTGTCGGCGTAAGGACTCCTCCCGCTGGCTCTTAGTTTGCAACCGGCTAAGTATATGCTCATGGTCATGTAAACCTTCCGGTGAGGTTAATTGATGTCGATGCGCAATGAGGTCAATGACAAAATCCAAATCGTTGAATCCTACAATTTCAGTTAATGATATTTGTAATTCGTCAGGCGAGGCATCTGCGGCCAGCACAGACATGAGTTGCTGCTTAAGTTCGGAGGCATTGAGGCTAGAATTCCGCGCTGCAACCGCCTGACATTTGTCTTCAAGCCATTCGTGGTTGTACATCCCTTTTTGTTTCGGGGTTTCCTGCCCATTCACTCTGCTATCCACCATCACATCAGAATCGTCGCTTGTTCTATCGTCATCGTCATCCTCGCTTATGATATCCCACAAATCTTCAACCGATTCAGGTGCGGAAGAAAATTCATCGTCGTCGAGGCAGAGATCCTGCCCGTAGGGAATTGAGTCTCCTGTCTTGGGGAGGTTTAGGTCTGCCATGGCTTGCCTCATGGCGGCTAGCTGAGAGAGCCATTGTTCCTCCGCTGGTTGGGTTACGGGGGCCATATTTTTTGGCTTTTGGCTGATGGGGGCTTAGGACGGAAAGGCGTAAAAGCGTGGTGATCGATATAGCAAAGGTTTCGGTGGCTATCTAAAGGGCTACCAATACAGCCTCACCTCAGAGAAAGAAATGGCTATGAGAAGCTGAGCTGGGATGTCGGGGTCGAGGCAACTATATGCAGGCACTGCTGATAGCATTTGATATTGGATCGAGCAGGAATAAACGTTTCCCTAAACCGGAGCAGGTTAGTGGCAGTCGTCATAGGCGCGATCCCCGCGTAAACTGGCGGTTATTGTTTGGTACCAGCTGAAAACGGCAATAGGTGGCGGGAAAGGGTTGGGAGGCGCAAACGTTACCGCTTCAGCATCAGACGAATCCGGCAGCCTGGATCTTGATATCAAGCACACCAACAGCCCCTTTAATACCGGTGAGAGATACTGGAAGAGCATCGAGCATCCCATATCCTGGGCTACTGTATATACGCTATTGTTCTTACTTTACCATTTAAATTCTACCTAGAGAACAGCTCCTAAATCAACAACCCCTGACAACGCACCTCAGCACCCTTAAATAACTTGCAACCTTGTATGAGAACGGCGTAATAAAATCACAGCCATGAGCACTACTAACCCTTTTGTCTACATTGGGGTATGTTGCTTTCGAGCTTGAGCGTGACCCCTTATTACAGACCCTGCTAATCAATACCATTTCCACTGCATAGTTCTTCCGAACCTATCGTGAACCTGATTATAATAGGGATCCTACCCGGCCTCCCGTTGAGCTCTATGGTGCAGATTCCATTTACAATACCTTAATGACCAGCTTCATCAGGAAAAGGTGAGCAGCAGGCATTTCTCCTTCTGTTTTACCAACTGTGTTTCTGGCTGTTCCATGAACACTAAGTTCTTGCCTCTCTTGTTCCTCCTTGTAGTCAGCTCGAATTGATCGCATTTACCGCCCAAGAACTTTGCAAAAACGTCAAGCCCAAAGTTATTACCAAGATCACAGAAAAGATTGGGACCATATACTTCCTCGACCCGGGAAACGGCGTTGCTACCTTCCTCGTCACATCCGCTGAGTATGAGAATCTCCCTATCAATAGGTCGGACACCGGCCCTAATCGTCAGGACACAGCGGCGGAGACTATAGTAAAATATGTCCGTCGGAAGCTGGAGAGCAAGATAGGCGTCGATTTCGCTCTGACACTGAAATCGAGAGAAGAGGTTGACCCGAAGGATTCCAAGAGACGAGAGGAAGTTATTGCCCTGGCAAAGAACGAATTGAATGCGTATCTTACTCGCGCAAACCAGGAACCTAATAACGTTCGAAGAATCACCCTGGATGATCGGATTACGGAAATCCAGGATCAGCTCGATGATGTAAAGAGAGTGATGCACAGGACAATCGACGAGGCTTTGAGGAAGGGAGAGAAGCTGGATAGTCTGATCGCCAAGAGTGATAATTTGAGCATGCAGAGCAGAGCATTTGCTGCTCAGGCAAAGAAGCAGAACTCGTGTTGTGTGGTGATGTAGCGTTGTCTGCGTGTTCGTCCATGGGTGGACGTGAATACCCGGGGTCGGGGGTAAGGGTCTGGAGCACCCGTCACTTACTACTTTTTCCTTTAGGCCCCTTTCGTCTGTTAATATCGTTTAAGCACACAGTTTTCCCATAAACCCCTTTTTTCAAGCACCCCTATTTCTTGACAGTTGATATCTCAAGAGCTTGCTTCAATTTTTATGTTTTCTTACATTATCCAAGCCCATTCGTTTAGCAAACTCAACTTTTGAATTTCGTACATATTGACTCTCCTCGAATCCATCTGTTCCTCTTACCCCTGTCTACTGGCTGCTTTAGAATAATTCTCTGTTGATTGAATAATTAGAGGTTGTTAACTCGCCCCTAAGTATCATTAATTAGTACGGAGCCCCAGCCCAAATATGATTCAGCACCAAGTGGTTTATTAATTTTCATCAAGATAACTAGGGTTACACCATTGGGTTAAGTCAGTTATGCAACTACTTATATTCTCTTCTACTATATATTCTACTAGAAAACCTTGGGAATCTAACGCGGTGACTCGAAACAGTAAAATAACCCAGAAAGTAACTAGTAACGAACACAGCCCTCCGATAGACAATCCGGCAGGCAAAGCGAAAGTCATCTATCCTATTCGTATCGTCATAGAAACCATGTTAACCGTGTGTTTCTCGACCAGAGTTTCAATGGATGGTGACAAAGACTTGAAGTCGAGAACCTCAACTATTTCTTCAGACCTGTCTACATATTCTAGACCACGCTTGACAACCGCAAGCTCAATCCCCCGACCTAATACTAGATCACCTTTCGCTGTGACAGCATATAGAGCACGACTCTCGTCAATCCAGTCCCTAGGAATAAAAAAATGGCGCTGGTAGGGCCCGTGGATGTTTTCTAGTGGCGAAGAACAGACCCATCCATCCTTATTGCAGAAAACGAGTTTCGATTCACAAATCCCGAGCACTAGATAGATAGCATCCGATAGGGCAATAGGCGCTATGTACGGTAGGACAAACTCGTCTGGGCCGATGCCAGCTTCTAGAAACGACCAGTCGAAACAGTATGCGGGTTTCAGATCACCAGCCTCGGGGTTTCTCAAGTGGACAAGCATTTGATTCCCGTATGTGGTATAAAAGTCCGTAGGTGAGGTTTGAGAAGGGCAGAGGTCAACGTCAAGGTGAGCAGAGGCTAGGAGCGCCAAGTCACTCCAGGTGTGTATGCTAATGACACTCGTTCCGCTCCCAGTCCCTTCTGCCACACTGATGATATGAAGTGGTGAGAACGGATGTTGAATCCATTGTACCGGGCCAAATTCCTTTATAACCTGTATTTCCCCAATAACAGATACGAGGTAGGAATTTTTCTTGGTTGCAAGAAGGCATTTCCCGTCGTCTGGGCTAATTAAAAGCTGACAGGTGTAAAATTGGTCAGGTGGGAGTTTTACCAAGAAGCCTCCCTCTCTATCAGCTTCCCAACCGTGCTTTTCCCATTGTGCAGCCTTCTTTAATTTGGTAGACACTAACCAGCCGTTTTCATAATCTTTTGTATGGAAAGCTGTAAGGACGTCGCCCTCCGGCCACCAACCAACAGCATGGACAACGTTGTCACCGATCTTGTAGAACGGACACACCAGGCTTCCAGTCTCCAGCTCATATTGGAGAACAGAGGCATCGTTGGTTCGTTGGTGCCGCAAAACGCAAATTTCCCAGTTGAATCAACGGTCATGGAGCAAATCCAAAGTAGTCCTTTGGCCACCACAGACTCCACAGTGGGCTTACTCCAGGCAGTGCCCGGCGGCCGGCGTTGGCTCAGCACTACCGGCTCCCACACGTTACAATAGCGTTCGTTGAATTCAAAAAAATGTAGATTATCGTTTCCGAAGATAGCGGAGTGGTAACCCAAATATTCTGTCGTAATGTAGTATAGCACATTTAACGTCTTGAATTCATAAACGACGATGTCGCGTACTTTACATGTACGCAGGAGTATATGGCCATCAGAACTAGACGAGAGACATTTGACACCCTTCGCTACCGGGACCGATTGGAGGGTTATATTGGTAGAGGTGTTGAGAATAATGAGTTCTCCATCGGGATCCGAATTGTAATATACTGCGAGGAGTCCACAATTGGGATCTGGATTGAAAAGAAGACATCGGACATCCATTTCACCGCCTTCTTTTCCACATCTCCCAATGTATGTTTCGTCTTCGAGGCCCCAGAGCGTAATAGGCCAGCATTTGTTGTCAACGCTGTGGTAAGCGACAGCTAATGTTTTCCAGTCAGGCGAGATTGATATGCAAGAAACACTTCCTCGCTTTCTAACCGCGCTTCCTCCTCGAAGGTCATCGAATGCCTGAGCAGCTTGGGGCGATCCATCAGCCAGGCTCCAAGATGAAATGCAGCCCCCGCGCCGCCCCACAGCCAAAAGATAATCTTTGTAGAAACTCAGCCAGAAGATATCCTCAACGAGCTCAAATTGATAGAGAATCTCTCCGTTGCGAATATTCCAGATCCTGACAGTGCCGTAGTCCAAAACTGGGCGTACGTGTGATGCCATTAGATCTGTTCTAGGTTTGAATACCAGGTTCTCTAAAGGCTGTTGGTCATGATCAAGGGTTCTGTACTGCTGGTAAATAAGTAGCTGCATGGTAAAGGACAATTAAATAAACCAGACTCGAAACCAACTGCGAAGTATTCGTCTCCACGCGCTATGACTGTCCCTCTGGCGCCCTCGGTGAAGTGAATACGACAAAATAGGTCATCCCACCGAGCGTTCGAATGACCAACGATCGAGAGCATATTGTTTCTGGTGTCTGTTGGCTCGTCCATCTTTGATTCTTTAGGAAGGGATTGGAATATCATGCCAAAAAAAATCGCCAGCCAACTGAGAAACGTAAGTCCAAACTGTAATATCACGAAAAAGAAAGACGTCATTCTATTCCACAGACTTCTTTGGTTGTCTTCAAACTGGTAAGTCTCTAATCGCTTGATGGTACTCAGACTTCCGAGAGTCAAAGCACCCTTGTCGCCGACCGCTGCTCCGTACACTGAAGATTCCACCGGACAAAATGGGAAGACTACCCGATGAATCGCACAGGGCGAGCTCAACATAGCATCACCAAATTTCGTTGCGATCCGGATGAGATCTTTTGTCCAATCACGAATAACCTGGCTTCTACTATCCTCCAAACGCCGAGCCCGTAAAAGGTTGTCAAGATACGTGCTAAGGTTCCTCGAGACACTGAACATCGGGGTGAGGTCTTGGTTCTCGGCAATAGCCTGCACCCAGGAGAGTACATTCTTGCCCAGGAATGTCTCCAGAAGGTCAAGAACTTCATCGGCAACCGGGTTAGAATGAGCAAGGTGGTCCGAAAATGAGTGAATGGCATATACTGCAAATTCCGATCTCCTTTTCCGTTCGACTAAAGTAGGAGTGCGCATGCGGGGTGGAGGAGGGTCCATCTCTGGACCCGTCAGGTAGACAAGGCAAGTTTTAGCTATCCGGGTGTGTGTTTCTTCTACATCGACTGCGAACTCAGACTGGAGCCCGCCCTTTACGAGGAATTCTCTTACTGTGATATACACTATTTGAATTCTATCAAAGATATCAATACTGATGAGCTGATTACAGATGTCAGTGATACTCTTTCTGAAGTATAGAAAGATATTATCAAGATCAAGATTCAAAGCTGATTCAAGCTTCAGCACAGTTAAGAGTCACAGAACATAAATTACTCAAGCTAGAATAGCCTGGGCCAGTTGCTTTCCATGTTTTGTCTGTGACATTGATTCAAGTATTCTGAGATAGAGTGGTTCCATCTCTTGAGGCACTTCTTCCAACACTTGATTGATATCCTCCTGACCGTGAACTTTTAGTAGCTCTTGGAGAACTATTGCCGTCCATAGAAAGCTGTCATTCGATTTTTCCAGAATCCGTTCAACCAAAGAAACCCTGTGATTCGAGTCTACCTCGAGCAACATTGACTGGTCGTCAACAAACACTCTGATATCATGCAGTGTATCTGCTGCAGAAATTTGTTCACAAAAAAGGCGCTCACTGCCAAGACTAGAAAACTGTCTCTGCAGGCCAGCAGTTGTTCGGCTTGTAATTAGGATACGAAGCGGTAGAGAATCATCCAGTTTAGCTAGCATTAGGCCGAAAAAGGAAGCGAAATCGGCACACTCGTCAAGGGCGTCAATTATCCAATATTGCGGCGAAATGGTAGTCTGAAATACCCCGGAGAGGAATACCTTTCTCCATATGGTACGCTCATCTCCTTTATCAAACTCTACACCATCCGAATGCATTCCCAGTAGCATATCTTTCACCCTTTCATTCCTACTCGCCATCTGGAAAGCGATTGACCGGAGGCAGGTATTCAGCCTCGATCTCAAACCGTCTCCGAACTTAAAAAAAAAGTAACTGACATCTGAGCCCATCTCTTCTAGCATTTCGATCACGTAGCCCGCGAGAACAGATTTTCCGACCCCTGGATTTCCACTTAGCCAATAAATGGATGGGCCCTTGGTGGAATTGTTTCTCCACCGAAGGTAGCTAGCTGTCGTGGAAAGCCATTCACAGGTTCCAGGTAGACGAGAATCTTGGACAGTAGTCAGGTCTTCCTTTGGTGCTGAGGACACCCCCAAGTATTCTCTTAAAGTTTTCATTTGTTCGTACTTTCGCTTTTCCTTTAACCGTTGGCCTAGATAAATCGCTCAGTCGAGCTCATGGTAGATGATCACGGAGATATGTACCTGATTTTGTAAGACCACGAACGGTCAATGCGAGAGCATCTCGAATAGTTCTGTAGTTCGTATCAGCTGCCGTGTTGAATTTGCAGATTGACCGGTGATCAGCAGTCATAGGGATTTGTTTCTCCGACTGGTATCCGAGTATGGCAAAGTCTTTGCTAACAATAATTTTACTGAAAAACCCCATGGTAAGAGGCATAGTTTCGTAGAATGACCAAATCTCAAGATCGCTTGCATAAAGGCGAAATTGGCCATTGATGTCCATAATCGTTGACGAGCGTCTTTCAAGATCCGAGACATAGGAACGAGAACCGTACGCGACATGGAAAATCTTGGTCAAAAGCTCGGCCGAATCAGAACCCAAATGCGGAGTGGCGATGAAATAAAAAGTGCAAATCCGTTTAGCTATATCGTCGTCTGTGGATTTAATCGAGCAAGCATGTATGCCTACGATTTCATATTAGCTCCAGCCGTTTTCCAGAGCATCGAAGGACCTACCTTCTTAATAACCAATCCCCCCATGCTATGTCCTATGAGAACTATAGGGGTCTACGATCGTTCTACCGTTAGCAGACACGACACCTATTTCAGGAGAGGAGAAAGACATACATCTTCCGTACCAAAGCCTGGGCGTAGCTCTATCGCCGTGAGTAATGACATAGCATAGTCAAGGATGTTCATTGCATTATCTTTGCCCTTGTGCCAATCGGAACTGTACCCAAAGCTATGTATGCGTACATCCTTGAATGCCGGGTCCTCTGGAAGCCAACTCTTCGGCCAAAAGTGCTTCATCTCTTTCGTTAGGCTCCAGGTCTTCCTCGAGCCACCACCTAGGCCATGAACGAAAATAAGATCAACACGAGGGTTCTCGGGTTCATGAAGAAGATTTAGTCCAATAGGCCCTTTCCAGCCGTCATCGTTGTTACTATCCGGGTCCTCGTGCGCATCGAAATGCTCTTTATCACCGTCGTCATGAATGAGCGTGGAACTCGCGGATATGTTACTGGATCCATTGGTAAATGGTTTTTGTAAGACTTTGAGATTGCGTCGAAGAGATTTCATAACTGGCGAAGTCAATCAATAGCTCGACATAAAAGAACGGGGCGTTTAGCATGTCACAGTAGTTTTATCCTACAAGACATGTATATAGAGCAAAAGAGCGTGGATATTGGGACGTATCCGACAATTCACAAAAGGAATAATTCCAAGAATCCAACGAAACGATATATCAGCTGAAGCACAACTGTAGCAGCGCCTGAAAAAAAGTTCGTTGAAAAGCGGGGGAGCGATCCCATAAGACACGCATTTATTAAGCGCCCGCCATGTTTTGGATCGACCAGATCCCGCTGCCTCACTTCCCGCTATGTTACCACCTCAAGGGGATCAATGACCAATGGGCCATTTGAACCACCCCCGTTTGGATGCATGGCAGGGAATCCTAGGCTGGAGATACGCGCCAAGGGTACTCCGACCGTTTAGCGCCTGACCAATTCCTGTCGGCGAGAGAGTTAAATGCGCTCTGTTTGCTGCCCATGGACATGGCCAGGTCCAATTAGCCAACGCGCAATGAGATGAACCTTGTTGGTCCTTGTGAATTTCCGTGTGACTGCTCGCCTTCAACGCAGCGGCAGAAGGTTAGCTGCATATCGTTAAGGTGACCAGGTTCCATAGGCACCAACGGAAATGGCTCTGGGACCGACTGGATATAGCGCTAGAAAAGGGTTCCATCAAAGAATTATTCCTCCAAAATGGCGTCTGAGAAGGGAGGCTGGGAAACGGATACATAGGTGCTGATTTGGTGGTGATTGTTGTTTGTCAAGGAGGTTGTAGTTAAGTTGTCGCAGCCCTAACCTAAAATAATGTTAACCCAAGGCGAGTGAGCACCCTCGCTTAAACTAGTTTAACCAAAAGTTATGCAACTTGGCACCAATTCAATTATGTGCGCCCTCCTAGCATGAACTAATATCCGGCTAAATAAAAACTATTTAGTTCATACCAAGAATAGTTCAACAGCTTTTTGTCTTTCCACACCCTTTGTTAGGAAGGGAGGCTCTTACCTGTGTCATCACTTGTTAGCGCTCATGCACTATTTGCCTTCTTCACACGACTGCTTCTACTAATTATAATTTGAGGGTTCACGTCAAGTTATACTCCATTCATATCTTATATATATATGACATCAGGACCTTAGCGAGATTGTCCGTTTCCCTGCCTATCTGATCTTCGGTAGCAATCCTCCAGTCCAATAATACATTTAACGCCTTGCCACTCATCTATCTCAGGATGTTGCTGTGAGATGCTTCGACGAATGTGCAGAATATTTTCCAGTACAGTATCAAATCATGAGCTTTCCCCATGCCATTCTTTTTATGTATATCATACTATTATTTCGTGGGGTTCTTCCGGATTGGCTTCCATAGGAAGAAGTTTCTCTCTTGACAATGATAAGGTTTGAACTCTCCATGTTGGGGAAATGAGTTGCTAGCTGTTCTTTCTATAGACATTGATTCTAACAGCTGATTACAGTCCATTGGGAACGTTCCTGCTTCCTTCTTAATGCCTTTACAGTCTCTAGATTCAGCCCCACAATGATAGCTCCTTTCTGTGTATTCAGGTTTATATTGATGGTGTAATTGAGTGCATGTCTATAAAACAGCAAGTCTACAAGGAATGCAGTCTGTTTGCGGTTTGTTTGCCTTGGTAAGCACTTGCCTACGAAGCAGTGACAGTGTGTTTCCCCCTGCAATCTAGCTGGCTCCGTTGTATCTCCCCCTTTCACTTGCTAACACTTACATTCGTCAGTGTCAAGCGGATGAGAATTACGCACATAAGTTTAGATACCTACAATTGGGCAATGAGTGACGCTAAATGTGATAGTATTATCAGGTCACATTCTTGCTGGAATGTGGAAATTCGCCCAATATCTCACATGAACCCTGGGGAACAGAGTACCTGGGATCATCCATTTCTCATGTACATGTACATCCGAGCCAACCGACTGGAGATCAATGAAAAGAAAAGGGTTGTAATGATGTTTCATGATATTGGTGTGTCCCTGAAATAGAAGTGTGAACAGCCCATGCAATATTTGCCTTTTACCTTTTACTGGTGCGAAAGATTAGTGTAACTGTGCTTTGAGATGCATATATTTATTTAACTGCCTAAAGCTGATCCGGAAAGATGATGGCAATATTGGGTATGCGCCAGGTGTGTGGCCTCTTACTTGCTAGACTTGGACACCTCCCGCTTGCGTTAATAATGGCCGAAAGTGATAATCATGATGAAGGGCTTGGTTTGCTGCTGGCTCATAGCCTGAGCCTTGTCTGATAATTTCTTTCACCACAGGCTGTGTAAACTAGAACTTAGATTTGCTTATCGAGAGGTAAGAGAGACCAGACCTAGCATAAACATATAGAAAAGATTGGAACAAAATAATAGTATATCAAAGTTGATAGTAATTTTGTCAACATGAGGACATGGTTTTCTCTACGGAGTAAACTAGGGATTCATCTGCCCAAAGAGATTACATAAATAAACAAAGCCATACTTCCATTTCTCACGCAGATCTCTGATTTAAGCATGTTTTAAGTTGCGGCACGAAACTGAACTAAACTTAAATAGGAATGATGCAAGTGAGCCCCGGGCGGGCCCACACTTGTCTCAAGTGTAGTTAGCTCGATCCTTTCCGATCCCCATACACGCTGTAGATTGGTTTGTCGTGACAATCTCTTCGCTTTTCTTGCACAACAATACATATGTGAGGACAAATATTGAGAAAACTCGGCGTTTGGTTAGATAGTTGAAGTTGTCAGAAATCGCAAAACAAGAACCAATAAGAGACAAGAAGGGAAACCGTGATCCCAACCATGTTGAATGATCACTGTCGTTCCATGACCTGATATTTGTTCATGTGTGCGCAACTATTAACAAAATCGATTTTTACAAAGATTTCGCCCATTCAACCATGGGTTCAGGGTATATATGAGCAGCACCAATGTCCGTGGGCTACCTACTCCGTACACAGTCGGACTTTGTGGTTAGGTTGTGGCTGGCTGAGCTTGTAACTAGAGTTTATCCCCTAATAGCCAAAACCGGGATATCGGACCTAAACTTTGGGCTTTCACCGCGCTGATGATCTGGCAGGCATTGAGCCTGTCACCAAAAGAGATAACGTAGGTTGCAAGCCTAACGCTGATTTGACTAGTGCAGGGATGGGCCCACAAGACGCTCACCTTTTGAAGGTGGCCACTCCTAGATTGTATCTCCACCCACTGGCTTTGACTGAAAGAGAAAATCCCCGTGGAGGATATCTGAATTTAGTGCTCTTCATTCATGACTTCCATCAGGAGTCGTAGATGCAGTGCGCTGAAACATATATACATCGCCCAACTGGGGGCGCAAAACAGGTATGCGCTTTCAGTTCCCCCTATGAGAATTTCCCTGGACCTCCACTGCACATTGGATGACTAGTGCAGTCTATGGATACACCACCTACTGAGGATTTCTACAACATTATTTTTTTATTTTAATACGTGGAAAAAACGTGTCTTTGAAGCGAGATTCCCTATTTCAGGCCTGTCGAAATTTTCTGTTTGTTTCTGCAGGCAGTTTCTCTGCGACAGAGGGTGTAGAATTTTTAAGATCAAGCAAGAGCACTTGCACCAAAGGATTAGTCCTTAAGGTAGGGAGGGGATCACTCATCTTCAGCTTGAAAGAACCAGATGAGGTGGAAACTACACGGCAGCAGAAAAGTTGAGATGCACACCACTCAGTTTACATATCGTACAATCCGATAACGAAGGATGGCTCAGAACAATATCATATCAACGGTCAAAACTATCCCTTTTCAGCAGCGAAAGGCCTAAATTTCTTTCTCTCTAGGCAGCCAACTGGAATGGTGACTAAGCCATTACTATAACTAACTACCAGCCAATCAGCTGGCTCGACTTCACCTCTTCTTCCATATCATTTCTGTGACATATATAGCATCTAAGGAATCAAACATCCTTCTTACACGCCCACCTACCCCCAGAATAATGTGCTGAAATGAGATTAATTATATAGAGGGCCTGCAAGCATGGTGTCCCTCTGGCCATGGAAGGTAAAACCACGATTCTCCTTCCCCGCTCCTCCTGATTCGTGAGCTCCCATGTTGACTCTTTCATTCAATCGCAGGGTTCCGGTACTTCACCAGCGGAGTTCGAAAAGACGCTGTCCAGCTTATCTGCGAAGATTACGCGCGCAACTACTCGGCTGGACAGCCACAGACAACGTTCTCGACGATATAGGGTCTTGTGGACCTTGTACACCTCATTCGCATACCTTCTCTACTCGATCATCGTCATACTAGTGCTCGGATGGCAAAATTGGGGTCCCTGTGAATATTCCACTGTGGCAGGTGGTCCAGTTGTGTGCGTTCTTTAATTCTGCACCGAGTTGCTGTGATCCAGAGTCTAATTTTTGTGTAGGATCTACGTCGTGCGCCTTGGCCTCGATAAATATTACCAGTACCGCATTTCCGGCACGCAACATCATCTCGATGAGCTCCACAAACAGCGGGATGCAACCATCGAGAAACTAAAGGAGGCTACAAAGTATAACTCCACCCAGCAACTTTTAGAAAAATATGGCGGGGACTCTCCCAAAGGCCCAGCTTCCGGAGCAGGGGGGGCAGCAGCTAATAAGAAGAGGGATCCGCGAATGAGAGCGTCACTTCCACTCCCAGGCACAGGTGGAAGAACGGGGATCCCTCCACCTCCAACTGCAAATATCCCACGAGTCCAACCAGACTCGGTGCCGGCATCGCCAATTCGATCTCCCCCCATCCCCGATCCGCGCCACACGCCAGGCCCATCCAACTTAAACCCGAATCCGCGTCAACAAGAACAGTTAACTCAGCACCTTCCACATCCAGTCGACGAGCCAGGCTTCGCTCCTAATGCTTTCCCCCCTTCCCAACCCCACCAACAACACGCTGGCTCACTACAACCTCATTGGTACGATCGAATTCTCGACGTCCTACTAGGCGAGGATGAAACCCTTCCAAAGAACCGCCTGGCACTCATATGCACCCAATGCCGCCTTGTGAACGGACAGGCTGCCCCGGGCATTCGCAGCCTGGAAGAGATTGGCCACTGGCGCTGCGGATCCTGCGGCGCCTTGAACGGGGAAGAAAGCGAAACGAATAAGGCTCTCGCAGGAATCCAAGAGGCAGCAGCCGCCAACGCTGCTGCCGCCAGCCCATGTACAGACCCTAGCCGCAGTGGTGGCGAAGCCGGTGCCGGTACCGGCCAGGCTGCCCGCAGTTGGGATCAGAACCCATCGCATCATCCACCTGGAATTCATGAACCTTCGCGGTCATCTAGACGTGGTTCGGGAATGGATGCGGAGGGAGTTTGGGAGCCAGCTTCAGGACGGGGAAGCCATAGCAGTGAGGTGGAGTCAGCGAACTTTTCTGCGGGAGAGGGCACGGATGCGAGCATGGGTATGCTCGTTGGCCGTACAAGTAGCGAAGGGGAGGAATATTATGACGACGATGAGGGAATTGAAGATTCCGATGATGAAGAAGAGGTGGAGGTGGAAGAGGCGCATGAAGTACATCAAGAGAAGGGTTTCGAAGACAGAAAGGGCCTTCGCAAGCGAGGGGGGATATCGGACAAGAAGAAGTCTGGGAGCCCGCTGCTGCAACCAAGGTCTGATAATGGAATAGCAACTCGGACGCGTTCGAAGTCACCGCGGAAAACGCCATAGGGGTAGTCACCTGGTGGACGAGACGGCGTCTGCAGGGATTTATATATCTAGCCATAACTGCATATGAAGCGAGAAAATTCGGTGAAGTGAGCGAGAGACACGCAGGATTGCTACAACCAGTAACTATTGTATGGCTACTATCATCATTCCACCTTTCCTATTTTTTTTAATTATTTTTATTATTTTTTTTTTACCTCCACACTCCAGCATTGACTACCTACATCATTTGAACCGTGCTTTGGCGTGACTTGTTTGTTTACTTGCATGCTTTGTACTCATATACTCACACGTTCCTTTCGGCTTTCTGTTGTCCAATTAGTACCCAGCACGACTTAGGCTGTTTTGTCCTTCATATGTTTTTTCCCTTTCACGATGTATTTAGCTATATCACTCACCATTCCATGATATACAGGAATTCTAAACTGCAACTATCATCCGCCGACCTTCCTAATGATGCAGTTATTGGTACGCGTCTACCCTAGCAGAGGTTTTTTTAAACCTATTTCATACATCAGAGAAGGGTCATGAAAGGTATGGAAGTGCTCAGCAGAACATCATTCTTATCGATAAACTGTACCATTGGAATTGAGGCAAAAGTAAACTCGAAAAGTGCAGAGTGAGCTCGGTATTGAAACGAAAAGAGACAAACGGAAATAAGAAAGGGCGAAAAAAAACACAGAAACGCTCCAATTGAGTGTGGGGAGCAGGGATGTCAGTGTAGCTTGCAAAATGACGTAGAAGCCAGCCATGACAAAATAGTGATTTGTTGGAAGGTATATATCCATTGCATGCGCCACACATTCTAATGTATTGTACACGTACATATATGCGAGACGCACTTAATAGAAATCAAACAGAATGAAACAGCTTAAATACTAGCCCTCCTAGGCGCCATGGTCCTTCTTAAATTCTTCTTCTCCTCCGTCTCCTCCGGCAACGGCAGCCCTCCCTCATTCTTCAACCTCTCCAAAAATTCCTTCCCATATGCATACCCAACCTGATAAATCTCATCGAACTTAGCAAACTCCAAGGTCCCAAACGCGTCAATCGGCGGCCGCATATAGAGACAGCCAGGCGTATTTTTCGCCGTCTCTAGCGCGCTGAAGGAGGAGACGTATGCGAGGCGGGCCTGGATTTCAGAAAGCGTGGGTGGGTTAGCGAGCGAAGAGAACGGGTTCCAGCGGTTGACGAGCGCCCAGAAACCGGATAGCGAGTCGCCGTAGGCTTGCGGGGTGTTGTCGTCGATGGAGCCGACGTCAATGGCAAAGATGACATCTGCCCCAAGTGACTTCATGCGGGCGACGGGCAGGTTGTCGACGTAACCGCCGTCCAACAGCATGTTGCCCTCATCGCACAAGGGCGGGAGCAGGCCGGCGAGAGACATCGATGCGCGCACGTAGCGCCATACGTAGCCGGAAGAGTGGAATTCGTTGCGCGATTTGCTGATATTTGTTGTGTTGCAGTAGAATTCGAGCCAGAAGTCCTCCATCTGGCTGTCACCGAAAGCTTTGAAGATGCCGCGGTTGAATTCGTGGCCGGTGGTGTACGAGGCGGAGGGGTAGGTGAGGTCGAGGGCGAAGCGCCAGATACTTCCCATGCGGCCGGCAAATTTCTTCGCACGACCGTACATGGGTACGACATCCGCATCTCTCGCGTACAGAGCGCCAACAAAGGCACCTATCGATGTACCACCAACGATATCGATGGGGACGCCGGCTTCTTCTAGAGCTTTGATGATTCCGATGTGGGCAATGCCCCGTGCCCCTCCACCTCCTAGAACTAGTCCAACCGATTTGCCGCAGAGTCGGCGGGCGAGCCGGTGGAAGTCACCGTTGAATGGAGTTGTGGCGGAGTAGAGTGGGGTCTGGTGTATGCGACGAGAAGTATACTTTTGGATTTCAGCTTGCAGAACTTGAACTCTCTGTTTCAACACAGTGCCGAAGCGCTTGGTTACAGGATGAGTAGGTTCTGTGGTTAAGCGGAACGACATTTGAATGTGGTGGTGTCCGCCATTAATCCACATGCGGTTTTTTAACCACTGTCTGGTTAGGCCTGGCGGGGAGTATCTTTCTAGATGTAAGAGCACGAGCTCTTTCCTAGCAGTGGTTTTCATTCCAAGAAGGAACCGTTCATACTCACCAATACTGGGAGAGCCTTCAGCGACCCCGACCAAAAGAATGCAGTCTGCCTGGGTAATACAAGTTTGGGTCCATGGCGCATTAACATTTGTGTCCGCGATGTAAAGTACCATGCCGTATCTCTCCTCTAAATCCGCTAGATATTGAGAGAGCTTCAATTTACCCATCCTGCTGAATGCATGGCGTCCAAGATGATTCAGAATATCAGCCTGATGTAGAGCAGCTACCCCGTTTGTGACTCCGATCTGGTTGAAGGCAGTCAACAGACGGTTTCCAAATTCAACAACTGGAACTCCAGCTGTAACTGGCAGCACAGCAACTGTGCGGAGATTCAAAGTCGACGTCCCAGTCATGGCGCTTTCGTGCGTACCCTTGTCGGTAGGTTTCTCCATAAGCGGATTATGGATAAGATGTCTCATCCTCTGGGCAATCAGCTTCGAGATCTGTATAGTAATACTGGGATGTTCCTGTGCAAGACTGTTAAAGAGCGTTCTGGGAAATTTCGCTAATTCCGTATCGCGGATGGCATGAAGGGTCGCAGGCCTGGTCGACTCAGTCATGACTTCCAGCTCTCCCACACTATCGCCTTGTCCATACTCTCCCATGACGCTCACATTCCCATCCCCTTTTTCCCAAACAGACCGAAGTCGACCATTGAGGACAATATAAATCGCATCACTCTCGTCGCCTTGATGATGAATAACCTCTCCAGCATTGACTTGAACCCATTCCAGAGCAAAGTCGATGTGCAGAATGAGGCGAGGAAGAACGTTGGTCAGTCTCTTGGCCATGGTTAGCAGGACAAGCGGGTGTCTGTCAGCAATCCTCTCGAGGCATGCCCGTGGCAAGAAGCCAACATAGACGTCCGTTTTCGCTGTAACATCGGTAAATGATCTGTATGAAGTAATAGACCCTAGATATCCATCGATGCCGCCAGGCTTTACCATATATAAAGATTTGCGCCTAGTGGGCCCTTTCCGTTGGCTTTGACCACCCCGGATGGCGGATGAAGCTCGAGAAGCTGCAGGTCGCTTAAGAGGTTCAAATAACCCACTTGACTGAAGGCGGGAGGCATCAGGCGAGTTCAGCAGGTCTTCCCCTCTCTCATTAACCGGTATTCCAACGTCCAAGAATCCATCTATCACATAGTAAAGGCCCGGATTGCGTTCTCCTTGCTCGACAAGCAAAGAGTCTTTCGGAAAAAATACAATTTCGATCTCGTCCCGCAACTCTGCTTTTAGGTTGGCCACAGGCGATGTTCCACCAGCACTGGTCACAGACATCGACATGAGAGATTCAGAGTCGGCATCGCCAAAAGAATCGTACGGGTCGATAAAACCAAACGCATTATTAAAGACGGCCTTCTGCCGCTTGTAATCATACGAAACTAATTGAGGAGATGCCTCTCCAGAATTATGGGTTTTTCGTAACGCATCATTCGTGCTTCCTGTAAGGCCGAGAGCCGTCATCATACAATCAAGAATAGATTCACGGAAAACAAAATCCTCATCGATCGACTCTTGTCTATGAAACTGGGGACTTTGGGCCGACAGGCTGAATGGTTGCGGCTTCACCTGTTGGGCGGGTGAAGGAAATGCTTCCCTAGGGCTATTTAAAGGCGGGGGATATTCATGGGCATGTGTGAAGCCCCTGAGGCGCTCAGATCCATATCGAGGACCGTATCGAGAAAGTTGAATTGTAGAAAGTAAATCACCAGGACTCACACCACTGCTTTCTTTCTCAGATGCATGGGATGCATTGTGTATTGAATGCCTTGCTTGGGCAGCAGATATCTTGGCATACAATGCGGCATCTTTCCGCAAAGAGCTACTAGATCGGCGCCTTCCGCTCGCCGAGGGATTGTGGAGCGCGATGCCCTTTGTGACTTCCTCTGGGCCGAGTCGATCCCTCTCATTTGTGAATTTATCTTTGAGTCTATCTAGCGCGGCGCCGCGGAGATGATTCGGAAGATCATATGAGGTGTACTTATTCATCTGCCTCTCAATGCCCAGGACCTCTGTTGACAAGCCTAAATATGAATGTGCCGTCGCGAAAGTGACCCGCTGAAGCCTGGTAAGAATCACTTGGATGATATGAGCTGTAGCTCGAGGATACACTCGGGTCAAACGGCGGAAGGCGCTTGCAGGTATGATGGCAATCGTGGTGTCGACCATTGCGCGTGCTACAATGTCAGGGTGGACGGATTTCTTCTCCTTCGGCTTTCTCGTCTTCTTTGGTCTATACTGGTGCGCGTGAGGCTCACTTTGGAAGGACGTATGGCTGTCTTCAAGTGCGAGATGCGGAACGGCTGGTAACGGCGCAGGGTTTCCATTCGCTCGTGGAGGCGTTTCTCTAAATCCTTGGAAATGAGGCGCTACTGGACTCTCCGCCAAAGGAGGGGAGGTCATTGGCATAGGCGGCGCACTTCGTGTTGGGTCAATACTCGAGGTGCTTGATTCCATGTCCTCACTATGACGCAGCTTGATATCCTCAGTAAAAAGGGATAAAATCGAGAATAGAGACGACATTGAGGCCCCGTTTTTGACCTCTGTTAACAATTGATACCCTTGATGTCGGCGATCGCTAGGTTCTTCCTCTTCTTCCATTGATTCTTCCGCATCGTTACTATCCGCATTGGGGCTTCTCCTATATTTATCTTGGCTCTCTCGAATGGATTTTACGAATATCTGAACAGCACCATCAACCACAAGACAGAAACCTTTCTCTTCTTCCAACAACAAAGTTTCCCCAGCAATCAATTTCTTCGTTTGCATGGTGCGTGTCAATTCATGGAAAACGGGGCGCTCCAGATATCCAAAAACTTTGATTGCGCTGAGGAACTCGTCTAGATAGTTGGCTAGTCCGGGCTTCGAGTCACCAGCCTGGGTATCTGGGAAAAGATCGATTTGAGGTTCCTTTCGTTGAGGTTCGGGCGGAAGGCGGGAGTACATATTCAGGAACCGGTAGCGAACAAACCAGCTGATCGTCGACACAAGGACCAGCAGAATGACGAGACTGATTATGAGCACCATTTTAGCTACGGGAAGAGCAAAACTAAAAAGGAAACATATGTCCAATGGCGGGTTTTGAAGTGAGGTATACGTACAGTGTTGTGAAGTTCATGGTGAACGTCAGGCTCATTGAAAACAGCGTAAATAGCCAAGTTGGGAGGGTGATTGTGGTGAAAGTAATAACCCAATACAGGACGCCGGGGACGATATGGAACAGAAAGACGAACACACGCCCGGCGAAGGACGCCATGGCGAGGAGAGCGGAGGTGTCACTTAGGAGCGATGAGGTGGGGGAAACATGCGAGCAGATGAGGGCGGAGGAGTGAGAAGAAGAAATGGTCGAGGACGGGAGAGCAAAAGAGGCCTGGAGTGGGTCTAGAGTAACAGACTCGGTGGGGGAACCAGATGACGTCGAGCCGGGATGGAGCGTAGGCCCGACATCCTGCTTGATGCTAGCATCGATGATGCTGTGATCCTCAAATTGTAGACCGGCAGGGTCGTGAGCAGCAGAGGCGCTGTGGGATGCTAGATGTGAAGAGATCGAGATGTGGGCGGATGGAGTAGACATTGTCCAGCTCGTTGTCCGGCATAGTTGAGGTGGAAAAACAAAAAAAGAAGTAGAGTGAGTTTGTTCCGATTTCTTAGCTGAGGGCACCTATGACGGTCCCCAAGGTGGGGGAAATTAGAGTTAACTGGGTCCAGTCACGGCGCCGTGAGACTGCCCACGTTGTGCCAGCTTCAGCTAGCAGAGAACGAGAGGCTGCTTCTGAATCCGCCGCAACGTTGATTGTAACTGATGAAACCTGCAGATCGGTCGATGCCAGAGAAGGTGGAGTAACTGCTGGGCAGGTATGGATGTCGTTAAACGTTGTTGGACGTACGACGTACGTTGGATGTCTGCTCTGTCGTCGTTGGCGGTGGACAAGAGCCGCATCCCATGTGACAACGCACGGGAGTTATCAGCGATCGCTAACCTTATCGGGGGTTGTTAGGGCTGGGGACCGCCGCAGCCCCTATCAATCAGCCGGAAGGCCCCTATAAGAGCTCTTATCAATCTGGCGAACACCAACGACTTTTCATCCGACTTCATGTCAAGAATGAAACAAAATCATAATAACACACCACGAATATACTTACAGCATTCTCTGCTTAGTGATTTGAGTCATCGCTTCCCTTGTATCTATTGTGCCAGCTCCTCATTACACTCACTAGCTCACCAGCAAACCATTCTCACTTGATATGGAGAGAGCTCAACATTTGTCAAGATCTCCTGTGAACACATTCAGGAAATGCAGTGGGTGTTGTCCTTTCACACCAACAGCATGAATCTGATATGTATGATAAAAAGAAGAATTGAAAATAATCAAACTTATATAAAAATCTGATTTAATAAAAAGAATGAAAATGAAAACATCTATACACACTTAGGCCCCTACTATCTCCTTTCTTATTATAGCCCCCGCGATCCCTCCTTCTTTGACTGCAATGGGCATGTTTGTATATATGATTGCACCTTGCAATCACTCCTTCCGCGATGGCAAGGAGCATGTTTATTTGTATAGAAAAGAGGTCGTACGTCCCCCTCTCTTAGAAGAATCAGACAAGATTTAGATTACCTTAATTACTACATATAGCATCCACGCGCACGCCGCAAAAGCTTTGAATATAATAATAAAATCAATTAAAAAACAGCAGCGAGAGTGTCAGAATGAAATGAGAAAATTAAAGTTATATCAATTATCTGAATCTCAGTTAAAGTGAAAATAAAAGAAGAAACAGAAAAGCTATTTTATGAATTAGAGAAAAAATAAATTGATATTAATATCAAATTAAAATTCTCTTTTTCTCTCTGTAGAAGAGTGTTAAATTACCTGTTTAAATATCATTATTCAGAAGAATAAAATCTCTGTTCATAATCACTATATTTAATATCATATATATGAAATTTATAAGATTTGGTAATTGTTCTGATATCTCAACTTCTCGAATCTCTAATCTCAATAAGATTGAACTCACATGATTTAGTTAACTAATAAAGTAAAAAGCAACAGTCAAGAAGCTCTCAAGAACTGTGCAGAAGCTATACAGATATGAGAAAAGATATGAAAGAAGCTACTTCAGGAGCAGATTCAGACATGAATAGAGCATATTTCTATCTATATCATGAAGATTATTGAGTTGGAAGGTGGCAATGAATATCATGAGAATTGCAAGAGATCTAAGCTATTCTGATATACCATCAGACTCAGGTTTAGCTCATTATTGAGAAACTGACTCTGCCAACTCATCAATCAATTACTGGGGATAGAGAGTACGCAGACGACATGTTGGTTGAATTGCGTTATGACCTCCCTGAAGTCGAGTGAGGCATACTACCCTACTTCCTTTTTTTATTTATTTGCCCTTGCTTCCTTCACATCCCAAGATCTTGTAACTCCACTGCCATGGTCTAAGAAATACACTGTTTCCGGTGAGACGGACATCAGTCAGTCGTTTCAAACTACCCAGCAAACGAGTGAGACCGCCTTGAATTCTTGAATTTTAAAAGACGACCTCCCAGCCTTCACATAAACTGCCTCCTCGCCAGCCGAAGCCCCTCGACGCCCACAGTGCCAGAGTTTACAAGGAGCCAACGCAGCCATTGGCGGGACGGAAAATGACTATAGTTCATTTTGCGAATGGCCGGACGGATGCCCCTGTGTCGAAGCGGAAATTGAGGTTGAGACATCGTGATTACACGGTTGCATGCATCTGTCCATTGCCGGTGGAGCAAACTGCCGCATTGGAGATGCTAGAGAGGAGCATGAACGCCTAACCCAGCCCCGGAACGATAGCAATGCTTACCACCTTGACAGCATCAATGGGTACAACGTGGTTATTTCAGGGCTTAGCACTCCTGGGTGTACGGCTGCGGCTAATGTTGTCGCTCAAATGAAAATGTCATTCCAAAATGTGAAATTTGGATTGCTCGTTGGTATCGGCGGCGGCGTTCCTGTGAGGACTGATTGGGGAACGGTCCGTCTTGGGGATGCTGTGGTCGGCAATCGAGCGAATGGGTATCCAGGCACAGTGCAATATGACCGTGGAAAAGTGGAAGTCAACAGCTTCAAATGTACCAATTCCCTATCCCCACCGCCACCAGTGCTCCTAGCTGCTGTGAACGCCTTGGAATCGCAACGGGACAGAGAGAGAGACGATCCTGTGTGGAAGGCCATCCAGATGATCGACACAACAAAACGAGGCCTCGTAAAATATAGATATCCTGGCAGAGGCCAGGATCATCTATTCAAGGGATCATCTATTCAAGCCGGCATACATCCACTTGGACTCTCTAACTATACTTGCGATGAATGTGGATGCGATCTTTCGGAGCAAGTCCAACGGCCCGAGGACAACGAAGGCGACATACAATATGTGAAGGTGCACAGAGAAAACATGGCAACTGGCGAGAAGGAGAAGGTTATAAAGGCTGCTGTGGAGAGGGATCGGAAAGCAGAGCAGTGCGACGCTCTGTGTTTCGAGACGGAGGCAGCAGGCGTTTTTACCGACTTCCATTTCCTCGATCCGTGATATATCGGACTACTGCGATTCCCACAAAAATAATAAATGGCATGGGATATGCAGCAGCAGCAGCATATGCGAGGCAGCTTTTCTTCCATTTGCCGGTTTCTAAAACTTGAAACCCAAGAAGTACGTTTAGAACAGAATACGACAATAGTACGTGTAACGCTTCTTCTAACAACTTCTCCATATCTGTCCCCCAAACAAACGCCAGAAAATATCCCTTTCCAAAGGCGCAATATCTAAGATTCTAAAGTCGTCGAAGTTTGATCAAGTAGATGATGCCTGATGTCCATTGTCCATCAAGACTGCCCACACAGAAACATGTGGGTGGCTCCTGAAGACGCCGGAGTATCGCGACTGGTTTTGGGTGCCTCTGATGATCCATATCATGGATTTTTATGGATCAAGGGAACACCTGGGGCGGGAAAGTCGACGTTGATGAAATTCATCGTCAAACAGGCGATGAAGATACAGAACAGAACTGTCATTTTCTTCTTTTTCCGCGCACGAGGCGCCGCCCTGGAGAAGACTGTTGTTGGAATGTACCGATCTTTGTTGCTACAGCTTTTCACAAAATTGCCGCAGCTCACACAATTTTTTGCTCTGCCGAGTTTGATACTTGGAAGAGCATGGACAACTTTGAGTGGAACGATGAATTGCTGAAGGATCTCTTTAGAGATGCAGTATCCCGTGGGATGTTGTCTGTGATATATTTCATTGATGCGTTGGATGAGTGCGATGAGTCAGGAGCCAGAGAAATAGTGAAGTTCTTCATTCATCATTTATCGGTGAAATCTGCCATCAAGCAAAATGGAAACTTTCGGGTTTGTTTTGCAAGCCGACATTAAATATTTAAATACCCCAATATTTACCCCAATATTTCATCCTCTGCCACGTTGAACTTCACCTCGAGCGCCAGGCGGGTCATGCCGACGACATTACCAAATACATAGCAAGGAATTAAGAATCAGTAAAGGTAATACTGCAAAGGAAATTAGAGACGAACTTTGGAGGAAAGCTTCAGGCATATTCATGTGGGTTGATCTTGTGGTGAAAAGGTTGCTCTCCACATCAACAGCAGACCAAGCTGCAAGCCAACCTGCACCAGTTCTTCCGTGATATTTTGACGTGGGATAAAAACAAAAACGAAGAGTTCCTGCTCTGCATGCAGTGGTTGCTTTTTGCAAAGCGGCCGTTGAAGCCCAGAGATTTACACTTGGCGATACTATCCGGCACAAACTTTAACGTTGAGGACCTAAATAGTTACAGGAGGAGGGCCATATTTACCCCGATTGATACGATAATAACAGTGAAATTTCTTCTCAAATGCTCCAAAGGGCTAAATAGCTGAGAAAACCATGTCCGAAGAACTCACTATGCAATTCAATTTATACACCAGTCAGCGAAGGACTTTCTTCTTGCGGAGGATGGACTGGAATTACTTTCGCCCGCCCTGAGAACTGACGTCCTAGGACAAAGCCACGAGCGACTGAAGCAGTGTTGTCTCAATTACATTGAAACCGATACCATTTCTCCTTCCGGAGGATGGAGGAAGATTTCTTCAATGGAAGAAGCATTTCCATTTTTGGTATATGCTTATACTAGTGTGCTGTATCACGCCGACGTAGCAGCGGGAGCTGGAATATTGCACGAGGACTTTATTACAACTATCAGGGGCGACAAATGGTTTCAAGTTTATGATGACTGACTACCTTGTCAAGGCCAGTTGTTATGTTTGTATTAGCTTCGGACAATCTGCCAAATCTCATCAGAATTCACCCGTCCAGCCTGTCATATCTCGACGACGAAGCTAGGAGGTGGAGTACCCCTTTTTCCATAGTGAGCACCAGGGGGAACAAAACCATCAAGGCATTCATAGAAGTATAGGCAAAAGCTCTCCCCGACAATCCTCACATCCAAACCCTCGCCCGAAGTTTGTGCGAGGACATCGATCGATCGATCTCGTACCGGCCGGCAATCCGTGGCACGCGCCGCACTGTATCACCCCCCGACACTCATTGATTTCCTGCTGGAAACCAGAAGATGGACGCTAGACAGCAAGCATGACAATGGTCGGACACTGCTGTCACAGGTCATTTGTCTTAGACCGGGTACAGATGTTGTCAAGTTGCTGCCTGAGAAGTACAAAGTTGATCCTAACTCATAGGATAACTTGGGCCGCACACCACTGTCACTTGCTGTTGAATATGAACAGAATGAGAAGGTTGTTGAGCTGCTACTTCAGAATCCCCAAGTCAATCCTGTGGCATCAGATAGCAGAGGTCGCACACCACTGTCATATGCTATTTGTGCTGGGTTTAATAATGGAGAGTCGGAGAGTTGATCCTAACTCGCGAGGTAATAGTGGTCGAACACCACTATCCTATGCTGCACAATATGGGCACCGCCATGCTATGAAGCTACTACTTAACACTAGCAAAGTCGATGTTGATTCAGAGGACAATATAGGTCGAACACCTCTATCCGATGCTGCACAATATGGGAAGCAGGAAGTTATCCCGCTACTGCTTCACACCGACAAAGTTGATATTGACTCGGTAGATAATAATAATATGACACCACTAAAGTACGCCGAGAAGTCCGGAATACCGAGACTGTCAATTTGTTGCTTGAAATTCGCAAAACTTTATCGAATCCACCACAGTTGTTCAATGAAATGGGTCGTCACATGCCAGAAAACGAAGAGTATCATATGTTGGTTTAACAGGTAAATTAAAAATGTTAGTAGTCAACACGGACACAGATAACGATCTGTAATTCCATTCTCTGCTGTGGGCGGAAACAATCGAGTGAGCAGCACACGACGGGTTTTATTGTTGCTTGGTAGGCACTTTTAAGGAGGATCAAGAAGATGCTTATATGGTCGGCGTTTGGTGGATGTCCGGGATGAATTCGTTCTAGTGGTTTGTTGGGATTGAGAAAGAGTGGAACTGGACTTGGATTTTCAAGAAGTATTTCAAGAATGTCGTCTCTTTGACTGGGGAAAGAGAAAGGAAAGGAATGGAATTCATAGATTTACGTGGCTTCTCTACATGTACGTACTTCGAAGTAGTCCGAAGGGTAGCATACATTATGGGGAATAAGGTAGTAGATATTACGTTGACTCGTGCAATGGACAGAGGAAAGAGGTGTCCTTCGTTCAGAACGTTGACCTACAGAACAAACTCATTTCCGGCTACAAAAGTATGGAGAAACTTTCATTCGTCGATTTCATTAGATTTGGGAATATAATTGCCGCAACAAGACTCTCGTTGACATATGAACCATAAAAGCTCCTTCCCGGAACGTTGAAGCTAGGGAGCAGCCTGCAACATAATATCCTGCACTCTTAACTGGAAAGACAGATCAAAGCATGTGTGGGTATCATTTAGATATGATGTTGTTTCTCCAATTCATCGAGCTCATCTAGTAACTGCACCGTTTCACCGGGATTAGATACCCAAGATGTGGTGCATGCAAGGCGGGCCTGCAAGGATCATATGGGCAGCAAAGACGATGTTAGAACTAGGTTATCAACACGCGGAGCAAATTGGGAGGGGGTGGATCATACCTTGAAATCATTAGAGCCCGCAGAAAGGAACTGGTCGCCGATATGCAGAGTTTTGGACTGCGGAATACCGCCAAAGTAACGTTGGCAGGCGCGCACACCCCAAGATTTATCGCCAATATCAATGAATACGTCGTTTCCTCCTAGGAGCAGTCGTTAGTTGTGGAAATACAATGACAAGAAGGAGCGATCCTAAAACTCTTGGAAGCTGCTAGGAATATCATTGGCTTACCATTGAACGCACAGAACGGTAGACGTTCGCCTACCGATGAAAATTCAACCGTTTGTTGTGCTACTAAAACCGTCTCCTCGAGCTGCTCCCGGTGCATACGGCTGCCCTCGAGTGGAGATATGCCAACCGCCCGCGGTTTGCGAACAAGGGTAGCTGGAAGTTTCAACTTAGCCATGCAGTCACGGAGTGCAGTTTCAGCAATATCCAGCAACTCGGTGATATCCTCCTCTTGCCACAGCTTCATGTCATCCAGGAGCCATTCGCTCCGTTCGACAGGTGAGAGCAAATCAGGGGATGATCTGTCAAACTTAAACAGGAAATTGCTCTCGCCACCCATTACTATAAGATTATTCTGCTGGTGCTCATTAAGGCCTGGGTCGTTTTTCACGTTGTCTAACAGACCGTGAAGACGCTCGTAATACCTGAGTGCCTCAGTGTATCCAGCAGCGGTTACGATACCGACCCTCTTCCCCTGGCGTAAGAGACGGATTATCCGTTGAATGACTGGGTTGTCCATAGTAAGTGATGCTCCATCGTCGTAGAGTGTCACGTCGCCGTCAAAAGTGATGAGGTCAACCCCTCCGCCTTTGATAAGGCCTAAGAGTTGCGCTGTGTTGAGGATGTTGCGAATATCGTTGAACGATGGTGGCACAAATCGCCGACTGCTGATGGATCGTTTCTTATCCTGATATCTGAAGGCATCGACCAAAAGTAGAGGAGTGAAGAAAGTTCCAATGCTAGGAACTAGAAGCTTCAGTTTTGAAGGACGTTTGCTTTTACCCTTTTGGTGACTGACTATATTACGAATTAGTGAATTTGAAGTTTTACATCGCTAGTCAGTTTGACAAGCAGTCTTGGAGGTACGGCGTTGAATTACTATGGTCGTTGATGAGATTTTCAACATCATGCATGATCTCCACATAACGGTCATGAGTTTTAGCAGCTGGCTGGGCAAGGTTGGGACTGTGCTCTTGGTATAGCGCAGTTGGTTGCGAGTGTAGCACGAAAGGAACGGCGAGCAGTCCCTATAGCTGAGATTAGCTATTGCCTTATGCCACAGCAAATAGTTAACCAAATGATGGTTGCTTGGATCCGGCGCGGGCACGATATGTGGGGGGCGCATAAAAATATAATATGGGCGACGCATCTTACCTTGATCCATTCAATCTAACCATTCCCAATGTTAGTCATTTTCTATGGAAGGTTCGATAGCAATGAAAAAAGAAACTTACTAACTGGTCCCTGCGATGAGACTATCTCTCGGAACAGTGGGCGAAGTTAGCCATGGGATTATAGTCTCTCCATGAACAGTACAGCAGACCGGGAAAAGCTCAGTACCAACCTTAAGGGCGTCTAAGCGTCGAAAGTTAGCCGAACTCAAGTTCCAAGGATACTAGTACAACGTAAAGGAAGAACCTTACATTCCACTCTATATCGAGTTGTCATGGTTGAGGTGATGGATGCCGGGCCGGAAACTCATGAGCGGACTGATGCGAGAAGCCGAGTGTCACAAACCGCAAGAATTCTTCCGGCGAGATAACGGGTTATATTTATATATGTTCCCTATCTTGTGATGATTGGACTCCTCCTCCCAGCCGGTTGTTTGTGGAAATACAATGAGTGGCTGGGCGTGTCTGTCTTTGGGGGGGGATTACTGAAGAGCAGATGGTTCACAATCTTATGATTAAATTAATGCTTTGATTCTTCCATCAGCGGCACTGTAATAAGTTGCCTCAAAATTTGGTCTTATCCAGGTATCAAACCAATAAGACGAATGAAAGATGGGGGGGAGAGAGAGCAGCAGGCTGGCTGGCTGTGAGGTGTAACTGGGTATGTAGACTCCCAGAGCTTGATGTCATGAGCGTGGGTGTACTGCGTCCTCCTGCTGAAACTAAAAAGGAGAAAGAGGGAAAAATAATTTCGAAATGTAAGGGCTGACTTCGAGATGTTGCTGTTGCTATTGTTGTTGTCGTTGTTGCAGGTTATACGTTACAGCTGGTTGTTTGCTGAGGTTGAAGTTCGATCTCAGCCACGGGTTTGTCGACCCTAATTCGGCAAAGAAAGCCGAGAGCCGGTAACTATAGCTACGCTTACTCAGCCATCGGAGGAGGCCGATCCAATACTGACTATGTTTAAAAAATGAAAGTGTTTTCAGTTGATTTAGTTATTCTAGAGAGTAACTACTCTATAATTCTTATCTTTAATATCATTTCCCTTTCTAACCATACTCAGCTTTTCTCTAACCATGTTCAACTAGAACCTGATATATTGGGTAACCATGCTACGAAGTTGTGCAGAAAATACTATTGCATGGGATAGTATTGAATGTAAATATGTACTAAGTCATATATGGCTTTCCTTATATCAAGAAAGCTCTCCGATCCCCCAGACCATGAGGGTTGATAAAGTTACACAAGACCCAGTGACCCAATCATACAGAAAGAGATGAGAAGCTGCAAATCACCCGTTCCCAATCCGCCCGCATCAACTACAATTCAGGCCTAGTCTCCCACTGACTCAGAAGGCCCATAATACTCTGCAATGTCTTCTCTTCACCCCCACCATCATCACTCCATGAATATATTACATTCCCTCCACGAGCCATTGACTCCAAGGCCTCTCCTAGATCAGCATCTAGTCCAGCACCTAACCATTGACATTGAATAGTCAACCTCTCTGGCCGCAGGTCAATATTGAGCTTCTTACTACGGCGCTGCGTGGGGGAGGAGGCAACCAGTTCCCCGTTCTCAGGGGATGTGGGTGTCCATGGCGTTGGGTGTGAGGCACGGGGTTGGACAGGGGTGTTGAAATGAGTCTGTTCTGTTTGTACCTGCGCTTGCCCTTGTTCTTGCTTCTGCTGCGAGGAGATGGGCGGTGGAGACGATTCCGTACCCGTATCCCACGCTAGTGTTGGAATAAGGTATACCAAATCGATCGTGAAGCGGTGGAGGAGGAGCTGTTGGAGATCATCGCGGAGGCCAAAGCGGGACGAACTGGATTTAGTGCGCGAGCCGGAAGTCATGTTCGTTGCTATTTCGAATTCCGTCCCGTACCCATTGGGGCTTATATTGGTTACGATGCGGATCTTGAAGTTGGAGGTTGGAGAGAGGAAGGTGCCGGTTACGATGGACTCAAGTGGTGTGAGGAAAGTGTCTACAAGTCTTTCGACGAAGGGCAAAGTGTCCGGCTCCGAGGGAGAGGGAATGGTTTTGTTCATGGGTGGGAGTCTCACGAATATTAGCGGGGAGACATCATGTTTACATTTTAAGCCGGCTAGTTGTAATGTACGTGTTATGGTGCTAAGAAAAGATCTTAACCATTGCAGCGCTGATTTGTGTTGCAGATAACTGACAATTGGTCGTATGAGGGAGTATTCTGGATTTGGCCGGCGTTTCAATGTGACTGGTGGCGGAATTCGGGCCCTGCGTCGGTACTTCTTTCGATGGGCATGGGAGAGTAATAGTCGTAAAGATTGCGCCACAGCCTCTGCTAGAGCGTCTTCTGCATGTTCCTGCTGGTTTAGATCCGAAATATTGTATGCATCTAAACCGACCATGTCGATAAGAATTTGCTGATTATCGCTGGCCTGGAACTGGATCAAATTTTCCTTGCTCTGGATTCCATGTTGTAGTAGAGTGCGCGCTTCACGATTAAGTTCATGGAACAGCTCTTCTTCATACAGGACATCTCTAGCCAAACGAATGCGGTGTTCGATTGTGTCGTCACCAGGCGCCAACTCCAGGGAAATCAGCTTTGAGCATCCGACTATTTGGTCGTGTTGCTGTACACGAACCCGTAGAGAACGAGGTTGGGACGGCTGTAGCCCGCGGTCCAGGATTAGATCACCTCCATCCCCTCGTCTCAGGGCAGCAAGACCACGATCACGGAGAGTAGGCGTAGCTTTTCAAAATTCAATTAGCCGATGGATATTAGTCACGAGGGCACACTTTAGAATAATAAAACGAACCTTCCAAGAAGCCACATTGTACGCCTAACGTCTGTCTTTCCCGCGGAATTCTACAAATCTTCCACCCTTTCTCCTTGATACTTAGGACGTCCGCCCAGTACTTTGTCTCCGCGGCAACCTCCTGCTCCAGCCGGGAGGCAGCCTGTAGCAGCTTATTGGCTGCAAAATCAAAGGTTTCCAACTTCCAACCCCGCGACAAATCGACGATTTCCTTTTGAGCAGATTCTGTCTTCTCTGGCGTTTTGATGATATCGATGCCCAATGAACCTAGTGGTGCCTTTTGCTTGAGATAAGGAGACATGGAAATCTCAGCCTGGCGCGGTGTATATTTGGAAATAAGCAGGGACACGAGGTCAAGGGCGTAGTTGGCTTCAGCATGGGCTTGCCTATATGTGGTCGCGTTAGCCTAAAGCAGTCCTTGATTTCATGAACAAAATAAATATCTGGGGGCAAGGCGCACGCTACAAAGTCTACAATTTCGGCCCTGCTTTTAAACAACTGCTCCAACCTGTCTGTTGACTTGACCTCCTGTGATTCAGTTTCTTCAGTTTCCTCAGCTTCCAGGCCTGCAGCCGCTCTAGCCCGCTGCGCATCTATCTCCGCTTGGAGGCTCTGTTCAGTGACATTGCGAAAGGAGCCGCGCTGACTATTAATCTGGGCGATTCGAATGGGTAACGAGTCCGGTTCTCTCGCTGACTTCTGGATGAAGGGGCGCAATGGAAGAGGAAATGATTCCTCCATTTTGACAGCCTGGGGGGTGGGAGGCAGTTGATTGGGTTTGGGTTGTTCAAGGACCTCGAGAGCTTCCTGAAGGTCCGTTCTGTGGTATCTGTGCATAGCTGCTGGTGCTTTAGGGAAACATTGTGTAATCTGGGGGGGTTAGCGGAAACATCGGCACAATCGTACTAAGCTTATAAGTATGTTAATCCCGTAGTGAGGGTTCAATGTGCATGCATTGTATGTTCTTTGCTTAATGTAGTTTCAGTTCAGAGCCAGCAACGATGATCATGTGATGATGACGACGGCAAACGGAAGTAAAATTATCCGACTTCAGGGTATGCACGGACCAACCTGGGTAAGTCTTCCAAGCTTGGGAGCTCTGCCCCGCACTAACCTCAATTGAGACTAGTGATTTCTGCAGGAAGCAGAAAACTTCACCTTATACACTGATTTCTGGTGTTGATTTCTGTTTGCTCACCGAAATAGCCCCGCTTAATCATCATGACGCCGTCATCGAACCTCTTTGTCTTTTGGCTGGGTGAGACGAAATTACTTTATATCCCATCAATTAAGGCCAGTTGCCATTGTCTTTGTCTTAATTGTTGCTCCTGTGCCAGCATTGGATTGCTATGCTCTGCTAGCGTCTTACGGGGGAATTCTCCTAGGGTTACAACGTTGCATCACCGCCAACCTCCCTCCTTGCCCAACATATAGTCAGGTAACATCTCAATTGCTAACCATTACGAATAAAACACCATACTATCGCAGGGAATTCTATCTTTTCGATATTTCGCCAGCTTCAGCCAACAGTCCGCCAACACAATGGCTGACACTGCCAGCGCTAGTAGCACTTCAGTTATGCTCTCCAAGCGTCGCCGTATCGCTGTGCTCACAAGTGGTGGCGATGCCCCCGGTATGAATGGCGTGGTCCGCGCCGTCATCCGCATGTCTATCCACTGTGGTTGCGAGGCTTATGCTATCCATGAGGGTTATGAAGGCCTAGTTCGAGGCGGGAAGTTTATTAAGCGGATGCATTGGGAAGATGTGCGCGGCTGGTTGTCGCGGGGAGGTACCCTGATTGGCTCTGCTCGCAGCATGAGCTTCCTGACACGAGAAGGACGTCTACAGGCGGCTAAGAATTTGGTTGTGCGTGGAATCGATGCGCTAGTTGTATGCGGTGGTGACGGCAGTTTGACCGGGGCAGATATCTTCCGTGGAGAATGGGCCGGTTTATTGGGCGAGTTGGTTCAGAAGGGGGAATTGACCTTGGACCAGGCGAAACCGTACGATTCCCTCAATATTGTTGGCATTGTAGGTTCTATTGATAATGATATGTCGACAACTGATGCTACGGTTGGTTGTTATTCATCACTCCATCGTATATGTGAGGCTGTCGACTATGTGTTCGATACGGCTGCTTCCCATCAACGTGGCTTCGTGATTGAGGTGATGGGGCGGCATTGTGGCTGGCTGGCCCTAATGTCGGCCATCAGTACGGGGGCAGACTGGTTGTTTATCCCGGAGAGGCCTCCCCGAGACGGCTGGGAAGATGACATGTGTGACATCATCACCCAGGTTCGTGTTGGTGCTGATCAAATACTCGGCTCCTGTACGAAGATGCATACAGTGCTAACCAGTTTCTCGTTTGAGAATAGAATCGGAAACGAGGCAAGCGCCGCACTATCGTAATCGTAGCTGAAGGCGCACAGGATCGCAACTTGAAGAAGATATCCTCGGAATCCGTGAAGGATCTACTGAGCAACAGGTTGAAGCTTGACACTCGGGTGACCATTCTCGGCCATACACAGCGAGGAGGCCCTGCCTGTGCTTACGATCGGTGGTTGGGCACACTTCAGGGAATAGAAGCTGTCCGAGCTGTTCTGGAAGCCAAACCCGGCTCACCTTCACCGATCATAACCATTAGAGAAAACAAAATCGAGCGGTCGTCCCTCCTCGACGCTGTTCGAGTCACGAAAATGGTAACCCAGGCCATCAAGGATAGAGACTTTGCGACAGCGTTGGAATTGCGAGATGCGGAATTTAAAGCCTATCACAGGGCGTACATCAACACGGCGACTCCTCACCATCCCAAGTTGCAGCTACCAGAGAACAAAGTAGGTTTAAATTTTTACTGCAGGTAGTAGGCTCTGCTTGAAATTATACTAACCAGGACATCGTCGTGTCAGCGAATGAGAATCGCAATTATTCACGTTGGTGCGCCCGCTGGTGGTATGAATCCCGCAACGCGCGCAGCTGTAGCCTACTGTATCGCCCGTGGTCACACACCAATTGCGATTTACAACGGCTTTCCAGGCCTTATTCGACACCACGCGGATAAGCCTCTAGGTTCAGTCCGAGAAGTTACATGGCTTGAATCAGACACGTGGGTAAATGAAGGCGGTTCGGAGATCGGCACAAACCGCGGCCTCCCCTCCGAAGACTTTGAGAAGGTCGCCGAATGCTTCGAGCTATACAATTTCGATGCCCTCTTTGTGATTGGCGGCTTCGAAGCGTTTACTGCCGTAAGCCAGCTCCGCAAAGCCCGAAATGAATTCCCCGCCTTCCGAATTCCCCTCGTCATCCTCCCGGCGACTATCTCCAACAACGTTCCGGGCACTGAATACTCCCTCGGTAGCGATACCTGCCTGAACGCCCTCATCAACTTCTGCGACGTAATCCGCCAATCGGCGTCCTCCTCCCGCCGACGGGTCTTCGTGGTTGAAACCCAAGGCGGCCTCTCAGGCTACGTAGCCACAATGGCCGGGCTCGCCATCGGTGCCTACGCCGTCTACATTCCTGAGGAGGGGATCGATTTAAAAATGCTCGCGCGGGACATCGAGTACCTCCGCCACAACTTCTCTACCGACCGCGGAGCTAGCCACGCGGGCAAGATAATCCTCCGCAATGAGCACGCCTCAGCCACGTACACCACGCAGGTAATCGCCGACATGATCAAAGGGGAAGCGCACGACCGCTTCGAATCGCGCGCCGCGGTACCGGGCCACTACCAGCAGGGCGGGAAACCGTCACCGATGGACCGTGTGCGGGCACTGCGCATGGCTATAAAATGCATACAGCACATGGAGACGTTCTTTGGGCTGGAAAAGGAGAAGATTGCGGCGGATCCCATGTCCAGTGTCGTTATTGGGATTAAGGGAAGCGAGGTTGTTTTTGGGCCGGTGGGTCCGGGCGTTGACGGGCGCGATGGGTTGGATAAAACAGATACAGACTGGGTTCGTCGAAAGCCGAAGAATGATTTTTGGATGGGGCTGAAGGAGCTGGTGGATATATTGAGTGGGAGGCCTGGGGAGGATCATGATGGGGTGCTGAGAACGGCGGAAGAGGAAGGGTGGGGGGCGTATGCGCCGATGGATCCATGTCATTTTACAGAGTAGCTCTAAATATGTTCAGATGTTCGGGTGGCTGGTGCTGACTTGATGGATATATATATTTCCTTTTACTATTAGTTTTCAGCTGTTTTTCGATTATTCAGTTTGATTAGATTGAGGGTTGATATTCATATTTCAGCACAACAATCAACTAGATAAACATATTAAAAATTATCAAGTCTTTACACCTGAATAAAAAATATTCCTCTCTGCTTAGATAATCTTTTTGAGTAGGATCAAAAAATCTATACAATACTCTAACTCTCCGCCTTGGACTGTTCAAGTATCCTACCGTGCCCATCCTCGAGTCAGGGCTCAGATGGGTGAATGGGATCGGGGATAGGGAACCAAGAACCGGCGAGGACGATACGTTAAACAAATAGCCGTAAGTGTTGGGAGAGAAGATGATGATCCAAATTGTTATACCGAGTACATACATAGGTATTGAAGGGGCTAATAAATAAATAAATAAATTGTCATATATGTATAGGTTTACCGTACATGTCTGTCCTTCGGGCTAACTTCCAACGCCCTAACTACAGCAAATGAAATGGCTAGCAACAGGACTAACTTACGGGATAAGTTAACTAACTAACTTAACTAGTTATACAAACTTGAACCCTACAATTGACTTTACCAACCAACCATTGTATGATATGCTCGGCCCACACATTGACATTTGCCACTTTCGGGCCAGAAATCTGTACATACATCTAGTTACCCTACCTACCGCAACACTCGCACCTCGCTAATTAGCGCTCGGCCAAGCAGCTTCGGCGATGCTTTAAAAAAAGGCTTGTTTTCTCTCGGCTTCAAGGAAACATTGCTTGCGCAAAGAAACAGCGGGGAAAGAATGAAACGAATGAAACAAAAGTCATATGGCCACGCTTCCCATACATATATTATAGTTAGGATTTCGCCTAGGAGGTAACTTAACTTAATCAATTCATGATTCAATGCATGCGAGTGACCTTGTGTCCCGCCGCTGCTTGGGTTGCGGTAACGGGTACCTCCTATGTGCGGGATTGCGTGTACTCTGCCGCCAGCGCTGCCAGCTTAGTTTCAATAGATAGCAGCAGATGTCTGTCGGCGGTTGGTTTTCTATTCGTCCTTCTCGGTGTATACATGGTACCCATGAGTACCCATGATAGGGGTGATATAGATAATTATACATATCATTATCATATCCCCAGTTCAACCGTGCATCTGATATGTTAGATGAATACGGAGTATACTTCCCTTCATCCGCTCATGCCCGCCCGCTGGCCTCGACGGTTCAATCTGATCTAATATCTCGATAGCATCTCGCTCATCTCCTCCTGAACTCTCTCCTTGCTCCCGCCCCCCTTCCCCTCTCCCCTCTCCCCTCCCCGCGCGCGCGCGCCCCCCCCCCCCCTTCCCCCTACTCCCCTACTCCCCTACTCCCCTGCTCCCCCACCTAAAACCTCCGTAGCGCACTATTCGGCGACATTGTAGGATGCGCTTAAGGGCATCTTCATCTCCGCCTCCGTCTCCAGCCCAGTCTTGGCTATTAACGAGCCAAGCCCTCCTCCTCCTCACCGTTCTCATACATGCCGTTAATTTGAACGTAACTAACGATGGTATTTCTAATCCAAATTTCCTAGAATCCCCTTTTACTTTTATATCAGTACATATAGATCTAGCGCATCCACTCACATATGAAACCCAACCCTCCCCCAAAAAATAGAATCCGTCATAAAAGTCGCCCAAGAGCTCGCAAAGGGTCTGAGAAGCTACTACACAGGTGACGCTCCCGGGAATGTCCCCGGAACCCTGCCCCCGCCCTACTACTGGTGGGAAGCCGGCGGGATGTTCGGCGGCCTGATCGACTACTGGTTCTATACCGGCGACTCGACCTACAACAGCATCATCATCCAAGCTATGGTGCACCAAGCTAGCCCGACCCGCAACTTCATGCCGGTCAACCAGACGAGATCCGAAGGCAACGACGACCAGAGTTTCTGGGCCTTAGCCGCCATGGCCGCGGCGGAGCGCAATTTCCCCAGCCCGCCCCCGGACCAGCCAGACTGGCTTGCCCTCGTGCAGGGCACCTTCAACTCGCAGGCGGCGCGGTGGAATACAGAGACGTGCGGTGGCGGGCTCAAGTGGCAGATCTACCCGTTTAACTCCGGGTACAACTACAAGAATACCATCTCGAACGGGTGCTTTTTTAACATCGGGGCACGGCTGGCGACGTATACCGGCAACAAGTCGTATGCGGTCTGGGCGGAGAAGGCGTGGGATTGGATAGAGAGTGTTGGATTGGTGACGGACAATTACCAATTCTTGGACGGCGCGGATGATGAGCAAAATTGCACGAAGCCCGATCCGATCCGGTGGACGTATAACGCGGGCGTAAATATGTTGGGCACCGCGCATATGTATAAATTCGTCTGTTCCCCCTCTCCCCCCCCCCCCCCCCCCCAGTATCTCTACCTCTGCCCATTTCTTGCTTCTTCTTCAAACCACTCCGTGCATCACAAAAAAAAAAAAAAAAAAAAAAGAAGGTTAACCCCGCAAATCAACCGCAAACAGACCAATGGCAGCGACAAATGGAGAACCCGGCTACAAGGCATCCTCGACGCCCTCGACATCTTCCTGCGGCCGGAAACATCCATCCTCTTCGAATCCGCCTGCGAGCCCTACAACACCTGCAAAACAGACCAGCTCTCCTTCAAAGCCTACCTCGTCCGCTGGATGGCCGCCACAACCCAAGTCGCCCCCTTCACAGCCAAGCGGATCATGCCAATCCTTGCCGCCTCCGCCGCCGGCGCCGCGAAGGCATGCGCGGAGGGAGCCGGCCCGGACTTGACGACGGCGTGCTCGCTGAAATGGGACGTGGGCAAGTTCGAGGGGGTGACGGGGGTGGGACAGCAGCTCGCGGCGCTGGAGGTGGTTCAGTCGAATATGGTCCGGAGCGTCCCGCCGCCTGTGTCGGCGTCGACGGGGGGAACGAGTAAGGGAGATCCTGGCGCGGGGTATCGACACAACAGTGATGTTCCGCCGGAGATTGCGACGAGGCGGATCACGGTGGGGGATAGGGCCGCCGCTGGAATTTTGACGGTTATATTGCTTGGTAGTATAGTTGGGGGAGCGTATGTGTTGTTTACCTAGGGATGTTGAGTCTCTTCGTTGGGTTTTTTGTGAGTAGATTTTTTCTTTTTTTCTTTTTTTTTGTTTTCTTCGGATTTTTGCAGTTGGTGGAGCAGTGGTTTTTCTTTTTTTATTCAATATTTAATACGTCTGACTGGCTTGCCTCTGCGGTATTATGCAGATTAACCACAGAGTAATCCGGTTTTAGTAGAAATAAAGGTTTTTTCTTCGTGATGTTTGGAATTCAGGAATTGATTTATTTATTATCGTCGAGAGTTGTACGGAGTAGACACACATCAATTACGTATGTTACTATATTTATATAACTAATTTAATCAGTCTTGACTTTCAGATTATTAAGCTCCATCTCGCAGCTTCATCTCACAGATCTCTCAACATTCTCAGAATCTCAGCTATAGAATTCTCTCAGATGTATAGAGATTCTCAACAGATAGAGTCTCTTTGAATATAGAGTCTTTCTGAGTATAGAGCTCTCTTAAATATAGTCTTCTCTCAGAACGGAGATTTTCAGATAAGAAATCGTCAGATATAGAGACTTTCTAAGTATAGAGAGTCTGAAAGAATAGAGATCTCTGAGTATAAAAACATTCTGAGTATCTAAATAGACTCTCAGATCTACTCAATATTAAATAATGTGAGTCTCTATTTCATACAATCTTTGATGAGAAGATCTTGATTACTTAATACAATCTTTGGAACACTAGTATAAAATACGAGAAAAAGGGGTAGAAAAAGATAAACAGGTTAATTATTAGCTATTATTACTAAATCAAAAAAGACGGAGGCGGGGGGGATATATAATAACTAATAAGAATAATGACAGGTCACCAAAGCCAAACATTGATAAGAGCAACTACAACTTTTTCCCCGAATACTGTCGGCTCCTTGTTCGCTCTGCAAATGTTGAAGCAATCAAGCTCAGAATTTGAACAGTGTGGGCAAAAGCTTGAGAAGAGAGATATATATAACCCAACAACAGCACAAACAAAAATGGGGAGATAAAATTTGCATTTGTCTGCGTTACTACTGCCGCAATCGCTCACTCGCAGCCTGATAAGTGCCATATTATTATCGATCAAAAACCATAAGAATCATGTCATGTCGCATCTCGCATCTCGCATCTCGCATCTTCCGTGATGGTCCCAACATCGCCTGGACGTCTCAAAAATTACCATCATCTTCATTCTCCTCTCCTCAAGTCACCACCTCCCCACGTGTTTCGATCTCGAACATCAAATCAAAATCAATCACACGGTCCCCGCCGTACCCCCAGTCTCAGCCGACTGTCTGGGGACTTCCTTGGTAGGGTGCGTGGCTGGGGAGCGATTCTTGTGGTACGTCCAGAGGTTGTAGATTTCAAGCATGGCGGCAGCAAGGCAGCCGAAGCTGGGAAATATGTTAGTCGTAAGATTTTCTTCTAAAATCAAGGGGGGGGGGGGACTCCAGTGCGCCGCGGGGTGTGTGTATTAGGGGGGGTTCAGGGGTTAATCTTACAAAGCCAGGAAAGTAAAGGCCTCGAGTGCGTATTTGAGAGAACATCGGCCGCCTGGTGGTGCGTTGAATGCACAATCGTTCTTGTTGTAGTCTTGCGCAGTGAAGATGAATGATGTCAACCACCTAATTCAATTAACAATGGGGTGTTGTTTCGTTAGCAGAGGTTTTTATTGCGTTTGGGATTGTATATTTCCTGATGTGGAGAGAAGATACGTACAGATAGGAGAATATGATATCAATAGGAAATGCGAAGCTCCCAATCACGGGGATGAAGGGCGACAGCAGGCCTGGTATGAAGAAGGCGACAGATAGTACAGCCTGGGTTATATCTCATGTTAGTATAACATGAACAACATTCGTATTTTGACCGTCTTCCTATACTTTAAAAGGAGGGCTATTGACATACGATAACAATCTCGTACTTCAGATGTCCACCCTTAGGACCCTTATTGAGAAAATAGGCAACGATTCCCATGACGATAACTGCACTGCACCATTGTAGCAGGCGAGTGGCAAAGAGGGCGCCGCGCAGAGCAGTATTGACGAGAGTCATTGTCGCCGGCGCAGGTGTGAAACACTTTAAAATTAGATGATAAGACTTATATATAAAAGGAATATGGAATATGGAATATGGAATATAAATAAATATAAACTGTTCTGATAGCGAAACCGGGGGGCGTCTTGTGTATGAATATACTCTCGCACCGCGAGAATAGGGGGGTATCTCCTGAGTCTGGGTACAAGTAAATCAAGTGGAAGAAAGATAAAATAGAAGATAGGGGAATGTTTGTAAGTTCCACGGAGGCAAAGCAAACCCTTTATACCCTCTCTTACGAAGGGGAACAACTCCTAAATCAATTCCCCCGCAGCATCAGCAGCAGCAGCACAGCAGCAGCAACAGCAGCAGAAGAAGACGAAAAGAAATGTAGTCCATCACGTCATAGAGCGCCGGGGGGCTTCTATTTGGAAGCAAAGGCCCGATTTGCCATCGCCCATTGGCCGCGACGGGCGAAGGATGTGACAAAAGTTGCTCACATGGCCCTGGAGAGGGTTTGATGCGTAACCGGGTGTGCCGGGGAAACCCAATAATGCGCTTTTTGGACATTTGACATGTCGCAGAGACGGCGTCCAGGACAATCGCTCAATTGCTTCGCAGAGGGCGCCAACCCGGGTTCGGCGTGGGAAGGCTGATGGGGGTTGTTGGTATGTGGGTTGATTGGCTGATATGACGCTGGTTTGACGTTTTGATGAACTTATTATTGCTGCCATATTCGATTTATACCTGCGTGCAAGTACCGTAATGTATGTAAGTATATGTAAATGTATATATGTACATGTACAATATACATGTAGACATTATTATGATATCTTAGTCAACTTACATTCCTGCTCCAGTGGCGGCACGTCATATGATGATTTGGATGAATGGGATGAATGGGATGAACGGGATGAACGCGGTGAACGGGGTGAACGGGAGGAATTTGTGCCACCAAACCAATCTGTAGTTAGCAGTTATGTAGCTAATAAACTAACTATCGATATCAGCACAAGAAGATGTATCTCCCGTTTGCTGACGGATGTTCGGCAGTCTCGTCGTCAGAACTCTGTATCATTACGATGAATCATGGCAGCCATGATCCCGGGGTCCAGCGAGTTATTGGCTGTGCTGGATTAATAATAATAACTAATAATGGCTGTGATATGGATGATAAATAATAACTATGTTATTATTTAGTTACTGGACGATGTTTGTGACAACCAAACCCGGGCTTGGGCAGCAAAGTCTCTCGCCCTCCGAGAAGTCAGAACCCGGCAAGGTCGGCAGCGGCATGGCATGGCATCTGGACCCTGTCGTCTGGCCATCTTACTTTATCAAGTCTATTATTATATTATTATTTCAGAGGCTTTGTGCTGTTATCAAGGCCGCCGTGTCGGCGCTAGTTATTTAACTAACTGGCGAGCTACGGTGGAAGGGCGTTTTAGCAGCCTTGGACGGAACTTTAATCCAACACCCCCCCCCCATCTCCATCTCAATCCGCCGGAAACATCAGGGGGAAAGCTGGAGCAAGCTGGATGGACGCTGGATGGACGCTGGATGGGATAACTAGTTGGATCGCGGTGACTATTCTACCCTCTTGTTTTGTTGTCTTAACCGGGGCAGAGACACCTCTCCTAATCCGCCTGACAAATGATATCTAGATAATAATAATATCCGCAGTATCAAACCAAACCAACCCATAACTAACTTAACTAGTTATGTTACCCCGCGCTCCGCAGCCGTGAAAAAGCTTCAAGCTCACCGATCATGCAATCATGCAATCATGCAATCGCCTGTGTTCAACCGTGATCAACATCCACAGACAGCTGCCAACTAGCCAACCGTCCACGGTTCGGAGACAGTTTTGCTTTTTTGAGCAACCAGCCGGCGTCCTGTGGCACCCACCGGCACCGGCACTGGCCAGCCATCGCATCGCAGTAGAAAACATAGCTAACTTTACGTTACTTAGGTAACTATGATGATGTCACGAGCTGTGGACTTTAATCCAAAACATGCGGACATATGCCATCAGCATGCCTATCCCTGCAATTGCTATAGATAGGAATGCAGAATAGTAACTAGCTATATATCTCCTGAAAATTAACGAACGCAGGAACAGATTAATTCAAGATCCCTCTATTAATTTATTTCTCTTCATCAAACCAAAGCCAGCAATCCCCTCACTCCACAGATCATCCAAAACTGCTAGCAGCAGCATATTTACGCTTCTTCAATTCGACAAACAAACACCCAAGCACCGCTCTACAACTTATGCAAAATGTCGAAGCTCATCACCGTTTTCGGCGCCACTGGTAATCAGGGTGGCTCCGTGATCAGAGCCATCCTCGCCGACCCCACGCTGTCCAAGGAGTTTAGAATCCGGGGCATCACCCGCGATCCCTCCAAGCCTTCCGCACAGGAATTGACGAACCAAGGGGTTGAGATGATGAGTGTACGTTCACACCCCTCCTCTCGAGATATCAATTCCACCTCCCTTCTGCGATATCCTATACAAAAGTACCTTACCCTGATTTCATTCAATATCTAACGAGGCGAAACTCCAGGCGGACATGAGCTCCGTGTCTTCCCTCACCCCAGCCCTCGAAAACGCCCACACCGTCTTTCTCGTCACCAACTTCTGGGAATCCGCCAAGGAGGAGGTCGAAATCGCCCAGGGCAGAAACGTCGCCGACGCCGCTAAATCCGCCGGCGTCTCCCACCTCATCTTCTCCTCGCTGATCAACGTCACGGAGGCCACAAACGGCCGCCTGCCGAATGTGAGCCACTTCGACAGCAAGGCAAATGTTGAGAAGTATATCCGGACCATCGGGGTGCCGGCCACGTTCGTGTTGCCGGGGTACTTTATGAGCAATTTTGAGACCGCGTTGAGGAAGGGGCCCGATGGGGTGTTTACGTTGAACATGCCCGTGAGCGATAAGGCGCAGTTCCCGCTGTTCGATGTTGTTGGTGATACGGGTGAGTTTATACTTCTAGTTTCCTTAAATATTGAGAAACGATCCAACATCAGAACTAAATTACACAAACCCCCAGGAAAATTCGTGACCGCCGTCATGAAGAAATACCCCGCCACCCTCGGCAGAGACATCTACGAGGCTACCGACTACTACACCCCAAGCCGCATCGTCTCCGAATTCACGGAAGTAACAGGCTACCCAGCCAAGGCGGTCCAGATTACCCCTGAACAATACAAGTCCTTCATGCCCCCGCACGCCGCACAGGAAGTTTTGGAAAACCATCAACTGCTAGAGGGACCCGGGTACTTTGGCGGCGCAAGTTTGGGTGAGAGTCTTGCGCTGTTGGAGCAGAAACCGACTAGTTGGAAGGGGTTTGTAGAGAGGGCGAAGAGTTACGCTTGGAAGTAATGAGAGGGTGGGTGCTGAGTTCAGTAGGCTGGGGAAAAGTCATTTGATTTTTTTTAACCTTTCAAGTAACTATAATACTGATGTACGCTTTAGTTGTGGATGGTTTATTTTCAGCTGTATAAAATTGAGGAGGAACTCCTCTCTGACTTGAGTACATACTTAAATAGGCATTCGTCGATTATTGACATAAATTAATGGATTTAATATATCTAAATACTTATATCCCTTTTCTGAACCAACCCCCTCAATCATCATTAACATACCTCTCAAAAACATCCCCATAAAACCTTTTCCCAACATCCCGGTGACTCCTTACCTTCGTCCTCAGCTGCGACTCACCCCACGTATCATACTCCCCCCTCAAAAACGGCGAATCAATCCCCCTCCCCTCCTCAGACTCTCCCCCGTCACCACCACTACCACCCAACAAACCAACCTCCCAAAACTCCTTCAGCCTCCCCAACGCCTCCTCCTTTGTCAAATCCCCCCTCACCCCCTGGAAAAACGGCACGCTAAACCTCTCCGCCGACCCAGGTTCCATAACCACCCGGTGCGTCGTGGCCTTGCACACCCCATTCGTAACAACCTCAAACGCCTGCCCGATATTCACCACGAACGTGCCCGGCACGCAGGGAACGTCGATCCAGCCGCCGGCTTTATTCAGCGCCTGCAGCCCCTTCACGGAGGGCGGGGAGGCTTGAAGGAGGAACGTCCACCAGCCCGAGGAGTCCTTGTGCGGGCCGACGCCTTGCGTGGGTGTTTCGCCGGAATCGGCGGTGGGAGCAGTGGTGCCCGGGTAGCGGACTAGTTTTAGGCGGTGCTGGTCGGAGAGGAAGGGGAGGAATGTTTGGGGAGGTAGGGCGAGGGCTTCGGCGACGAGGTGGAGGAAGCGCTCGCCTAAGGAGGTTAGGTGGGAGATATAGGACTGGACGATTGGTTTTACGGTTGGGAGGCGGGAGGGCCACTGGTTGGTTGTTTTTTGTTCTGTGTTAGTATCAGTATGCTCAACAATGTATGTATCTCTGTGAGCAGAAAAATTGGGGGGGAGGGGGGGGCATATATAGTAAATAAGCGTCCGAAAGTTGTATGGTAAATAAATACCTGATTCAGCCCCCTCAATCGTTCATACAGTGGCTTGCCGGGCCCATACGTGACATCCAACTCCGTCGCAAACTCCACCTGCTCCCGTCTATCAGCTTTTCCCCCCGTCGTCTCCGTACCTACCCTACTATATCCCAAGAAATGGGGCGAATTGCGCAATGCAATTTCATCTTTGGCCGCCTCGGGCAAACTGAACAGCTGCGGGAGCACGTTGGCGAGGTCTGCGATGACGTTCTCTGGAACGCCGTGGTTGGATACGTAGAGGAACCCGACGGAGACGAGGGCGTAGTGGAGTTTTTGGAGGAGGGCGGGCTTTGTAGCGGGGGAGTCGGCGAGGGAGAGGTCGATGGTTGGGATCGAGGAGAAGGGGAGGGGGGCTGTCATATTCATATATATATTCATATATTCAGGAGGGGGATAGAAGATGTTTCCGTATACCAGCAACAATGGTAGTAGACAAGGAAGTGAGGTTGGTATTGACACCCCGTATCACACTGGGAATACATATGTCCGCAATTCGGTCTACCGTTCGCGCATGTAATCAACTTGAAGCATCTAAAATGTAAGCCGGGACACTACTCAGCCTACATCAAGGGGGTGAGCCAGGCCAGCCGAGACACATCCGCCGGGATGCAGAGTTGCTGACCACAATAATACTAAGTGCCGGAATGGCGTCGGGAGGGTTGAGAGGGAAGCTCGGCTATGCATTCCAACTGCCGGGCATGGACGGGCCATTCGCCGGCTATTGCTGGGAATGCCGAAAGTTATATCAATGAATAAATGTCAGGAAAAAGAGGTTATACACTACTGAACGCCACCAACATCGTATTACTAAACGCCACCAACATCGTATTACTACAATATTTCTCATCATCATCAGCTTACTACAACGCTCGTCTAATACTCGCTTATGCTAGCTCTCTTGGCTCGCACATATATTTTACTATAAATAGCTCCATCTTTTGTATGAAATAGATATATTAGATAGTGTACGGATAATATAACAAGCAGATCTTGATACAGATAAGATTCATATGTCTTCAACATATTCATCCGTGACACCCAATCCGACAATAAATTATATAAATAAACAAATAGATAAAGTCAAATAGGGGGACACCATTCATTTACAAACAACGCCCAGCAAGATCTCTATCAGGCTTTGGCGCCTCGACAGAGCAATTAAAACTAAACTGTCTCTGTGATGAGTTATGGTATTACATTCCTAAGACGCCCGAGCTGTGAGGGCGAAGAGGGGTTTCGAGATGTAGAATATAATAACCAGTCAACGGGACAAGCTATCTGTTTTAAAACAACCATTAATTTGCGCTACCAAGATCACAAGAGAATCCTGCCGCCTGTTGTTCTTGGTGATACTTGGCTTCCGTTTTTAAAGAAGGGAGATTTTCGATTTTCCGTCTAACCATATTCCGGAAGTATAGCAGATATCCCGATTTTAGAAGAATCACGAAGCCCCATCCAACCCAAGGCAACCACAAATTCGAGCATCAGGATCCCATCGCCGTTGAATTTCCGATAGTTTCTTAGTCTGCTCAATACCCCAGACCTCCGATCTCCGTTCCTGAAAATCAAACTCCCCCCCATACGCTCCAACAGAATGTGGTTCAATCCCCTTCATAACAGCACCGGCCCAGGCTTTACATGTTGAGTCCTCACTTTCATGACTCCATATGCCGTAAAGTGCGAAGAAGTGATCGGATTGGAGGCTAAGGGCCATGTCCGGTAGCTGTCGTCTGCTGCAAGGCTTCATCCCCGTCCAGAACACTTGGGACGTCTTGGTAGGTAATGTCGTGAACGCTTGCGCGAGAACGGCGACGACATCCGCATCGTTTTTGAGATAGGCATTATCAACATAATACCTGTGTCCGTGTGGATAGGCATCGGCTTTACTCTCCAGTAATTCGCTGAGGCTTGTTTCTGTGCCGACAGAATGAGTTAATGCACCGGGTGGGCGGGAGTCTTCGGCCTTCTGCAATGCCTGCTCTAGAGTATGCTTATCCTCGCCAAAGCCGACAAGCGCAATTGTAAGGCATGGCTCTTCTTCTCCTGGAGGATAGCTGCCAATGGCAATAGCTTCGATACCGTCTTCGGGAGTAAATGGGACCTAATTCATATCAATATAATGAGCTCCAAAGGATGGAATCGGGCTACAGTGCAATCAATAGGGTTTATACCTTCAGTATCCATGAAAATGCAGCGTGATAATCTTTCATCGCGTACACATATCGCGATAAACGCACCTCTTTTATAGCCGGCCGAGTCCGCAGGTGAAATCGAGTGACCACGCCAGGGAATCCAGGGCCCGCTCCTCTGGCAGCCCAAAAGAGGTCGCTATTTTGTCGTGCGTCTGCTCGAATTAGGGCCCCGCCAGCTGTCACCACATCGATAGAGAGTATTTTTTCGCATGACCAGCCCCAGTTCTGCTCCCACCCAGTCAGTCCATCCCCATGAAGAATAATATCCGGGAAACCAGGCATACATTGCAATTCCAGCCCATCCCGCCCGCTAGAAGAAATCCCCCCATACCTACATCAGGACAGTGGCCAACCTGGAACATCCGACCCCTCGCGGTGAGGTACTCATTCAGAGCCCGAGCGGTCGTGCTTGGAGAAACGCTGACAACCCCCGTCTCTTCGTCAAAGGAGGTATTCGAATAATTTCCAAGGTCTAGTAGCATAGCATCATCGCGAACGCTCCAGGCAGGAAAGCTATGTCCGCCGGAGAGGACTGAAACTCGACATCCTTTCTCAATAGCTAGTTTTACCGCGTCAACAATGTCCGACTCGGCTTTTGCGAATGCAATGGCTACTGGATATCTTTTGGGTATGGCGGGGTTAAACAGGCGTTGAGTACGTGCTTCTTCATAGGTTTCTGGCTTTGCAGAATGGCGCCACACAACGGATAATGACATGTTTTGTCAGGGAATGAATGGTGGGTTTTCTCTAAGGTACTACTCAGTCGGCAGGGGACAAAGGGACGAGAAGCATGGCTCGCATATATTATTAGAGTTGCAGAGGAGGTCAGAGACGATGCTCTAGACCAAGCTCAGTCTACACTCTCTTGATGTACTGCGTATATTGCCAAAGATCATTGCGGGGAAAAGCGCTTGCCCGAGGTCTAAAGGAGTGTGTGGTTAACTAGTTAGTTTCCACAGCCTGGCTGATTTCAAGCTTTATTGATATCTCCAACTTACTCTCAGATCGTTTAATATCCTCTTACCGAACATCCATAGGTGCATTCAGTCCCTCCCATACATTCAAATTGCAGCTTGAAGCTAATATATAAATTATGCAGGATATATGTTCCTTATCAAACATGAAATAGCTGAGCTGTAGAGCCTACTAAAACTCTTGAGTCTTGGAAAGATGGTTTAAGTAATAAGATACATATATATGCATACGGACAACAAAGGTTTCAAAATACCACTTGTCTACTCGGTTTGACTTTCCTTCCATTCCCCGAAGGGCTTAACCTTCGCTTTCTTTGAAGACATCTCGGATTCACACACTCACAAACACGAAAGGGTGATACGGTTGTTTCTTTTGTTATCCGCGCGCTCTTTTTGTGCGTGACGGCACGCTCTTTTGTGCTTTGGCCAGTCCGAAGATTGGCATGCCCTCGAGCAATACCTACATCTCGCAGCATGCCACTATGGTCAAATTTCTCTCACTTCAACAACAAATAGAAAGGAAATTCTAGCACCAGAGAGCCTGGGGAACCGCAACTGCAGTAGCTTACCAAATCCGCTTACAGCCAGCGCAGCGCTTCACATTTTTCACAATTCCGCAGCTCTCACAGCCATATTGAGAGCAGGTGATGGCTTTTGGCAACACATCTCTAAATGATTGCTTGGCTACCTCCTCCGCCTGAAAATCACACTCCCCAGCGGTAGTGCAAATAGGGACGACGGAGTCCCACACCGATGGCTGAAAGTCACTCGATGGCCCCAGTTCGGAACATAGAAACGGCACCATACCGTGGTATAGTACTTTTGCTGGTTTCCCGCAAACCTGACATATCCACCGACGCGCAGAGAAAATCTCCTCGTTATAGACGGCCATCACACTCTGAAGGAATTGATTTTCAGCACCATGGTCGACGGCCTTTCCGGTTGGAAGATTGCAAAGGGCAAGCGGGCAATCCACAGTGAACTTGAAAGCGTAGGTATCACCCTTATAAAAGGGCGCACTTGGAATGCCACATACTCCTTGGTAAGTGATCTGAGTTGTAAGGGCCTGAAGCTTTTCCCTGGGGATATATTTTTGTCCACCATCCATCGCAGTGGTTTATTTTTCAGCGGCCCGATTGGAAAACAGAGAGAGATTTGACCACTGCAAATAATTCAAAGTAGGCTTGCAAGCGATGACAATGAGCGAGTTGGATTGTCCAGAATTACTTTTTGGTGTCGTTGAGATTGCGTTGAGGATGTCGACGTCCTTGTGTGCTGTCCATTTTGGGTAATCTCGACGACACCCCTTAAGCCTCCCCACATACAACGCAATTGTTGGCAATATATTGTCGGGAATTTTGGAATAACGACACTTTCAATATACAGCATTATATTAACTGTGGGATGTCTTGCATCCTCCCCTAAACTCATGCATACAAACGCAATGGTTGTGCTGTCGTCCCTGGGAGACCTGACTAGCAACACAGTCATTTAGAACTAAACTGCCACCACCCGCCCTCTTCGTGTTCAATAAACTTAACTCCGAGCCTATGGCACCCGGAATGTCACGACAACCGCACATAAGACTGCAGAGACGGGTTTACTCTGCTAACAAAGCGTTATTCAACTTCGTGGATGCGCTCGTTTGATGTCTGGGTTCGGCTGCATTGAATACAAAACCACAGATTCCGCAAGCCACGGCGAGGGCCCCTCTCTGTGAGGACAGATTTGGTTAGATGTTAAGCTACAAACTGAGGAGATCTTGGACAAGTTCTCGTTCTGATTAAGCAGAGCTCAGTCAGGCCACATATTTGAGGTGCCGTGACGGATAAAACAGATCCCTTCAAGCTTATATTGTCAATAAATAATCTTTACCATTCCCGATCATAGCACAGTTATGGAGCTTCCTCAACACGTTGCTATAGTTGGTGGGGGTCTTTCTGTATGGCAATTTCCACCCCTCGCCTTTCGAAACATGGGACAGACATGACTAACTGTTCGTATTAGGGTTTAAGTCTTTCACTTGCACTACAGAAAGTTAACATACCATGCACCGTGTATGAAGAGCGCGCTGAATCTTATGAGACCGGCGGTGGAATAACTCTCTCGCCCAACATTCTCGATGAACTGGGTGTATACGACCGTGTCCGCGACAAGGGTTATCACTTTGACACTCTAGCCTTTAGTGACAACGATGGAGCGATCAAAGACGTCTATCATTTTGGCTCTGAGAAGTTGTACGGCTACAGAGGCTTCCGTATTATGTGTCAGTCACTCATTAATGAGATGAAGTTGATGCTTCGGGAATACGGGATATAGATCCATATCAACAATATCAACAAGCAATTCATGAAAGCCATCAAGGACTCAGAGAAAGAAGTCGCCATTGAATTTGCTGATGGATCGGTCGAATCTTCCGATATCGTGGTGGGAGCTGACGGCATTCATTCAGCTATCCGGAAACATATCGTTCCGGACGTGAAACCTGGTTACTCTGGTTTGATGGCTATTAACAGTGCCTGCTCTCGGTCTGGATTTCTTATTCCCGAGAACTTTCACCTCCCTGCAACTGTTATGTCCAAGGTTGATGCATTTTTGATGGTACTGCAGGAGGCAGGAGGTTGACGGCTCTCATGTCCTCATTGGTGCACAGCAGCGTTTCCCCGAGAAGGATAAGGAAGGCTGGGATGCTCTGGCAGCGGACAAGCAAGGACTACTGGACATGCTACGAGATAATTAGTCCAACTGGCCCGATATCGTCCAATCGGCACTAGAGAATGCACGCGTTGAGAACATGGGCATCTGGCCGTTCTATGGGATCCCGAAGTTCAAGCAAGTGGGCCAGCTCCACCGACAGGGTTATCGTATTGGGCGACGCTGCACATGTTATTCCACCCACAGCCGGCCAGGGGGTTAACCAAGCGTTCGAAGACGTGAATATGCTAGCTTTACTTCTCTCAGAACCTATCTCCTCAGACGCCTCTTGTGGAGGCTTTGAAATTTTGGCAGGACTACCGCCAGCGCCAGATCGATAAAATCCTAGAGCTTACCCAGCAAATGAACCCGAAGCATTTACCCCCTGCAGAACAAGCCAACCTTCCGCCAGGTGCAATCTGGACTGACGATTCAGCAACAAGCGGAGAAGGCGGCCAATTGGGGTGGTTGTATGAGCCGGACCTCGATGAGGACGTTGCGAAGTGGCTTGCTGATCATGGTTCATCGACAGGAGATTCTATTTACTCTCGGCTTTTTCTTACAATTCCTCTTGTGTCTGCGGTAATATCGAGACGTGAACTGGGAGGCCTTCTAGTGTTCCCCGGGGGGGGTATTTGGGCCTCTCAATGTGGGCTACAGTCGAAAATGATTTGGCAGCTGATACCAGCCCTTCCGCATGAATAACTGACTTCAATATTGTACCGCGTATTTCTTGATGTTGCCATGAAGAAATCTACTCTGGCCGCCTTTTATTTTTTATTTTTATTTTTTATTTTTTTTGGTGGTTGCAATCATGCTGCTAGGGCTTTCACATATTAGCCGATTTGGAAAGTGTCCACAGGTACTGCATGATACCTTTATCATCATCTTACCCTGTCCTGTTCGCTGTCAAAAGAATGGTACGACGTGCTGGGCCACGATGCCCAACGAACCCGCCCCTATTACAGACTAATACGTAAATAAACTTTTGATACACAGTTGAGTGTTCCATTTGTGAAATGATACTCTGTGCATGTATTGTAAAGGTGAGCAACTATCTGATCATAATCAAGGTTCATTTTAGAGCCATGTTAAACTTTTCTAATCATTCGCAGCTATAAAATTGATTGAAACTGGGACTTAATCTCGTCAAACCATTAAACGCAATGAAACACTCGGGAGACACCCAATTGCAAAGGCTAATGGCCAAGCTCTGTAAGAATCGTGGAGGGTCATACCAATGGCATCTGACTACGGTCCCGTCCCTCCTGGAGCTCCCCGTGATAATAGAGCCACCTCCCCTAGCTATCGGACTATCGTGAACATCATCATAGACAAACTGCGTCGTCCGCCGTGCTTGTTGACGCGTCTTCAGACTGGCGGACAGCAACGCCCAATCGTCCCGCTTCGTCTCGCGAATAAGGTCATTGGCCATGTCCAACCTTCTGTCATACTTTATTGACTTCTCCATCGCAGAGATTCTCCTGCCATGCATGTGGAGTTCTGACGTCATTGCATTGGCCGAGGCTAGTAGTGTAGTTGAGAAGACAAAAAGCGCTAGAATTAAAATCTGTCCCGATTTGCTGACATTACTGACGAGCGCGACGTCAGTGTACACAAGCAATGTCGCGAACGCGGTGGCCGAGTCTTCGAGAAAAGAGCAGTCGCGCAACCATTGACCAGACGTCACTGCCTTTAAGCCATTCCACCGCGCCCTGAAGTCTAATCCAGCGATCTTGGCTAAGGAGAATGAGCAGATCGCCCTGAACACAAGGCTCGGAGGCGCCTTTCCAGCCAATCGTACTTCGTCGGTGGATGACGAGCACATTGCAGAGGCGAGCGAAAACTAATGCGAGCAGGACGGAGACCCCACCAGTCCCGCGCAATAATTAGGACTACTAGCACCGCTAGGGACGTAATGGGGTAAAGGAAGTATGGAACGCTCGAGAAACTAAAGGATGTAAGGGTCAATGTCCGACTGAGTTTAGTATTTGTTTCCAAGGTTGGGGTTACTTTTAGATAGGTGAGATGACCGGTAACGCCCATCTTCTGCAGGAAGAGTACCGTGGCAGGATTTTCAACACGGAATACATGTCCAGATGTCAGCGCGGCGACTGCTGGTGCCTCGCCATTGTGGAGTTCAGTTGCCGACTGTTGTCGATGGATGCCAGGGCAAAGGACGAGTATGTCGAGAAGAGTTGTCCGTTTGGCGAGAACGGAAACTTCTGCAATGGCCACAAGGCCCGCGACGTTTAGCGCCACCCCAGAAATCTGCAGAAAGTTCCAGGAGCGGGGATAAATTTCAAACTGTTCGAATCCGTTATTAGTGAACTGGATATTTTGTTGGCAAGCATTTCAACAGCCTTCTCGGGCTGCGTAACAGGCGCGGGATGAACATGTTCGGATGAGGGTCAGGGACCACAGCATATTTGAGACACGACCATTTCGGCCAATCTACGGCGATCTGACTCTTTGTCAAATTAACCCAATTCCCACCAGCGAGTAAGATGTAAATACGTTCGGAACACTCTTCTGCACGTTCGATTGGTGAAGACCTGGATGTCTCGGCCGCCTCACCGGGCTTGCGAACTTCGCCACGCGCGGGCCGGAATCCGAGGGAGGCATATCGAGATCTGCTTGGAGAGAAAGATAGGGTCTAGTCAATCTGGCTTATCAAGCGCCTAGAGATGGCGTGCGCAGATATCTAAGTTCCAGCCGCCTTGCGGCTCTTATGATTCTATGAACATAAATCAGCCCACAGAACGCTATACAGGCTATGCTGTGCCTTTCGCACTCTAGCGTTTTATTGACAATGCGACGGGCGTTTGTCAAGTCTACGATATCCCCGAGCCCATGTGCATAATACACTTTTGTAGCTCAGGGCTCTCCAGGCTAACTACTTCCAGCAGAAGCGAAAAGACGAAACTAAAACACTATCAGCAATTGTTCCTCGAACAAATTGCGATAACCACACATGGCGTCATACGACTACGCAGACAGTTACCTTTACGGCGAGGAGAATTTCGATTATTACGACTCCATGGAGGAACAGGGAATGCTGAACTCGAATGCGATCTGCTAAGGCGCTCCTTCCCCACCGACGATGACCCAGAACCTAATCGCTTCGGCTATGGGGTCCGGGCGCCTACTCCAGAGCCCTACGTCTTACACCTGGGGCCCCAAGGGGCAGAACTGCCAGATTAAAATCCTCGAAGGTAGCAAATCGCATCCGATGGAAATAAGGCCGAATCTCAAAGCAGCATTGTTACGATTTCGACTCCCGAGTTCGCCTAGATACTTGTGGGTGGATGCACTCTATGTGGATCAGGCGAACCAAGAAGAGAAAAGCACGCGAGTAAGCATGATGTTTCGAATCTTTGATACTGCCGATAATGTGTGTGTATGGCTCGGCGAAGAGACGGATGAAAGTAGTAGAGCTATGGAATTTATTCGAAGTCGCTTAAAACCATCGTTATTGAAGGAGTGGATTTCACTGTCTGCCTTGATAAGGCGGCCTTGGTTTAGTCGGCGATGGATTATCCAAGAGATAGCCCTGGCAAAGAAAGCTACCGTGTATTGTGGGAGGGAATGCGTGGAATGGGAGGAGTCCGCTAACGCGATCTCCCTTCTCGTCCACAGCAAAGAGAATGTTCAGCAACTCTTGAGAAAGTCGAGTGATTATTGTAATCATCCGGATTGTCACGGAGATGTTAGTCAATCGGCCGCCGCCCGATTGATAGATGCTTCTGATAATATGTTCAGGAAGTCAGAGCAGGGGCAGATCCTCGAGCGACTCCTTTCCCTCGAAGAGCTCATGTCCTCTTTGTCTGCATTCGAGGCATCAGACCCTCGAGACGTCCTCTATGCGATTTTATGGTTAGCTCGTGATGCCCGCCCGGGCTTCAAAAGCGGAAAGTCATAGCTTCCGATGATCAAAGCTTGGTCTCAGGACCCTCTGGATGCGCGGAGTATCCGATATCACCAACGAACAACTCGGATGTATTACCTGGTGTTGTTGTGCAGTTTGAGTCCGTGGAAGGGAGTAAAAGAGCGCTTTCAGATATTACATACAATGCTGGAAGTCGGAAGTGATTGGACCAGCACTATCCGATCCCGCATATTTTCGTTAGCCCCGATATTATGGATGAACCGGCGATGATATCTGACCAGATCAATGGCCATGGCCGTGAAAATGGGCCACTGACCCAGAACACCATGCTACCCGAAAAGAACCTCGGACCTCCTCCAATCCATCTACACATCCCATCCACCCAAGGATCCGTTGACTCAAATCAAAGCCCAAGGGGTGACTCGGACCGAAGCTCAAGAACAGACTCAGTAGAACCGAGAGAAGTCCTAGCGATAAAAATTGCGAGATCACTCCAGGCCAAGCAGCGAAAAAATAGAATTCCAGTTGACTATAATAAAAGCGTCCTGGATGTGTATAAAAATGTTCTAAGATTCATATTTACTCGGTCGGACTCACTGGACATGCTGTGTCGACCCTGGGCGCCTGCTGGCTTGAATCTACCTTCTTGGATGCGGCCTGTTTCGGACAATCCCTTTGCCACGGAAAGACATGGGGTTTATCGTCGGGTTAATGCTGATCCCCTAGTGGGTAAGCCCTGGCCTAGCCCGAATCTTTACAGGGCTGCACATAGTATCCCCGCCGACTGGAAATTTGACCCAGATGTGAACGAAAGCCTCAACGTTCAAGGATTTGTGCTGGACGCAGTACGGAAAAAGGGATCAGCCGCACGCGCTGGGGTTATTCCATCTGACTGGAACACTATTGCCGGCTGGGACAACTCAAGCTCGCCACCTCCGGAGACTTTCTGGAGGACATTGGTTGGGAATCGGGATTTTTCAAGCCACAAACCACCGCGGCATTGGCGAAAGGCGTGTCAGGATGCCTTTTGCCTCAGAACGTCAGGTGGAGATCTCGATATTAAGGAGGTAGTTGTATATGAATGCCCAAAATTCGTGTAGCAGTATTTAGAACGAGTACAATGCACTGTCTGGTCACACAGACTCGCAGTTCTAGCGAAAATACGAGCACAAGAATCACTGTGTCTTGTTCCCATGAGGGCGAAGAAGGGAGACAAGGTGTGCATTCTATATGGATGCAACGTTCCCGTCTTGCTTCGCGAGAGAGATAGGGGTAAACGGGGTTGCTGTGGTGTTTTGGAAAATGGTTGCGGCTGTGGTTGTCAGAACTGCAAATCAGGCTCTGAGAGCGGACCTGTTAGTTATGAATTGATCGGAGAATGTTATGTGCATGGTATGATGGACGGGGAGGCCTTGGTGTACAAGCAGAGGAATAAAATCAAGGGCCAGAACTTCGACATCCGATAGGCAAGAATGAGCTAGGTTGGAAAATGGAAGAGAAGCTGTGCATGTTGGGTATCGTAAACACAATGGTAATGTTAGGAAGTGTTAGATAGGGTTAGTAAATCAAGTTGTGTGTGCTAGGTAATCTGTCGTCTTGCTTCATCAACGTAAAGAGTGATGAGATGACGATGAAACGAAAAGTTGGAAGGTATCCATAATCTATAGCCCGAGGAAAGTTGGAAAGCATATATTGGACCGGTCGCTCTGGGACACCCTGCTTGGAGCTTATTAGCAACACCAGGTCGGGGTGTGCGCCTGACTTAAGATATCAACATCAGGAATTTCAAACCTCATATGCGTCTGGACCATGGAGTGTCAACTTGAAATAGATGGGCTCTACCCCCAGTGCTCAGAAATAGGTCCAAGGTAGCAATGTACAGAGCTATTATATTTAACATTTCAAAGCAAAATAAGTAAACAAATGGCAAAATGACATGTGAAGACGAGCAAAAATGCGACACAAAAGAACAGAACCTCATAACAGAGAAATACAATGATACAGAATTAATTAGCCCCTCTTTGTCTAGAAGGTGGGGAAAATGACATAGTAAGGGCCTGTCTATATAAGCATGACTCGCAAGGTGAGAATAAGGGGATGTGGTGGCGGAAGAAGGGTAATGTAAGGAAGAAGAAAGAAAGTTAAATATTAGAAGAAGAGTAAACAAAGTACTACTCCGCAAACGCACATTACTCCAAATTTCTCAAATCCATTCCCACAGAATAAACGAGATGTTTACTTTTTATTTTCGGGCTTGCGTCCAACCATCAAAAACATGGGCGTGAACAACTTCTTCTCACCACCTTTGACCAAACAGTCAGCTGCATATGCCAGGCTGTCACCAGTCTTCTGGGCGCCATGAGGCATGATGCCAACTTTCTCAAGCCCACCGACAAAACGGTGCACGATCGCACGACCCCACCAGGTCATACGTAGAATGGTGAAAAAGTCTCCCATTGAGGACATATGTTTCCACGATCCAGCCAGCGGGTAGTACCAGGGGATGTCATCGGGCCGGTCAGCTAGATCTTCAGCGTGCACAAGTTCAAACCCAGCCGCTTTGATGGCCGCCAGGGCAACTTCTGCCTTGACCATATTGGAGATGCCGTCACCTTGCTCAATCCCCAGACGGATCTCGCGGTGCTCCGGGTTGTCGTTGTCGTACTTGTCCGTCATGACCCATTCGTAGACACCAAATGTGCCACCGGGTTTCAAGACGCGGTAGATTTGGCTATAGACACCCTCCAGCGATGGGGCATGGACGGTAGCTTCGATGGCATAGACAGCGTCAAAAGTCTCCGGCTCGAAGGACATCTGCATGAAATCGCCCTTCGTGAAGCGAAGCTTATGTGACAGACCCTCCTTTGCAGCGTAGTGGGTGGCGCGATCGATCTGGTAGTCGTTGTTGTTCAGGCCGATGACGTTGACACCGGCAAATTTGACAATTTCTCTGGCAGGACCACCAACACCGCAGCCCACGTCAAGAACAAGTTGGTCCTCCCGAAGGCCGATCTGGTGGGCGAGGTAATGTTCGTGTCTGGCGATGGCCTGGCGGAAAGGCTCTCCGTAGGCAAACCGACAGAAATGGAAGGATGAGCCCCAGCCATACTCATAGAAATCGGTGGCAAGATTGTAGTAGCTATAATTGAGTGATTGTATTTTAGCATAAGTAACAATGTCTGCGCATATTTTCTTTGGCTTCCTTTTTCCCTCGTCTCTTTTGTTGGTCGTTCGTGTTGAGTCTTCAAACCAGGTGGTACTTACTGTCGAGTAAGCGTAGCATATTCCGCTCTTCGTGCCTAAAGGGCCATGTTAGAATTTGCTCCCAAGAGACAGAATTTTCTAGACTAACCTGTCTTATTTCTTCCGTCTCTTCTGCGGATGATTTCTTGTCCCAGTGTTTGAAGTACTCCTCAACGGCGGCCTTTTGCGCCGTATGGTCTTTGGCGCTCATGGCAGCCAGGCCACCACGTCTCTTTGCTGATGAGCCATGAAGAGCCTTATTGAAAGCAGCATCGCGCTTGTGGTCCTCAGCCTCGAGAGCTGACGGTGCCATTTCGCTTGATATGGAGTAGTAAGAGTGAGTGGAGAGGAAAGGGGGGAGAGGAAGAGCGTTTGGATGGGTTTCCAGGAAGGTGATACAAACGGAGTTGGAAGAAGCCAATTGAACGGCAAACACACTCAATAGTATCTGGAACCCTGAAACTGTACTTTGTATAAGTACGGAGTATATAAGCGAGAACTGCGCTTCAGGGGAACGGGATGAGGTGTTGAGAACGCTGGAAGTTATTTCGAACTTCGAAACCCTGAAAACAATAATATCCCCAAAATCTTCTTTCGGCCACCAAAGGAAAATTGCCGGGTTTACGCAGTAGGAACAGGGGGAACACACTAGACCGGATATGGAATAGCGGATGGGTGAACAGGGAAATCATGAAGCGCTCATGGCCAATCAGAGCTTGATAAACTATGCAGCCCTTCACAAAAGAGTTGGCACTAAGCTGTATGTGGATTAACACTAGCCCTGGTTTATCGGATCTGGCCAGAATTGGGTGACGCCACATTGTCATTAGCCAATAAAAGGTCGGCATTCATAATATTGGACCCGGATAAAGTTGTTCTTCCATCCCGAAATTAGTCATCATTGACTCAGCAATCCATGTGATCTTGCCAAGACATTCCACCTTCCAAATTCCAAATGCGGTAAAGTGAAATATCGGAATCATTTGCCATACAAACGAGGAGTGCCTTATGACAACAACTATATCAACTACGACAAGATAAGTGCAGGAGACGCCTACCATGCCTCCTCCTCAAATAAAACAAGATATCAACCGCTCCGGCTGGGAAACAACAGACTTCCCCTCCGTCTGCGAATCATGCCTGCCCGACAACCCTTACGTCCAAATGCTCAAGGAGGACTACGCTGCTGAATGCAAAATATGTACTCGCCCAATGACGATGTTCCAGTGGAAACCAGACCGCACAGCACGCACAAAACGGACAAACATTTGCCTAACATGCGCCCGGTTGAAGAACTGCTGCCAGTGCTGCATGTTAGATCTCTCCTTCGGCTTGCCCATCGTTGTTCGAGACGCGGCGTTGAAGATGGTGGCTCCCGGTCCACAGAGCTCAATAAACAGAGAATACTACGCGCAGGAACACGAGAAGGAGATCGAGGAAGGAAGAGGGGCTGTGGAGGAATATGCTAAGACCGATGAGAAGGCTAGAGACTTGTTACGAAGACTGGCGAATAGCGAACCGTACTACAAGCGACAGCGAAGGATGGATAACAGCAACAGGGAGAACGAAGAGCAGCAGGGGAGGGAAGGCTCAGGACAGAGACAAATAGGATACGGACCAGGGCCAAGCACGGGAGGATCTACGCCAGGACCCATTCGAACCAGCGATATTAGACGTGGTGGGCCGCATGGTTGTGGAAGAGGGGCGGGGATGCGGCGTGGGCGCGGTCGTGGTGGTGGACGAGGATTCCCTAGCGTCGCCCAACTTCCCCCAGGGCCTCAAGACATCCTCCCGCCCGATGACCCCAACATAACCTCCCTCTTCATCACCGGCGTCGAAGACGACCTCCCCGAACACGCCCTCCGCACCTTCTTCACCGAATTCGGAACCCTGCGCTCCCTCATCTGCTCCCACCGCTCACACTGCGCCTTTGTCAACTATGCCACGAGGGAGGCTGCGGAAAAAGCAGCGAACCATTGTCAAGGCAAAGCAGTGATACAGGGCTGTCCATTGCGTGTACAGTGGGGTAAACCGCGGCCCTTGGATAATATGGAGAGGGAGGAGAGGATGCGATATGCACGGCAGGGACGTACGGCGGTTGCTCCTAAGAGGAACACGGGCGCAGGTGGTGCGGGTAAGGCTGCTAATGAAGCTGCTCAGGGTGGGAACGCTGGAGCAGTTGGGCAGGAGGAACGGAAGCAACCGTCGTATGCCGTCGCCCCACCACCGGGGAGTGGGGATGTGCAGTATGCTAGTTTGGCGGGCGATTGATATCACTATGAGCGGCTTTTCATGGGTTATTTGGCGTTTGTCAATACTTTTCTTGCTTTCATCGGTTGGATTTTGGGATCATGGGAAATGTGTAATCTTTTCCTTTTTGTGTAAATTATATACAAGCGGGTGCCGTTGTCGTTTTTCTATGCATATCTTACACATCGCACTCTCGCTCAAATGTAACAGACAGATACCCTCAAAAATTAGTGTACAAAAATCCCGGCCATCCCCACCGTATCTGTATCATGATTAGGGTATATCCAACCTCCAAACTCCCATCAGTCAAAGGCCCAGTGACATACATCTCGTTTCCAGAAATACCTTACCTGCCGTCCAAGACCACGCCCGGTGCGACTATGTATCAGGGATTCTTCCGAGTTCCTCCCTCGATTAACATCCGTAACTCATATTTATGTATTAGGCCACCGGTTCTCACGACTGCGTGTTCGAACACGTCTTCCCAACCGCGACCTTAACTTTCTTATTTTTCCCCGCCGTCTTAATGGTATCATTATCACCGCGCTCGATGTGTTCGTGGATTCGCAATTCTACAACGTCAACACGTCAATACGTCAGCATACTATTCACCTCTTTTCCTTCCTTTCCTTACTTCCATGGTCCTCGTCAGCACACCGCAACCAACTCACGGCAAGCAACCCGAGAAAACCCCAATCCCCCCAACAGCATACGATACGAACAGAAATATATAACATACCATATCGATCCGTATCCTCCCCAGCATCAGAAACTTTAATCCCCTGCACAACATTCGTCCTCAATATCTCTGCCGTCTCGACTGCATGCTGGATGCGCATGGGTGTATCCACACCCAGTTCGCGGTGTTGGTCGAACTGTTTTCGCGCTTCAGCGCGAGCAGCATGGAGGGTTGTAAAGTCACCTGTGGGGGGGCTTGGATGTTAGTTAAGCTAGAGGGTAGATAGTGAGTTACATATACAGCTGGGGGGGTTATGTTACCGTGGAAGGCAATGCGAGTTGCCCGGAGGAGGAGGCGGTAGGCGCCTAGAGCGGTGGGGACGGGTGTTGCAGCCATGATCGGGAGTTATATATTACTTTTCGCTATGTATATCCTCGGTGAATAATAGATAGCGGGTGTAATAGGCGTTAATGCATAAAAGGCTAGAAATGGCCAAGAATCACCAGATTAAAATCATTATTGGCGTAGTTTAGCCCCCCCGGAATCATTCAAATGAATCTATAAGTTCAACTTGGAGATGTTAAAAAAGTCCAGGATTGCAGCCGGGGATTGACTTCTACGTCCCAAACAGGTTTAGCGTTATCTGGTCTCGCCTAAACAAATCTGCATCATTTTTTTTTTCCAGCTTTTTAGTCCTCGCTTCGGTTGTCGCAACTCTCATATCTACCTAATATCTATAGACAAGCTCTAGATATTATATACGAATTGAAGCTGACACGGGATGGCTACTGCTGAGATTGTACACCTGCCTCTTCCCGCCCTCCCAGAGGGCTGGAGTGCAGAGAAAGACTTCAAAGTCATCGGCTCGCTCTCTAGCGCTACGCAGCGCAATGTCGAGCCTGTTGGACCGCACTTTTTGGCTCATGCCCGAAGAGTACGTTATTTTGTCATTTACCTGTTTGCCTTTATAACTTTCTTTTCTTGCTGTGATTTTGTTGCGGAACTAACTGAAAATCCCCCATTAACAGAAGCGCCACCACCGGACGTTCTCTGAGGATGACAGAATCCAGGCCCAGGAAAATGTGAAGAAGATTGAGGAAGAGGAAGTTGACGAAATCAGTGAACCCGAGGATCCTATTATGCTTCAGCGGGACGCCAAGGATTGGAAGGTATTACTTCTTACAGCATTTCCCTTTATTCAATTACAGCCTGGATTCTAACTATATAAGTAGGGCCAAGATCACTATGCTGTCCTCGGGTTGAGCAAACACCGATACCGTGCCACAGACGAGCAAATTAAACGCGCTCACCGCAAGAAGGTCCTCCGTCATCATCCGGATAAGAAGGCCGCGTCAGGCAACGCCGACGAGAACGACAGTTTCTTTAAGTGTATTCAGAAGGCTACCGAAATTCTGCTTGACCCTGTCAAACGCCGTCAATTCGATTCCGTCGACGAACTTGCCAATGTACCCCCACCCGGCAAAAAGAAGGGCAATTTCTTCAAGCTCTGGTCTCCTGTCTTCGAATCAGAGGGCAGATTCTCCAAGACCCAACCAGTCCCTAAACTTGGCGATGAAAACAGCACAAAGGAAGAGGTCGAAGAATTCTATAACTTCTGGTACAACTTCGACAGCTGGAGATCATTCGAATATGAAGATGAGGACGTCCCCGATGACAACGAGAACCGCGACCACAAACGCCACATCGAGCGCAAGAACGCCAATGCCCGCCGGAAGAAGAAGACGGAGGACACTGCCCGTCTGCGCAGACTTGTAGACGACGCTCTTGCTGCTGATGAGCGAATTAAGAAGTTCCGTAAGGCGGAGCGTGCCCACAAGGACAAGCGCAGGCTCGAGAAGGAGGCCGAAGCGAAGCGCCTAGCTGAGGAGAAGGAGAAGGCCCGCCTGGAGGAGGAGCAGCGGAAGAAGGAAGCAGAGGAGGCTGCCAAGGCTGAGAAGCTAGAAGGCAAGAAGGCCAGGGAGGCTGAGAAGAACGCTGCGAAGAAAAATAAGCGGGTGCTTAAAGGCAGCGTTAAGGATGTGAATTATTTTGCTGAGGGAGGGGATGCCACTGCGGCGCAAGTGGATGGTGTGCTGAATGATGTTGACCTAATTATTAGCAAGATTAGCAACGGGGAACTTGCTGCGCTTGCTTCGAAGCTTGCGGCTGCCGGCAAGGATGCGGCTTCTGTCAAGTCCACTTACGGTGAAGTTGTGAAGGGGCTTATTGGCGCTGGGAAGCTGAAAGAGGGGGAGACAAGATTTTTGACTGTCTAAAAATTTTATCTAGAAAGAGGTTTTATCTTTTATGACCAGTTTCTAATTTATATATATTCAAGGTCTATCCTATTATTTTTTCCGCCTTCGATCGGCTCATTGAGCGTGTTTCTACTTCGCAAAGCAAAACAAAAGTAGATTTCACTCGATGATCTCCACGTCGTCCTACCGTATGCACATAGATTTTATATTATTAGTGCGGATTGGTTGTGCTTGGGAATCTATGGTGGTTCTAGAACTCATACCTCCCTTATTTTTACCCCTTCGACCCGTCACTAGTTAGATTTTCACTAAATTCCCAGCGGCTTACGGCTTACTTGCCATAAAGCGAGCGAATCTTTTCACGGTTCATAAACCCAAGATATTCATACTATGCTCAACGCTACATTCTCCTCTAACCTCTCTATACCATTTCGTTTCCCAGCTATGATCATAGCTGTCATATATTTTACACCATATGTCCCAAATAACTAGACTCTACATCAAACGCCTTATTGTCCAATCTAGATCATGGACATCCCCTTGGAGAAAGATGACCAACTCGAAGCCTCCAAAACTTCACCAGGCCTCTAGCAGGCAATCTGCGTGCAACCAACCAAGGACGATGATCCCGCCAACAAACGTCTGAAAGGTTTCTGAGTTCCCAGCCCGTTGGAACAGGCTCCATGGGCTTCGCAGGAAGTGCCCATAAACCCCAAAACCCAAACCCTATAGAATAATGCACATACCCTATTCTCACGGATAGGGACAATGAAAGGAACTCATAGAATACCAACCTAGAGGATTCTGTTAGATAAGTGAACTATAGTGCATTCTGGTTAGCGGGCTATTTTCCACTTTTTCTCCCCTCAGAAGAGAATCCAATCGTCCAGATATAGTTGTAGAAGAAGTGGCCCACATTCCCTGGATCCTGGTCTACGATGATGCGTTCGCGTCGGCCTTTCTGCTAGCGGATTGGAAGGGAACCTATTAGAACACGCCCGCCATAGCTCTCACAGATTTTGCCTAGCTGTTCCGTATCGCGTTGGTATATGGACAACCAACCGTGCGCTTTGAGCCATGATATATTATGCTTGGAAAACTGGTGGTTACGCAAAGTACTTTGCCGCGGGAGAATCGAGGCCGAAGTTGGTCCCCTCGGATCACCTAGTTCCGTTTCCTTGAGCCTTAAGGGGGTATCTTAAGGACAGTGTCGCCGACTGGCCTACACTAAAAACAAAGGAGAAACAATCCGCAGTCGAACAGACTGCCTTTGTTGCATTCGCCTTGGTGCGGGCTCCAGAAACCTGCCGTCCAACATCGACGCGTGTCCCGTTAAAACACATATGTTCTCTAAAAGGGAGACGAAGGAAAAATAGAGAATAATGAGCCAAACGACTAGGTCGAACATCAAATCAATCTGGCCATTGCCATTGAAAACAATGTTGCATGCGTTTCATTGCATAGACATGTTCCACAGCACCGGGTGTAACACCAGATAAGCTATATCAAAGAAGGGTGATGGGGGACAGACATTAGCAGTGGATAGGAAATTTTTATGCCATTGGTAGCAGGACAAGGCCCGCCAATTTCGTGGGTAAAAATGGCCATTTCTTTTTTTATGGTGGGGGAAGCTGAGAACTACAGTCATTGATATTGGCAGGATTGCTTTCCCGAATCTTCGAGACGACTATTGACCACTAAGGACACCAAGGCGATGCATATCCCGTATGTCAAAATGTGGAATTTCCATATACAGACAATTTGCCGATTGCCTCACAATATTTTAGCTGGAGAAGCCCCAGCTTTCACTCAGTCTCACCACGAATGCAAAGCTCGGGATATGTTTTTATTTCATCTGTGACCAATCCCGAAAGAAGCCGTGATTCAAACATACCGGCCACAATCCAAGAATTGGAGCCGGTTCCATTTTCAACACGCAAAAGATGTCAGATAGTATTTAAGCCAGGACTGGACGACAATATTCACTGATTGCGGAAAGGCGCCCTTTTCGAAATCGAGAAACGAGTTTGACGGACACCCTCCAATAAAGAATATCCCCGGTTTTGACGCTGTAAACACGCCAGAGACTCGCATCGGTAACCACACTAGAAGCTAAAATTCAGCTTCAAGCCGGGATCTTATGTATAACCAGAGCAATGCCGCAGCAAACATGTTGGGGGATCGATGCCCAGCTGCCGAAATATGCGTGGCCATTCAGCAGTATCAAAGTAGAATTATATTAAGCCCCCCCACAACAGCAGGACTTGCCACTCGTACAGCGAAGGGAATTTTCAACAACGCCATCTTATCAGTCTATCACCCATCTCTGCGCCATGATTGGCACGGATCCTCGCACTGAAAGCGGAATCAGTTCGTTGCCTTCAATAATTGAGGGGCAATGGAATGGAGCAATGTCAACTGACATTATGATTCAGCCGCATCCGCAGTTCCATCCGTTGGACGGCACACATTGCCCAAAAACTTGAAGAAATAGACTATTAGGTAATAGGAAACTGATATCTTGCCGGGTCTGGACAGTCGGGCGATGGCAAGAGGTGCTGGACAGTACAAATGTGTCTAGCGTATGTGGGGAAGCGTCCATGGCAGTGTAAGGAATTGCATACTTGTCTGGAACAAGTATGTGCGGAAGAGAACTCGACTCGAGCACACCAAGCTGAGCCCTTTGCTACGAGAAACGGCCCTTCGCAGGCTGGTTCGTTCGGTGCCGCAAACACGATAGAAAAATCGCAGGTCCACAGTCTTCAGGAGAAATGGAAGCTCCAGGCTGCATGTTTTGGTATTACGGTAACTCTCCGCCTAGACATGTATGCTGGCCGTATTGAATACGCGCCAAGCTTATTTCCGACCAAGCCCTAACCCTAACTGCATCCCGACCCCTGGAGATCGCATCTTTTTGCTTTTTCTGGCCTCTTAAATCAACCGACTGATAAGCTTATGAGACAGACTATCACTGCCGCTAGTTAACCAGTTTTGCACTTCTCCTTGTGGGTTTGGGTTTATGGCTCCCACTAGCCCCGAAAAATTGGTTGGATTTGGACCGTGGCCCATCTAGGTGACATCAGAAAGCGCGGGAAAGAAACCATGGGCCCAATGCAGCGTTGGGTGCGATGATAGGTGGGCCAAACCCGAGAAACTGCTCAAGAATCGGGCGATTGGAGTTTCCAAGGTTGGTCCAAGGGTGGAGGCGAGATGCGTAATGCGGAAAAAGGGAGCCCTGGAATATGCGAGGACAAGATCTGCTGGCAACTTTTTCAGAGATGCAACACACACCTCTTAACTATACATACCTAGTTACGACTTAAATGGACGGGAACTCTCAACTCGAGTACGGACTTGCCGAAACAGCAGCAAACATAGGAATTGCAATTATTGCAAGGCAGGCAGCATACATAATAACTGATCCAGGAGATTGAAACGCCGCACTGCACTGTCGCAAACCAGGCCCGTCAGCACGCAATCGCGGACTGGCGGTGAATCTGCTGCACCTTAATAACTTATTATTATCAACTGGACAGGACTCAATTTTTTGATCCACGGAAATAATCTAGTTGAGCGCAAAATAATAGCCCAGCCATCTTTCGGTCCCATGACTCCCATCTATGTGGGACGGTTTTGCTCTGGATGATTGAAGAGCAATTACGCAGCGTATGGGAAAAAGTTTCCCCACATTCACATCCGACTCTTGTTCTTGTACTAGAAAAATGTGTGGCCTCCAGTTTTGGTTCATAAATGGCGAAACCTGGCCACCGGGAAGATTTTTCTTCTACTTCTTTACTCTCTTTTCCTTTCATTCTCTCTTTTCCTCCAAGAAGCGTAGGTTCATATCACCTACCTCTATTTAATTATAATACTTCAAAGCCCTGCCTCATTCGTTCTATCTGCTCCCTATTCCCGTCACATCATTATCCAAGAAAGTCAATCACTGTTAAAAAGAAAGGCACGCGACACATCTCTCATCATGACTGACCGCAAGAAACCAAACATTCTCTACATCATGGCGGACCAGATGGCCGCTCCTCTTCTTTCCCTATACGACAAAAACTCCCCGATAAAGACACCCAACCTTGACCGTCTCGCGCGTGAAGGCGTCTGCTTCGAATCTGCATACTGCAATTCGCCACTTTGTGCCCCATCTCGCTTCACCATGGTGACTGGGCAGTTACCATCTAAGATCGGAGGCTATGACAATGCAAGCGACTTGTCAGCGGATACCCCTACTTACGCACACTACTTGCGCAAGGAGGGGTACCATACTGCGCTGGCGGGGAAAATGCATTTCGCGGGACCGGATCAGTTGCATGGATACGAGCAACGCCTGACGAGCGATATATACCCAGGAGATTATGGATGGACCGTTAATTGGGATGAGCCTGTAAGTTACCCGCTGACTTTTAAGGGAAATTTTATAGAATCTGTGAATCTTATGTTTAACTGACACAAAGTGCAGGAGGTTCGCCCGGATTGGTACCACGACATGTCCTCGGTGATGCAAGCTGGACCCTGCGTCCGCACAAATCAGCTTGATTACGACGATGAGGTGATTTACAAGTCAACCCAATATCTGTATGACCACGCTCGCCACCGGCGTGACCAGCCGTTTTGCCTCACGGTTTCCATGACCCACCCTCACGACCCATACGCCATGACTAAGGAGTACTGGGACCTATACGAAGATGTGGAAATCCCTCTTCCCAAAACCTCAGCCCTACCACACGACAAGCAGGACCCACACTCCCAGCGGGTGCTAAAGTGCATTGATCTCCTCGGCAAGGAAATCCCCGAAGAGCGCATTCTAGCTGCGCGCCGAGCATATTTCGCCGCCTGCTCATATGTGGATGCGCAGGTTGGCAAGTTGATGGCAACCCTGAAGGCTTGCGAGCTTGATGATAACACGATCGTCGTCTTCACGGGCGACCACGGTGACATGCTTGGTGAGCGGGGCCTGTGGTATAAGATGGTATGGTACGAACATGCCGCTCGAGTGCCAATGTTTGTCCACGCGCCGGGCCGCTACAAGCCAAGGCGCGTCAAGGAGAACGTCTCCACCATGGATTTACTCCCTACCTTCGTAGCAATGACCGGTGGCGAAATGAACACCGATCTCCCCATTGACGGCGTCTCGCTGATGCCCTACATCCTTGACGAGGGCTCGCCCGAGGCAGTTTCCGGCGTGAAAACCGACACCGTTATCGGCGAGTACATGGCTGAAGGTACCCTCGCGCCGGTTGTTATGATCCGGCGGGGTCCATGGAAGTTCGTATACTCACCCATCGATCCGCCAATGCTCTATAACGTTGAGAACGACCCAACCGAGTCAAACAATCTTGCGGCTGGTCTTGAAATACCAACAACAAAGCCGCAACTCGAAAAGTCTCTCCCAACAGGACCTGCTGCACCACCAACACCGCGTGTTTCGCCACTACCAGACACGCTCAACGTCCCCTTCTTCTCCAACCACAAGGTCAACCCAGCACAGGTCCTGACACCTCCACGTACACCAACCCCAAGCGCTACCCCCGCGGGCGGGCTCACCAGCCCATCCCAAACCGACATCCAAGCAATCCTCTCCGCCTTCATCTCCGAAGCCCATTCGCGCTGGGACTTCGAAGCACTGCGGGCGCAGGTTCTGCACTCACAGCGGCGCCGACGGCTTGTCTACTCAGCCTTAGTGAAGGGGCAGTTCACGCCATGGGATTACTCGCCCGTCACCGATGGCAGTGCGCAGTTTATCCGCAACAATGGCAAGGGGGCGTTGGGAGATGTCGAGCTGCTCAGCAGGTACCCGCGCGTTATGCAGTGGGGTGGAAACGGGGCCCGGAACGGCGTGTAGAGAAGACGCCTTGGAGGGAAGGTTTTGGGGGGGGATAAGGTGGTGAGTTTTAAGTGAGTGTGCGGTTTTTATGTGTTGGAGCGTATTTTATATATCTCACTATATATATTGTTCGAAAATCGAACTCTACGAACGACGCCCGCCTAGTTTGCCAGAAAAGCCAAGGGAACCCGACAAAAAGGAAACGAAGAACGAAAAATGGAAAAGATACGAGGCCTAGAGCCCATCTCAGGTTGGTGGACGAGGTGATAGTGATATGATACATATCAGACAAGTTGGTCTATGAGGATATGAGGCCAGGGTTTCTAGGTACGTACAAAAGACCTTTGTTCATAAAAACAAAAATCACCATCACGTCTCATCCCCGGGTAACTGTATCGTATATATATGGGCCATTCCATATATGCCGTACGTATGTGTGTTTGTTTATTTACAACACCACGGGAAAGCATACCCCCGCGCCCGTACAAACAAGGTGGGGGAAAGGGGATCGATGAGATAAGAGACTGTTTTCCTGTGTAGTCTGACAACATATATATATATATATATATATACATTGATATATATAGCTATTTACATATACATGTCCTGCACGTGTATATGTATAAAAACACGCGTCTCGATAATATGACTAACGGAATAGACAAGTGTAGCGATTTGAGGTATAGATAAACTATATACATATATATATTCGTATATTATGATTTGAACCGGGAGGAAATAACGAAAGATTGAACCCGGATCAAACCCTCCCCTAACGAAATTGAACAGAAAGCTTCTCCATTGACTTTTTATTTTCCTTCTCTAACATGCTTTCCGCCGCTTAAGCCGCCCATGCTTTTTACCGCCGAATTATCGTTGCCGTTTTTCCCTCCCCCTTCTTAACAGAATGTTCCGTTGTTTCCCACGATATTCCTTCCTCAAGCGACTCCTGGTTATCGGACATGGTTTGGTTGCGCCGTCTATCCTTGCCTCGGAATTTAGTTAAACAGTATACAGTATAATAAATAGTTTTTTCATTCGAATCTAGATCCATTAAACAGGGGGTGAAAAGTAGAGAGATGTAAAATTATCTATATAATCTCTACACAACAACCCTCACGAGGGCAGAGAGTATGAAAACCTTAGGCAGTTACTTTATATGTATGGTACGACTATTTCCACAAACTCGCTGAAAATCCGAAGCTGCTATTATTTCAGTTTATCCCCTCTTACTTTCTTGAACAAAACCTTCGCCATCTTCTCCTCCCGCCAATACCAAACAGTCGCCGCCGTTGCCCCAGGTCCAACAGCAACAGTACCCATCATAATGGCCCCAACCGCCACGCCTATGTTAACCCGTGCCCTGCCAACACGATTCATATCCCACACGGCTAGAACGCACCAGACCGTTGTAGCGATCCAGAAGACCCCAAAGTCCACAAGCCAGAGGGTGCGGGTACGCGTCTCAGGCACAGAGGGAAGTTCCAAACTGCCGATGGCGAGTGGGATGAAGATATCCACGATGGATATGCCTGGATAACTAGGCGCGAGCGCCGCGGAGAGGGTAAAGAAATGTGTTAACGCGGCAACATTGAAGACCAAAAGGTAGACGCGGTTCAGGAATGGAAGGTCTGGCATGGGTTTATCTGCCGGTGGAGTTCGAGGGCTGTCCGGGTAGCCTTTGGCGTATACTGTGGAAAGAAGGCTGAGGATGATGTTGACGTATATAGGGGCTGGTTTCCAGATTAGGGACATGACTTCAGCGAGGCGGCGGCCCGAGTATCCGTGATATGAAAATAAGAGGGTAGGTAGGAGGTAGCCGAGTAGGAGTGCTGGGAGCAGTGCCTTCGCGTAGGATGTTGGAACTTGACGGGAGACTGGCCACCAGTAATTCGTGTTTGATGATGTTAGAATGTATGCTATATAGTACAGGGGCCCAATAATGGCAATGCCAAAGACTTGATATAGGATGGCCCAAAAGCTTGTGCTAAAAGATATTAAATGTTAGTTAACACTGTTGTACAGCAGCAGAGAAACGACTCAGGGGTAACTCACAAGGTAAGTAAGTTCAAGCTGTTGCGTTTCCTGACAGACTCAATTGTGTATATGGCAACCATAGGGAAAAGCGAAATAACAAAATACAGATGCAGAATACATTGACCAGGTGCAAGCATCCTGTTGACAGTTTCATGACGTGGAAGGGAACTGGACAGAGCTTTATAAAGGAACTCGATTCCTAAGGACGGAACCATGTTGGCATTTTCAACCGAGCCTGATGCCCGTTCTGTCGTATCCCAGACATCTACCATCCCAAATCGAATAGCTGAGAGCGCTAGGAAAAACGAAGCCAAAGCCCAACCATACCAGCCTCTCCTGTAAGGGGGGTTGAGGATGTCAGAGTCAAATGGAACAAGTCGTGGCTGGTGAGGTAGGGCGACATTCTCCAACATTTGCGCCTGTGGACAAAACTGTGAGTTATTGTCAAGGACGCGATCTACATGGAGTCGCGGGAGTAGGTGTAGTGTGAAAAATCTGGCAAAGGGACTTTCTAAACATTGTACGCGCTGGTGGGTGTGAGACACTGCAATTAGCCTCTTTACTGTCTTATGGCGCAGGTTCTGGACGCCCTGGAAGATATCCGAGATTTGCGAATTGGATAGTGCATTGGAAGTTGATCCCTTGAGCGCTCGTGCCAAAGCATTGGTTAGAGCGACACCAGACTCGAGGGCTGAATTGCCCCCATGACCAGCAATTGGATGAAACTGCCCAGGAGTCAGTGGTTATATTCAGATGTAGAACACACGATGTCAATATGTGCACAGCTAACCTTGTGCGCAGCGTCACCAATTGTTATGAGCCGGTTGTAATGCCACTGCTGAAAAGTGTATTCTGGAAGCGCAGTCATATTATACACGATGTGCCCCCTTATAAGGTCCTCGAAGCTCAAGCCAGGGGCGAGTATATCGCTTTTATGCTTCTCAATATGTCGTAACTCATCCTCCTTAGTGAATCGTGGGATGCCTGCCCCATAGGCGGGCTTCTGCAGCTTAAAAAAGTGAAACCAGTAGACATGGCCATGGAGACCGCCCAGAATTCCATATGAGTTATTGTGTCGAGGCGCGCTAGTAAAGCAGCCCGCAGGTATAGGGGTAGGAAGCTTGGATATGCCAAAGACGCAGCCATAGTCACACGGCATATCTTCCCAGGTCAGTAGCCAGCTTGTGATGTGGGTTCAAGAACCAAGAGCGAATGCTACTCACCATCATATTCTCTGGAAGGGAAGTATCCAGGAGAGGCTTCATTTGCCAGTCTCACCATCTCGCGGCGAACTTCGCTGTGGATGCCATCGCATCCAACAACAATATCCCCTGAATACACACTCCCATCTTTCGTCGTGACGGTGACGCCATCGTGTAAAAGCGCAACATTGCACACTGCCTTTCCCGTCAAGACCTTTGATTTATCCAAGTGCGAGTAGAATATTTTCAAAGCCAGCTGGCGCTCGAGGAATATGAGAGGATATCCATGACTGCGAGCCATAACAAATTTAGCCAATGACCATATACCACTGGACGGACGGAAAGCGAAGCTGAACCCACCGCTGGACGAAGCCGTTCTCAATATCAGGGAAGGAAGCCAGCAGCTCGCCCTTATCGCCTCGCATGTCAAACTGATTGACAACAGTGACCTGTCTGCAGAAGTCCTGATACATGCCCAGCTGGTCTAGGATTCGAAGCCCATGAGGCTGGAATCCGATGCTGGCCCCGACCTGGGGAGCAATGTCTGGGTAAGCTTCCAGCAGGAGGAACTCGATGCTCTTCTCCTGGAGCATATTCGCCAGCGAGAGGCCAGAGATTCCTCCTCCTACTATGAGAACGCGAAATGGCTTTTTGCTCTCCATCGCGCTTTCAATGTTGTTTCTGCTGGAAGGGGAACCGGCGAAATAGTTGGCACCGCGATAGGTTGATCAGACCACAGAACAGGGTGATGTGCTATAGCAAATCAACTCCTAGAACGTAGAGAAGGGAATTGATCCTCAAAAGAAGGATCCTGGGTGTCGGGTTAAACTGATATCTCATGGTACCATATCGTGTTGCAGCGACGGCGGCAACAGTTCGCAGTGAATGCAAATAAATCAATGGCAACATTGCCAACAGTCACAATGGGGACAATTAAACGTAGCAGAGGCAAATGATTCACAAGGCTACTATAACACCAGATACGTCCAGACTTTGGTAGCAAACAAGATTTGACGGTGGTACGTATATGTGTTGGTCATATATATATAAGATGGAAGAATGAAGAATGACGTCTCAAGATGGATGCCGATATAGGAAAATTTATAGCGCAACATGGAACACAACGCCATAGCTCTAGGGATTTGCTCTCATGGCGAGGTTATTGTATTTGTAAATATACATAGTAAATATACATAGTAGAATACAATTGGATTAGCTCTTTCTAGCATCACGAGCGAGAAGCTGACTTGATAAAGGGGCCTTTCTCCCAAAGAGGAAACGAGAATGAAAAGAAGAGTAAAAAACCCAGAACAGCAAAATGTTAGAAATGTTTCAGATCTACTTTACTCTATCTATGTGTAATTCCTCTATATAGATATGTTTATCAACAAGACTCTCCATGTACTAACCTCCCCGCAACCCATACAGCCTTTACATTCCTATCATCCCCATTCCAAACCCATTTCGCGATTTTCTCCTCCCACGACTCCCACCCAAAAATATCCACATTACTGGTATTTCCTCCTCGACTGCAATCACCACAGGCATCAACCTGCTCCCCGATCTCTACCATCTGCGCATCCCAATACATGCCCACCTCAAACCCACCAATTACATCCTGCAACCCAACAACCCTCGCCCCGCCTCGGGTAGCCAAATACAACCCTTCCTCAACGCTAATCTTCTCACGCCCATTCCCCGTTCCGCCCGCAGCAGCAGCACTGGTATTACCAAACCGCACAAGCCGCGAGACAAGACATGCCTGCCGCACCGCCTCAAGGATACTCGGGCTCCAGCCGCCAGATACATCCGTTCCCAGGCCGACCGTGATGCCATCATCGAGCAATTCGCGCACGGGACACAGCCCGGAGCCGATCGCGGAGTTAGAAGCGGGACAATGTGCCACGGCCGAGCGACGCGCGGCGACAAGCGCGCGCTCGTCGGCGGAGAGATGCACGGCGTGCGCGAGGATGGTGTGTGGGGTCAGCAGGCCTGCGGAGTCGTAGACGTCCGCGTAGGATTTGGCAGTGGGGAACAGCTCTGCGACGAGGGAGATTTCATTGAGGTTTTCGGAGATGTGGGTTTGGATTGGGGTGGGCGGGGAGGTGGAGGCAGCGAGGGCGCCGAGTTGACTGAGCGCGGCGGGGGTGCAAGAGGGGGCGAAGCGCGGGGTTATGATTGGTCTGATGAGGGTGGAGGATGGGTCGAGGGTGTGGATGTGGGCGATTGTTGCTTTTGTGGCGGCGAGGGAGGAGGCGGTGGAATTATCGCGGTAGTAGTCCGGGCAGAGGTCATGGTTATCCATGCAGACGCGTCCGACGAGGGCGCGCTGGCCCTTTGTGTGGCAGATTGTTGCAAGGAGGTTGGTAGCGGGGACGTGGATGGTTGCGAAGTAGGCGGCGCAGGTGGTGCCGTGGGAGAGAGTTTTGGATACCACACGATTATAGGCTGTGTGAGCAGATTGCGGGGCTTCAGAAGGGTTGTCCTTGTTGCCGAAGGACGATTCCAGGGGAAAAGTGTATGTTTCTAGCCAGTCTAGAAGAGTAGAGGAGCCGAATATGCCGGAGTTGGGATATTGAGGTGCATGGATGTGGGAGTCTGCAACAGGAAGTTAGTTTATGGCTAAACGTCAAGGAGGAGATATACAAAAAAACGAGAAAAGGTAAGGAGCCGGCAGCATACCAATAAATCCCGGGAAAAAGAAGCCATTCCTTTGCTTCCGAGACTTTACAATTCTCACCAACTCTCCTGCTCCTGCTCCATCGCCCTCACGCTCGCCTTCCACCCTCCAACCCATCCTCTTAATCAACTCTCCCAGTCCCGCCTCATCCTTCACCTCCCAGTCAGTTCCGGCAATCTTCCCATCTGGCTGCGAAACCCACAGAGCACCGTGGTTGATAGATAATTTATGTTTTGGCGGCGAAGTGGGTGTGGCAGACTGCTCCGGCAGAAGTGGGAGGTGGATGAAGGTACCGTAGTAAACGGCATAAGTGTAGTCTGCCATAATCACTGTTATAGATCAACGGCAAACGGCCCGATTGTTTCTATATGCTCGAAACCGAAGCAATATTGGGAGCCTGTGGCTAAGTGAAAGGGTTCAGGATATAAACTATCCTGCTATCATGAGTCTGAGGTGAACCGAGCAGCAAAAGAACTATGACAAATAATTCTCCCGCATACGCAGGGAATAGAATAGTTATATATGCCGAACAAACGAAGCAGAAAATATAAGACAAAAAAGTTGTTTTCAAACTTTCATCCCTTCAGAATGTTTCAGACCGAAGGAAGAGATACCGCGTGTGGCAAAAAAGAAAGGACACTTTCAAATCCAAGCAGCGTGGGTGTTATGAGATTAACCCGTCTGCAGGATGCAATATCTAGATATCTTAGCTTAAACAAGAGCAATTGAACTCCGGACTGAGCTGTGAACCGCCAGCACGGCGGGGTGGAGGGACAGATATAAATATAGAGAGAGAGGAACTAAATTCTTTCTTTTTCTGATGACTTGCTTTGTAGTATTTAACTGATGACCGCAGTAGTATCAGCACGGAACAACCTAACAGATAGACACGCGGAGAAAGCCAGCCTCCGACGTCCAATTTGTATACAATTGACGTGACAAGTTGAAGTTCAAAAGTTCAAAAGTGGCTTTTGATATCTCGGGCTTCGGCGCCTCCTGCCCTTTTTAGGCTCTCGGCTCGGGCAGCTCCGAGTCTCGGCAAATCACATCGGCGGCGGCTATCGGGGACACGTGATATGATGTGAGCAGGTAACCCTTGTCGGTATGTATGTTATGCTGTGAATAGGTATTTTATCTACTGTGATTAATGATTGCTCTGATACTATCCCGAAAAAGCCGGGATGTGTAATCATGCAAGGACTGCATTTGAGCGTGAGTAGGGAAATGGTTCCTTAAGCTTAGGTAAATATAAAATATACATAGGTAATAGATGTAAATGAAGCCAACATCGAATCAGAGTCAATTCAACACCAGAAAACTAAGACAAAAAGATAAATATAAAATACCTCATTACACCATTTTAAATCATACGGCGATTTTTTGTTGTTATATATGCAAGAAAAGGGAAAAAACAAAAAACAAAAAAGAGCGGCCGAATGAGGCAAGACAAGCACGGTTCCAACAACACTAAACCGTGGGCCGTGGAATTAAGGAGGTAGGAAAGGTAGTGGGGGGGCCGCGGGGGGCATTTGGAAATTGAAATGGAGGTTAAACGCCATGTCATACCGTACGGATACGGGAAGAGGAATGTAGTTTCGTTGAAGAAGGTAGTGTATATTTTTGTGTATTTGTGTATGTATGCGTATGGTTTATGTCTAGGGGTTTCATTTCGTTGAGATGGTGGGGGGAAGATAATCTAAGTGGAGGGGTCTATAGCGAGGAACAAACTCAGGGGAGATAATTAAGTAGGAGGATGAAAGAGTGGTGTACGGCATTGAGGGAGGTATTATTACCTCCTTGCTCCCCGAGGTGTTACCACTCGCATTACCGATAATTTATACTTTTACTCGATAGTATCATCCACAGGCCCGCAGGTGCAGAAGAGGTTTTGATCACCAAATGCTAAAAAAAAAGCAAGTGTCCCGTTAGCAATCATTCAAGCGGAAAAAAATGTTGGAATCAAACTTAGTAAAGCCGCAACACTCACCATCATCCACCCTGGTCACGCTCGGCCAAAACTTCTTCTCCAACAACCATGGCACAGGATACGCAGCCTGCTCCCGTGTGTATGGTCGATTCCACTCTTCCGCCCCCAACAAATCCCTCTGCGTGTGCGGCGCCATCTTCAGCACATTGCCCTCCCGCGGCTGCTTGCCCGCTTCAATAGCCGCGATCTCCCCGCGGATAGCAATAAGCGCATCGCAGAACCGGTCCAGCTCTGCCTTGCTCTCCGACTCCGTCGGTTCGATCATGAGCGTGTTAGCCACGGGCCAGGACATAGTGGGCGCGTGGAAGCCGTAGTCCTGCAGGCGCTTGGCGATGTCGATCGCCTCGATGCCCGATGTGGCTTTGAACTTACGCACGTCGAGGATGAACTCGTGCGCGCAGCGGCCGTGTGCGTTTGTGTAGAGGATTGGGTAGTGCGGTTTTAGGCGGGAGAGGATGTAGTTTGCGTTGAGAATCGTGATTTTCGTAGCGTGTGTTAGGCCCTTCGCGCCCATCATGTTTATGTAGGAGAATGTAATGGGAAGAATGCTAGCGCTACCCCAGGGAGCGGCGCTGATGGGTGGGGCGGGGTTGGACGTTGAGCGTCGGGATTGTAGGTGTTGGCTGAGGGGGTGAGATGGGAGGAATGGGCGGAGATGTTCCGCTACGCCGATAGGACCGACACCAGGTCCGCCGCCGCCGTGGGGAATACAGAAGGTCTTGTGGAGGTTAAGATGGCAGACATCAGCGCCGATTTCGCCAGGTGAGCACAGACCGATCTGTGCGTTCAGGTTGGCGCCATCCATGTAGACTTGGCCGCCATTTTCGTGGACGATCTTGCAGGCTTCTTTGACCCCTTCCTCGAAGACGCCGAATGTGCTAGGATATGTGATCATAATCGCTGCCAGTTCGTCTTTATGCTTCTCGCACTTGGCCTTGAGATCAGCTAGGTCGAGATTGCCCGAAACCGGGTCACCTTTAATGGACAGCACTCTCATCCCAGCCATAGCGGCACTGGCTGGGTTGGTTCCGTGAGCAGACACGGGGATCAGGCAAAGGTTTCGCTTCCCTGGGGTACCAATTGAATCTTGATACATCTTGATAGCCCTGAGACCAGCGAATTCACCCTGTGCTCCAGAGTTAGGTTGCACAGTAACCTCTGCCATGCCGGTAATATCAGCTAGCTGATGTTCAAGGTCCTCGATCATCTTCTGGTAGCCGGTAACGATCTTTGATGGGGTAAATGGGTGCATCGTCGAAAATTCTGGCCATGTAATAGGAACCATTTCCGTGGTAGCATTCAATTTCATCGTGCAGGACCCTAGTGGGATCATCGAGTGTGCCAGTGACAAGTCCTTGGATCCAAGATGTGTAATGTATCGCAGCATCTCCGTTTCCGAGTGGTGAGAATTAAAAACCGGATGTGTCAGATAAGGCGAAGTTCGCTTGACGCTGGCGGGAATTTCCAACTCAGGAACATCTTCGCTGATATTAAGCAGGTCCGCTGGGGCTCCCTTTGGTGCAGTCTTGGCGAATACCGAAAGCAAGCCCTTAAGCTCCTCAACACCAACACTCTCATCCAACGAAACGCCAATTGTAGTGGGGTTTACTCTTCTCAGATAAATGGAAGATTGAAGTGCAACTTCCATGAGCGAGTCAGCTTCTCCGCTGCTTCCTGTTTCCACCGTCAAAGTATCGAAGATTGCGCCGTCGCTTGCAGTGTTCCCCTTAACTGGAACCGTGTACCCTAAAGCGCAGAGCTTCTCCCGAAGGAGCCCAGTCAACGACCGGATGCGTTGAGCAATCGCCTTCAGACCTTCTGGGCCGTGGTATACGGCGTAGAAGGCGCTCATGTTCGCAAGCAAAGCCTGGGCAGTGCATATATTGCTAGTCGCCTTTTCACGACGGATGTGTTGTTCGCGAGTCTGGAGAGCGAGACGGAGAGCACGATTTCCAAGTCTGTCTTTGGAGACGCCTACAATACGGCCGGGAATTTTACGCATGTATTTGTCGGCGCAAGCGAAGAAAGCAGCATGAGGGCCACCGAATCCCATGGGAACACCAAATCGTTGGGCAGTTCCGAAGGCGATATCTGCACCAAATTCTCCTGGGGGCTTCAGCAAGGTCAAAGCGAGAAGATCAGTTGCCACAGAGAAGGTACCACCAATTTCATGAATTTTGTCGCTTAGGGATTGGAAATCATAAATGCCCCCTTCAGTGTCGGGATACTGTGCGAGAACACCGATGAGGCAGTCACCCTGGTCCTTGACCAGCTTAAAGTCCTCAGCCATAATGTCACCAACCACTAGCTTGATTCCGAAACCCTCTGCTCGCGACTGCATAACGGCAATGGTCTGCGGATGGCACAGGTGGGAAACGACATATGACCTCCCTTCCTTCTTCTGCTTTTGGACCGGCATTGTTGCCCATGACATGGTCATAGCTTCAGCAGCGGCAGTACCCTCATCCAGGACGGAGGCATTGGCAACAGGGAGGCCAGTCAGATCCGCGGTCACTGTTTGGAAGTTAAGCAACGATTCCAATCGTCCCTGGCTAATCTCTGCCTGGTAAGGAGTATAGCTGGTATACCAGAGAGGGTTCTCTAGGACATTCCGCTGGATGACAGGGGGAACAACGGTATTGTAGTATCCGCATCCAATATAAGGCTTCCCACTTGCATCGATGTCTTTTGCGTACTTCTGCAGCAATTTGATCATATCAGACTCCCCTAGCCCACCATGGACGGAGTCCGCATGCAATCCGGTCGAACCATCGGGCTTCACAATTTCTAGATCCCTCGCGGACACGATATCTGCGGGTAGAACCTGCTTCACGAATTCGTCTAGGGAATTGACTGGCGGGTCAAGAGCAGCTAGCATCTGTTCCGCCGTGTCTGGAGTAGGGCCAATGTGTCTGCGAGGGAAGGAATCGAGGGGCTGGATGAGATTGCGGGGTTGCGGTGTGCGTTGGTCAGACAGCGAGCTGCTGTGGACATATCTGCGGGAGGAATATGAGGACAACAATCGAGGCGTTGCCGATTGCAAGCATTGCCTGCAGGCAGTCAATGGGGATAGTCGAAGGACTTTCGAAGCAGCCTCAGCTCTGGGATAGCAACGAGCTAGCCGTCGACCTCCGCCACGCAGCAGAATGGAGGACGGAGCTGCCATGATGCTGCCCGGGGAATCAAAGAAGGATGAAGACTCCTCGAAACGAAGGTGTCAAAATGTAGTGATGCAAAACCCTGGAAGATCCAAAACGAGGGGATAGACAACACGGGGCTTCGAAAAGAATGAGACCAGACACAAAGAAGAGAAGAAGGAGAAGAAGAAACCCAGAATGAGAAAAAAAGCAAGGAAGAAATTGAGACAGGAATGGGCTGGCGATCAGATAAGGGAAAAGAAAGTCCATGTATCGCTGTGACAGTACGTAAATTACCGAGAAACTAGGATAAATACGCGGTATTACAGCCCTATTCCAACTGTCTCGGCCGACATGGAGCTTGCTGATTGGCGGGATACTCATGGCAAGCCTCGGCTCGGGAAAGTCATGTGATTGCCACGCGACCGGCGCCAAGGGCGGGGAATTGTCAAGGAAGAAGTAAATAAATTTTATTAAGGGAAGAAGAGTAGAAAATATCTCCAACATTCGTTATTATTGCGTCGAACAAACTATTAAGTTATTGATACTACTGGGGGTCAATGGGAGAGCAATAGAAGCAATAGAAGCAATAGCCGTGTCAGGGGCGTTTTTTCATCAGATAACCGACAAAACCGACACCCATTTTCGTTCCTCACGGAGTTCAAGGCTCGGGGTGTAGCTACGCTAACTACCCCAGAAGTACAGTGCTTACCATACCATACCATACGCCCTCATGCCCAGGACCCGGGAATTCTCGGGTCAGATTCGACAACAAAAGCAAGTCGCAGAATAATAAATAATATAGTTAACCATTGAAGATTTGTTTGATGTTGTTATTTACTATTTATTTATTATTATACAGCATATGAACAGACTAGAATAATACGCGCAGTAGGTATGAGAAGCAACTGCAAGAGTAGAGTAGGCGACTCGTGAGGCTACGGGGGTCAACAGAAGCAAATGAGATTCCATCCCATATCAAGATCAATGTCTGTCAGATCACATCAGATCAGTTTAACTCTCGTACATATATCAATGACATTCATTCAACTCAACACTCTGGCCCCAAATAAGAGAACAACGCTCTCAATGTCCCATATCTCATATTGCCGTGCAAAATACCATCCCTCCTTACGCCACGCCAAATGACCCCAGCCCAGTCGACCGCTTTACTACTCAACAACGACGCGGACCTTCGTCTTATCTGCATCGCAAGTCACAAAGAAATGAGAGACAACTTCTTGATAGCCTGAAAAGACATAACGCTCTTATATAGAATATAAGAATAGAAGAAGAAAAAAGAATCCACAACTCACAAAAAGCAACATGATCCCTAATATTCTGCGCCGCCTTGGACGGCTCCGGGTAGTACCATGCTACATCAGAGATGACAGTACCTGACTCTGTGTGACACATTGATTGTTATATTTTTGGTTGTATCAGCCTTTTATCTCTCTCTCTCTCTCTCTCTTATTTCCGATATACATTCGTGTAAAATAAATGGCATGCATGAGACATGTACACACCCTGCAGAGCAATACCATAGTACAACGCAGTCCCCTTCCAAGGGCAGAAAGTCGATGCGTCGGATTTTATCAGCGTAAATGTCCCCGTGGAATCTTTCAGGGAGGAGCGGGGGAACTATGCATATCAATTATTTTAGTATCAAACTGTAAGTTCCTTGAGAGTAATAGGGGTAGATAGAATCTTTGCTTACATAGACGTTCCCCTCGACGTTCTCCCACTTATCCGTCTCGGCAAGGACGGTGTTTCCGATCGTTGCTGTGGCACGAGGCATAACTGAGTATTCGTTTACGTGTATGAATAGCTGGTATATGAAAGAGAGACCGTGAAATAGACAGAATGAATGGAGATAGCTTCGTGAAATGCTGTGTTGGACGATTAGATAACTACATAACTTAGTTAGAGAGGGAATAATGACGTCAGAAATTGTTGGCAGTGCCCCAAGTTTGTGATCCCTTCGAAAATAGATACTAACTTCCACTTGAAGATATTTCGATTTACGGCGTTAGGTTATTCTATTCTATATTTAGCTAATCTTTGCCCCTTATCTAATCAAATCATTCAAAATAAGGGATTAGGGATTAACTTAAAATACAAAGGCCCCTGAACTCATGCACCCGTAGTGTAGGCTAAGTTGAACTCGTCACATCTAACATGCCTATACTCTTCAATTACACTTTTGGGCTTTACGTATTGAAGGTCAGGTTTGTATTTGATGTTTAGCCCAAAGGCAGGCGGACCTCCAATCTCGAGTCCTCGTTCGGTTGTCCAGAGCGGGTGCGGGGCGGCTACCATGAGAATGATCTTGAGGCCATACCTAAAGGTAATATAAAGGGTTAGAAGTTCCGTTCGGGGGAGATGGTGAAGTTTATTTCAACCTACCTATACTCTGGAGTTCCTACTGCTTCGCCTGTATCCATGTCAAGGAGCATGATCAAATCCGGAACGACGGCGAGGTACTTGTAATAGTTAGTTAATGAGATATGGGAATATATATAGCAATAAAACGTGGGAAAATACTCACCTCCTCAGATCCGTCGTAATAAATTCCCCTCGCGCTCAGGTTCTCATTGACAAACTCAACAACTACCCTCTCAGGCCCGTTGGACAACCCCGCCCCATCCACCCCCAGCTCATCAGCAGACAATTGCTGCAGAGCCACTTTCCCAGTCGTATGAGCAGTGGCAGACAAGCTATGCTCAACGCTGATGATCTTGCCGCGGAATATCACCTTGGCACTCGGCGCGCCGCCAAACTCGCGGATTATCTCATCTGCCACCGAGAACAGATGGCCTCCCTGTTTCGCCAGGGAGACTGCGCGGCCAAGTCGCCATGCTAGGGAGTGGGTGTTAAGGATACCGAAACGGCGCATGTCTGAACCGCTTATGGGGACTCCAGTGGCACCAGCGGCGGAACTAGGAAGAAGGGTACGGTTAGATTTAAGATCCCCAATGATGGAAGCGTTTGGGCAAAGATAGGAATAACATATAGATGGGTAATGGGGGAACCTCGTACCCCATTTCAACACATGTAGACCGTATTGCATAATCTGCTGCCTGAACATCTGGTTGAGTAGGCGGGATGATTACATTCCTGCCTGTGCCACTGGACAACGCCACGGGGAGTAGTTTGTTTATATCCGTTGAGTCAATGAAGCTTGTCATCTTCTCGAAATTAGGGTATGCCCTTCCTATATTTCCATGTTATCAGCAGGTGGAAAAAGCGAGAGCGCAGGTTAAAAAAAAAAAAAGTGTAAATGAAGCTCCCTACCCATCAGATCGCCATCGACACAAGGTAGATTGTAATACTTCGACGAGCCCCATATAAGCGGCTGTAGCCCATTGCTTCCTCCAATCTCCACAGCCAAAATGCTGTCATATTTCGTCCCCAGCTCCTTTTCCATTGTTTGCAAGGCATGCAGCACCAGGTCTCCACCAGGTCTCTCATCCGCAACAGCTGGGGATCCAACTGCACCAACGGGGACGAGAACCGCATCCGGATCAAGCGATGAAGCTTCGACTATAGCTATTGTTCTTCCTTCCTCCACTAGGTTGACGACTTCGAGATATGTCGAATATGGGGAGCCGCCGCCACCGCAACCGAGAATATAGCATCCGATGGATATGAATTGAACATCAATTTTAGACAGGAGCCATTTTCCAGAAGGGTCAATAGTAGGTCTATATTTGGAAATGTCAATCGCTGGCTCTGCTATACCGTCTGACCCTATGTCGTTGTCGATGGCTTTTGTTTCCTCATATCCAGGCACATTTTCGGTAGCCGGGAGCTCTGACATGCTCTTCTTATAGGAGGAGTAGAATCGTACATGATTTGCTGGGCAGGCGACCTCGATCAGAACCTGCTTTGCATTTTCCATATAGGGGACACCCACGACCTCGTCCTTGGTAACCACAGCCCCGGATATGTCAGCACCCCGCGATTCAGCGTCGGCAAGAGCAGCAGCTTTCACCTCAGCCTTAACTAACTCCACAGAGGCACTGTCGGTCATCTTTTCAGCTCTGCCGCCTATCTGAGCGATAGCAGCACCAATTGCATTCGCCACCTCTGCGAACTCAGGGATGACTGTTTTACTAACCCCTGCTAAACGTTGCGGACATAACACCGCCCCTCCGCCAACTAGGATCACGGTGCATGGATCTGCTGAGGTTTTCACTCTGTCGATGAGGTTTTCTAGCATTGCCTTTATACAGGCTCTCGCCTTGTCAACTGTCGTTTCTGGGAGAACAGGTTTGGTCGTGCCAATAGCTGCACCAGACAGAACAGCAACGTCCGTGGCTGTTGGTATTGTGCCTCCAAAACAGAGCGCTTTGGTAGTGATCTCATGCCCGACACTGCCCGGTCCCACAAACACTTTTGCTCCGTCCGGGCTGGTGCGTACCAATGAGCCTCCCCCAAGCCCAATACTCTCAACTTGCAGAACTTCAAGATTGACTTTGATTCCGGCAACTTCTGTGTGTGAGCTGGCGAGCTTTGGGTAACCATTCCGTAGAAGGAAACCCACATCCGTTGTTGTGCCGCCCACATCAACCACCACAGCTCCGCTGCTGTCTTTCAAGGATTGCCCTGCCAAGTACGCAGCACCACGGATAGAATTTGTTGCTCCCGATGAGAAAATTCGAATCGGGAACTGAACCGCCTCTGTAAAAGAGAGTAGATGACCGGTGTTAGCTGTAAGGTATAACGGACACCTAAGTCCCAGTTGCGACATAGCTTGCATAAACCCGCGGATCGTTCTCCGTGCGAAGTTAATAATAGATGCATTAAGAATCGCCGTATTCTCCCGGGCCAACAACCCGCTCCCAGAAATCTCATGAGAGCAGACAATATTGACATCTTCGCCTAGGTTGGTTTGGAGGATTTCCCGAACTTGCGCTTCTTGTCTATATTTCGTATCCATTGGAGACCCGATACCGGCAACGACAACATTTCTCAGGTTCTTAGAGCGAATAATCTGAGCCTGTTCTGCAATTGACGCTGTGTCAATATCAGTAATGCGTGTCCCATCAATGTTACAGCCCCCAGGCACAATTGCCGCATGGCCGTTGATTATCCGTTTTAGTGCCGGAGGCCAGTCGATGAACGAAGGAGTCTGGCTGGAGAAATTGTAAGACGCAAGACGAATAATAGCAACTTTCTCCAGCCTTGATGCATCGTGTTCAAGAATTGCATTGAGGAAATGCGTTGTCCCAATCGTCACTGCGGCAATATTCTTCTCATTGTGCGGTGCCATGCGGAGAAGGTCCTCTAGCACCCTCCTGACGCCCAGGGTGACGTTTGCCGCCGTGGGGGATTTGCTCCATGCAATTACTGCCTTCGATCCGGTATCTTTCGTGTCTAATAAGACGGCGTCAGTATTTGTTCCTCCAACATCTACCCCGATGACGAGCGAAGGACCAGCTGGAAATTCCGATGCCATTTTCACAAAATGTTAGTAATTAACCAGAAACGAGTGGGGACGACAAGAATGTTCGTGTTCAAATGGAAAGCATCATGGGGATAAAAACGAGAGTGTAAATTAGCCAACTAAAAAAAAATCAAACTGTAGAGGAGAGATGGTATAAGTTGTTGTTCACCAGAGTCGTGCAACTATTAGAACCCTTATCGCCCCGCTAGTTACGGTTGGCACTGAAATAAATAGTTAACTAGGCGATCTGATTAGATTAAATTATCTCACAGCCGCCCCTGCCGAGCCTATGGCGAACCAACTCTATTTGGGTCATCCACGGTCCCAATCTTAATATCTTAAGGGTGAGGACCCAACTATGGCTCCCCGCATGCGAAGGATTTATTTGCTTTTTTCGTATTTAGGTGCGGATTTTTTTTTTTTTTTTTTTTTTTTTTTTTTTTTTTTTTTTTTCCTCTTCGTGATGGCGCACAAAAGTTTCTTTCTGATCTGGAACCCAGCGAATTAATAACAGCAGAGTTGCTGGCATCTAATCTGTACTCGGCCTGCTAAGATGGCGCTAATATAGCTTTGAGCCCGTTTTTGAGCATCGCGGATGTGAGGCTGAGAGCAGAGGATAACTGGACCTTGGAAGAAACAGAAGGCGAGTAGAAAAGGAGAGGAGCGGGAGATCACAGCAATGAAGCTTAACATATTTATCCCATACCTGGCGGTTGCTGTCGCGATTGCATTACAAGGGATAACGCTCATTTACGTCCCCCCGAACTCCTACAAACGGATATGCATGCTTCCGGTGATTCTGCTCCCGGTTGCGATCGTCTGCCTGACAGCTCATCATGCTAGCTATGTCCAGCCATGGAATATCTTCATCGGATTGGAGTTTGGAACTCTGCTTGCGCTTGAGGTGTTGGACAACGTATGCCTGTCTAAGATCTCATATCCTACAGGAGAGGCGGGCGATAGAAAAAAGCACGACGGTGACAAAGACACAGCCGATACACACGCTGCCTCTACAAGGAACTGTTTTTACGATAAAGTCCGCTGGTCGCTTGACATAGCCATTAACAAAAGACGGATTAATCGCGCCGACCAGACCCGAAATGTGCCCTCTTTCGATTCTGGCAGGCTGCATCACATTCCATCGCGTCGCAGCTTTCTCCTCTTCCGCACCGCACGCTTCATTCTGCTATACCTGGTTTTCGATCTGATTACCAGCCAACCACTTGAGGATGCGCAGGCGAAATTTGGTCCAGGCAAGGACCGAATTTTCGCCCGGATAATGGCGAATGACATATCGCCCGCTGAAATCGGGGAGACGGTCGGCATTCTTGTGGGCCATTGTATATGTGCCTATATCTCGCTGCTTATTGGATATGACTTTTTCTCGTTGGTTGCTGTAGGGCTGTGCGGGGCCAAGGTTTCAGATTGGAAGCCGTTGTTTGGAGATTTTCGACAGGTTTATTCCATCAGGACATTTTGGAGGTATGTATAGTATATGTCCAAGGAATCCCAGTTTCCTCCAAATATGTCTCTCCGTGACTTGCACAAGAAGCAACAAAGCAAGCAAAAACTGACACCGCGCCAAAATATGGCAACCAACAGGCGATTCTGGCACCAGCTCCTTCTCCGGCCCCTCGAATCAGGCGCCTCCTTTATCACCCATTCAGTCCTTGGTCTCCCAGGCCTCCCTACCCGAAACACCAGCCGCATCACCAGTACCGACGAGAGTAATGGTAAAGCCTCTACCGCCAAAACACACCTCCGATTGCAAGACAGACTCCTGCTCCTCGTAACCGCCTATACCAAACTCACCCTCATCTTCCTGATATCGGGCCTCGTCCACATAGACTGCGACCGCATCCTGGGCATCCGGCTCCGCGACTCCCGCTGCATATCCCTGTTCCTATCTCAGGCCTGGGGCATCATGTTTGAGGACGCGGTCCGGTGGATATACCGCAGTGTCACCGGGAGCAAGGGAGATGGGCCTGTGAAGATGTGGCACCGCCTTGTTGGGTATGTGTGGCTCGTTACTTTCGCGCTGTGGGCGGGGCCCGGGTGGGCTTTTTCGGTTGTGAGGCTGGAAGTGCCCGCGGTTGTGGTGCCGGTCATAATCTTTCCTAGAGGTTGAGAGGCGTGTTTTTTTTGGTTTATTTATTCTCCACGAAGACGTTGGATTGGGGTTACGGTATTGGATCAATGGGGGATATATCTATAGCAATTTGGATAAACATTTGGAATAAAATATTTTTGGATAATAGAGGGAGCATGTTAGATACGGATCTATTTGGATATAACACATATATATATGCATATATAAACCTAGTCTCTTTATTTCAATATTCTGTCAGACTTGTTCCTGAAAGTATCTGGGTACGGGCCAATGCTCAGCAGTCGTTGCAGCTAAGTTGTATATGTTGCCGAGCCTGGTGTATCTCAAACAAGGATCCCGGAGACTTACTGGAATCTGACTGGGAGGGTACGGTGATATCCTAATTAGATACGTCCCTTCATTTGCGTCGTAAAAGAAAATCTATCTAAGTCTAACCAACACTTTTTTTTTTTTACCAAATAGCTGTCTCAGTAGCCAACATTAACCACCCTTGTTTTAACTTCTATTGCTAAGTGAGATCCATGTGCAACCTTTTAGTTTCGCAAGCTCTGTCCTTGCATCTTCTTGCGCTCTTCCGCCAACACTTCCTCAGTAACCTTGACCAAAACCTCGAATGCCTGGCGGACATACTTCTCTTGCGCCAGCGGATTCCCGCTCACGACCCGTATCACCGTATACCCACCAATCACCGAAGACGTCAGGAATAATTCGCCGCCGGCATTGATCTTTTCACAAACCTTCTGAGTAAGGGCCTGCGTCGAAATGGTTGACGTGTCCTTTGACCCTACTGTCTTGGCCACCCCGTCGTTCAAACCGGACGTGCCATTAGTCAAAGATGCAGTCGAAGCGGGGGAGGCCTCATCCAGGCCTCTAACCCTTACCGTGGTCAATCCGATCGAAGGCCCTGTGACTATCTCGAATAGATCCGGTCGCGTTTTAGTGAGGTTGGCGAAGACGACGCCGTTCTTTATGCCCTTGCGGATATGCGCTTTCATGCCAGATAGCCCGTAGGTGCGCATGACGAACCAGACCTTGAGTGCGCGGAAGCGTCGGCCCAGTGGGATGCCCCAGTTGCGGAAGTCTGTCACGGGCGTGGTGAGGCTGCTGGGATTCCGCAGGTAGGCAGGGGTTATGTCCAGAGCGTTGGTGAGGTGGATGGAGTTGGAGACATAGAGTAAACTATAGTTGGTGACAAAAGGGTGTGGGCGTTAGCACTGTGGCAGACATGAGGGAGAGACGAGAGTATGAAGCAATATGTAAAGAACATATTTTCTTTTTCTTTCTTCTTTTTTTCTTTTCTTTTCTTTTCTTTTCTTTTCTTTTCTTTTTCTTTTTTTCTTTTTTTCTTTTCTTTTTCTTTTTCTTTTTCTTTTTCTTCTTTCTTCTTTCTTCTTCTTTTTTTTTTTTTTGGAAGAAAGCAGCAAAAGGGAAAAAAACATTACCTGGCGTCGAAGTTAACTAAGAGCCACTTGGACAGATTCACCATGAAGCTATCCACTCCCTCCGCAAACTCCTGCGCAATGTGCTGCCATTCCTCTGTCACGAGCGCGGAACCGGCATACGCACCATCGATATGGACCCATATCTTCTGCCATGCCTCCTTCTCCTTCAGCACCGCCTTGATCTCCGAAAACCGATCAATGGCGCAGGAATTAGTAGTGCCCATCGTGGCAGTCAGGTAGAACGGCTCCATGCCCTCGCGCTCACACTGCTCTAGCATCTTGCGCAATCCATCCCCCGTCATGGCTAGACCATCCTCCAGCCGTGTGGGGATAGCGCGGTACCGCACCCCGGCAATCCGCGCACCTTTCGCCGTGCAACTGTGCGTCTGGTCAGTGCCCACCGCCACAAGCCGCGTCCGCAGCTCCATGGTCCGATCTTCCCACTCCGGGGTGCCCTCCACCAACCCCTCGGCCAGCGCCTTGTCCCTCACATGTCTTTCCCGAGCGGCAACGATGACGGTCGCAACGATCTCGCTTGCGGTGCCCTGAATAGTTCCCCCGCCGGTACTCTTCCCTGACTTCGACGACGCAGCGCTGAGGAAGCAATCCGGCAACCCGAGCGCCTGCGCCATCCAGTCCATGACGATGATTTCCAGCTCCGTGCACGCGGGCGAGCACAGCCAGTTGAACGCCGGCGCGGTGAAGGCTGCTGAGTACAGTTCGCCGAGAATGGAAGGGTACGTCACGCCTGCGGGGAAGTAGGCCATGAACTTTGGGGACTGCCATTGGGTCAGCCCGGGCATGATTTTGGACTCGATGTCCGGTTGGATTTTGCTCCATGGCTCCGGGTCGTTGGGGGCCGATGTGGGAATGAGCGGACGGAGGTACCCAGGCTCTATGCTGGGGACGACTCTTTTCGAGTCGATCGAGTTGAAGTGTTCGATTACTAGAATGCCAGGTTAGTTGCGGGGAGTCGAAGAACGCACAAGGAGAATATCGCGGTGTAAAAATAGAAGGAGAAAAAGGCTTGCGTACTCTCTTCAATGGCAGCATGGGCTGCTTCCCTGAATTGCACTCCATCCATCGCGGTAATATTTTCTTTTTCTCTTTTTTTTCTCTTGCTCTCTGTTTCTTTGTATATCTATTGCAGGAACTCTGCGGGGCTCAGGATGGATGGGAATTGGTGCGGAGAAATAATGGAGCAGAGATCGCAATCCTCAGTAGCTACGTTTGTTACTGATTAATTTAGGTCTAAATAAGTTAGGTAATGCCCAAAGGGACGATCCGTAGGATTAGCAATTGGGATTTCATTGGATTTTATACACAGGCCTGAAGATCTCAACATTCGAAAGGCGCAAAAAAAAAAAAAAAAAAAAAAAAAAAAAAAAAAAAAAAGCGTGATGAAGTTGAATATACTATCTCCTAATAATAGAGATACAAGATAGCGGGTGGGGCCGCAAGTACCCTGGCATTGATTAATAGAAGTAAATTCGGCCAGACGGACTGTGTTTGAGTTGTTGAGAGCTCCACCTGTAAAAACTTATTCAAGAAATAAAAAAAAATAAAAAATTCTTACATTCAGTCTGTTATTCTAACTTTTTTTTATCTTTACTAAATTTCAACACTGTAATTAAACTGAATAGTGAGAGATTATAACTGTAATAGAGAAAATTAAAAATATAAAAAAATATATATATAATTAAATTAATTAATATAATATTATTTTATAAAAAATTATAGTATTAAAGAAATCAGATTTGTAATATAATATAAATAAAATTAAATGTTTTTTTATTCAATTATACAGTTATACTTATAAACTATAAAATTATATTAATATTATAAGTATATTTATTATTTATATTAAATAAAAACTATTAATATTTTAATATATAAGTATTTAAAAATTAATTCACTAACAAACTAAGAAAATAAACTGAATTGAAATAAATATCTTAATTAAAATGAAAACAATTCTTTAAAAGAAAACATTTTCACAATTATACAGACTATATTTATTAATTAAAAATCAATTTCCTTTTTTAGATATTAAGAAAATTGAATATGAAAAAATATATTCAGAGAAAAAAGCTGAAATCTTTCATAAATATATAAATAAATATACTGTTTAAAGAGAAAGAATATAAACAATATTTGAAAAAGATTTTTATAATTAGTATAAAAGAATTAATCTTAATTTATTTAGATAACTTAAAAAATAAAAATAAGAATTTGAATAAATTAAATACAGATATTATTTATACTGAAGATAATATAAGATTTAAAAAGTTTAAACAGTAAATGTAAAGTTTTTATTACTAAATTATTTACAATAATAAAAGCTTTTAAGTAGATTGAATTATAATTGTTACACTGAATAGATAAGTATTAATATATAGATTTTATATAATAAAAGTAAAAAACATTAAAGAAGAAGAAAAAGAAAAAGTATAAAAATCAATAATTAAAGTAAATATTTATATATATACAAGATAAAGCTTCAGAATGAAAGAATAGAAATTTTATAAGTTCTTTAATCAGAGATCAGTGACTGAGAATCAGAGCTTTAGTAGAAATCTGTAATTCAGAAGAATGTATGACTGCTGAATAATAACGCGGCCGCTTCCGAACACGCTTCTCAACACGCTTACAAATGTAAAGAGATCATAGCAGCCATCAATTAATTTAGTGTATAATATATAAGAAGTCAGTGTATATCTGTAATTATATACTGACTTAAGCAATCTTTGAATCACATCTGATAGCATGTCTAAAAACTGGTGAGAAGTGCAGACTTCTTCAGAGTGTGATAATTTCATTTATAAAGTAATTTATAGTTATCATATCAGTGTGATTTCTAGAATATCTTAAAAGATAGTGTATAAAGAGTGATAAGCAGAAGAGTATCTAATTAATACTGCTTTACTTATTAAGGAAAAACTTCACACTCAGACAAATATCACATATAATACATAGACTGACTGCTGAAACCATGAATTTCATGTTTGGTCTCATTTGGTCTGATCTCATACATTTCTTGGTGTGAATCCGCTGGGACTGACTATCAAAAAAACAGATAAAGTGACTATATATCAGATCTTAAAATGAAATCATGACTTGAAAAAAATAAGAAAGTGGTTCCATTTGATCTCATTTAGTCTCATTCTTGGCATAAAGTTACTATTTTTAGACATTTTAAGGTTTTTTTTAGACTATTTTTAATTTTTTAAAAAGTAATGCTTTTTGATAATGCTCAAATGAGATTTAAAGTCATTTAAAGCAATAAAAATAATTTAAATTGAGAAGTGGAAATCATGATCTCATTTGAAAAATGTGACAAGAGTAGACAGTAAGTCTCACTGAGACAGTATGAGACTACTATCTAATGTTAAAACTGTGTAATGAAATCAGTCAAATTGATAATGAGACTATCAAAAAATCTGATTCTGATCTCAGACACGGTCACACGGTCAGTCTAATAATACATGAATAGATGAGATATAAGAAAGAAGATAAGAGTAGTGAATAAGATTCAAAGAAGTCTGCTCTCTATCTAAAAGAAGAATGAAAAGAAGAAGATGATTATCACTGAAGTTATACAATAATAATAGAAATAATATAGTGATATAATAATAGATATTATATAATTAATAAGAAATTATTAAAATAAATATCTCTTCTAGTTAATATAAATAATATTCTTCTCTGCTATCTGAACTGAAAGATATACAGAATCTCTTAGAGAGTTTACTTAAAGTAGTAAGAAAAGCAGCTGAGATTACTGAACTGAAA